AAATTATTGATCATCCTTTTGCCTAATAATTTGTTTTTAGAGAAATTAAAAAGTTTTCATTTGGAAAAAAAGCTCCAAATATTTAAAGAGTATCGTTTTGTGGACAAACATTTTCTTATTTTCAATTAGCAATTAATATGTATATTCAACTTTTTAGATGAACAATGAATATAAATTAGCAATTGGTATGAGAATGAATCTTATTGACAGCCGTTTGAAAGCTTGCAAATTGTTGCAGATTGAGTGAATTGGATGCGTAATCTCTCTTAAACCCGTTTTATTATACAGAGATAATTAGTGGATTGTTCTGTTTAATTCTCTAGAGCTAAGTTGAAATCAAAAGAAAATATCATAAACTGTTTTCATTCAATGATGGGCTAAAATCAAATCTAAAATTAAGATTTTGCTGATTGCTGTTGTTCTTGTTTTAAATATCAAAATCATTGAATCATCGAAATTGAATGAAAGACAATGAATGTACATTTATTAATTATTGATGTGGTTGTTGAAAGTTTTCTAATGGACTTACTTTAAATTTTTCATCACCATCAGCAATGTTAATTGATGGTACTTCAACGAAAACATTTCAAGGAAATACATAAATATAAAACAATTATCAAATAAGTTGCCAAGGTCAAAAGTAGAATTGTGATATTAATTCATGAATTATAACGGTTGGTTAAATATATATATTTACAGGAGAAAGCAGTCACATGACTGATTAATGTACATGAAAATTTTGATTTCTCGGGATCTAAAAAGTTCCTAATGATAAATAAATTTTCAATTCAAAATTTTGGGAAAGATCAAGACGCACGTGATTTTAAACTTTTTTAGATCTATTTCAAAAATCAGTCAAGAATAAAATCGTTTATTTCTTAGACTAAGAACTTATAATTTGGAATGGAAGCTTATCACTTAAAGATTCACCATTCGCTTGAATTTATTATCCCTTTTTAGGTCAAAGAAATTAAGAAACCCTTAATTCTTTATCTATGTTTAAATACCTACATAAATAATAGACGCAACCATTAGTAGCAATAATTATTTTATTTTTGAACACAAAGAATTGAAAAGCTTTTCTGCACAAAACTCACCTCATTTTCCAAACGAGATTTTCCTCTTAAAGACCTTTAACATTAGATTCTTCACATTTTGTGGTAACATTATACAAACGATTAAAGAAGAAATTAAAAGCGTTCTTGAAAAACTAGATTTCATCTTGGTTTTATCAGACATCAAAAGATAAATTCCATGGGGAATATTCACTCATCTAAAGGTTTTTCAAAGAAGTGACTTTTTTTTTGTTTAATGGTAGAAATCACATTTTGTTTTTTTTTGGCATTGTCTTTTGGTATTTATTGAAAAAGATTAAAGAATTCACGATATTGAAAGAAAAATATTTATTTTATTGAAAAGTTTAAAAAGCCACGAAAGCTTTTACCAAACTCACACCCGAAAGAGAACCAAAGGCAATTTCAAAGAAAGTCACGTATCGAAGGAGAAAACTGTAGATTCGCTTTCGTGGTTTGTCATTGTTGAAGCTTTTTCAGTGGAAAGCCATTTTTCACGGATGAATTTCACGTTTCTATTTTGATTCATGAAAGAGGTTACGTGTCTTCATTCAACTGCATTGTCATTGAATAATATCTTTGAATTTATATTTATTTGATATTCAAGCGGTCAGTTTTGCTGCGTTTTGATTTCTCCACTCGTGATTTGTTTGATAATTTGTACGTAAGTTTAATGAACTATCCAACAATACAGTTAAGTATGTATTCAAAGTTGTATGAATTAAATGATATTCGATAACAATGAAAAGTTTTGTCAATCGAAACATCACTTACGAGTTCCGTTTTCAGTACAATTATCCGATTTACGTTTACAACTCTCTGTTGAATGCCATATCTATGCCATCTATCAACAATGTTAACTTATAATTTGGATCATTTTTCGAAGTTCTCATGATGAAATTAAAAACATGAGCTCTTTGTCTTTATTTAACCACATGAAATAAGATTCTTCGTATGTAAATAACAAAACTGTATCTAATTAGATAATTAATTTTTCAAGATTTTATTGCCGTATCGTAATGGTTAAGAAAGTTTATGATTTCCAAGCAGTTCTCAAAATACATTTTCCGACGCAAGCTCATTAAAATGTAATTTAAGAGATTAGTGAGCGACCTTTGTCTGGTGTTAAATTGTTTGTGAATAAACAGATAGGATTTGCATTATAAAAATCTACAGTAGATATTCTTTACAATAAACTGACCTGCCCTATCTTGTTTGCTTAGGCCAACTTTAATAGGATATCAGGCTTATACAATTTAACAACAGTATTGAAAATAATCAGAACAATAATAATTCTTTTTATTATTATTTTACAATCACTTGAACTTTCGTTTTCGAATGCTGCATGTGAAAGTTTATCAAATATATTTTACGATTTTGCATTTAATTTCTTAATAACAAAAGACACATCACAACCACAATATTTGTTAAAAAAAATATAGCGTGACATGAACAGGCTACAATTTTTAATAAATCTGTCAGCCAAGATTTATTAAATATTTATTGGGTATTGGTAAAGATATAACAAAAATCTAAATTATTTTTAATTAAACAAAGTTGACTTCAAAAAAAAAATATTACAGATTAAAAAGAAAAAACTTATGATATTGACAGCTTCATTAATCCTTGATGACAGATTGTAATTTATTTCTAATGAAGTTGTGAAAGTACACCAACCATTATGAAAGTTTTCTTTTTGAGAATTAAAATTATTTGTAATCTTCGTCATCAGGTCTAGGACGAGTTTCTTCTTATGAGAGATTGCATTGTGTTATCATGGTTGATAACTGGTGCAACCGCCCGTTATGCGTTTAGTCAATGTCTATCTCGAGATGACATAAAGCTGTGCCGTTAGCAAATGATGACTCAGGCAAGAAATTATTGAATTTGCCAACGTCAATGATAATCCTCTCCTTCAAATTATTTGTATTCCCAAAATGAGTTTGTCCAATACTTGTAACTAAATATTTAAGTTGATAGGCAGTTCGATGGTAACGTATTGTTGATGTATCGAATTTATTGTCATGGAGAGTGTTTTTAATGAAAAACGAAAATAGAAAAAAATAATGGATCTTCAAATGACATTCTACAACCATAATCGAATTTCAGAAAACTTTGTACGAAAGACCATTCCACAAATTCATTCTAAATTCCAACATATACAATTACAAGTATGCACTGAATTCGACTATTATTTTCAATGATCTAAGCTTTGAAAAGAATTTAAAATAGTTGTCCGCATGAGTATGCGGAAATCTCACTACATGTTAGTTATTTATGTTTTACTACAAATGTAATTTAGATTAGATAACAAAAAGCTTTGAATGTATTTAATCTTTCGATTTAAACCTAAACAACAAAAAATGCAATGTTATTTAGAATTTCATAGAATTTACGCATTGTAGTTTGTAGTAATGTAGACACTGTGCAGCACAACGAACAAACATATCAGAAAAAAATTATCAGTCATTATTTTTTATTTCATTGGTTTGCGGAGAAGTTTATTCAGTACCAGCTGTCGAAACACATTTGATAACACTATGGTGCTGTTTGAGTGTAAATCATCAAATTAGTCCCGTTGAACAAAGCAGAGTGTCCACAACACTTTGTTTCCGATTCAAAAGCTTTTCGAGTTTCATTTTTGCACGGCAAACATAAAAAGAACAAATAGTAACAAGACAACAAAAAAAAAACTATGTGAAAAATAGAGTTTCGTGCCATTAATAATCAATTAACAGTTTTTAATTTTTCTCGATCGTCGGCTTCGTTGTTTCGTTCTTTAAACTAATAAATTATTTAGCTCTCTCAGTTGCATTTCTCGTAGTTGATTTAAAATAAAATTTTATGAGAGAGTTAGTTCTTAAAATAAGCAAGAAATGGCATACGATAAATTAAAGCCAGATAACAAGCAATTGGGGAGAAAGGCTATTCGCATACTGCAGTTGAATCTACGTTTCTGTATATTTTTGTCGATGATAATAACAATTGTGTTCCTTATCGTTTACTTAAACCTTACACTTAATAAAACTCCAAAGTATTTGACACTAAATCAGTATGTGAGCAATCTTTTTAATGATCCTTATCAAACGCCAACAATGCGACAAACGAATAGCAGTGAAGAAGAAGGAGAAGAATTTTATGCAGATGAATTCGACTACATTTGGAGCGATGAAAGTATAGAATTGTTTCAAAAACAACTAGGAATTGAAGACGATAACAACTCAACCAAAACTAAAACCGTCGAATGCCATTCAAATATGCAGTTTATCATGAGTGCTCTACCGGGACCAAACGATGACATTTTAAGTGACATCGTATGGCAGTATTTTTCACTCTTAGCTTTAGAGTCTCAAACAATTCAATACAATAGCAAGGGAGAAAAGCTCTATTTGAAAGCTTTCGTGACAGAAAAAATGCGCACAAAATTGAATGAATTATTCGAGGGGTAAAATTATCAATAAACGTGACAAAGTTCTTCGTTTTGTGTAATTTTTTTTTTCTAAATTCATTTGGACAGACTTCCGCTTCAAACATTTACCATTTTACCCTCAACATGTTACAATCTAAAATATGCTGAAATTATTGGAAACAACTCGCCAATCAGCCTAAAGGAAATTGCTCTCGCATCCACGCCGCTTTTACTCGACCCCAAAGCGAAACGAATTAAGGAAATTGCTCAACTGTTTGGTTCCAAAATGAGACCATTTTTTAGGTAAACGTTCTTGACTCTAAATACTTTTTTCTTCACTTTTTTTCCGGTTCCCAATGTTTATTTTTTTATATACACAGTGAAGATTATTAGGTATTAAGCTTTTTCTAAATGATGCTAGAAAAGGGTAGATTATGACTTTAGGGGAAGGAAATGAGTTTTTCACAATTCGATGACACAGAAAACAGAAGTTTCTGGTTTGTCATTTTCAATTGTATCATTGCAGTCATCCGAGAAGCTTAAATAACGGTAGGAAAGAACCAAATTACTGAGAGTAAATAGTTAAATATTTGGTTGGATTTTACTTCATTCATGGAAAATTATTTTTAAACATAAGCAAAGCTAAGCTGACATTAAATGGAAATTTCACAGCTAATTTAATAATCGTAAACTTTCCCTTGTCATGACTTGGACGCATTTCAATTTCGCTTCATAATCCTGGAGCTTTCACAGTAAAATCACAAAAAAAAAAAAATTTTAAACTTTACGATTTCTTTCGTGGGGGATGATTTAAAATTCTGAACATTGTGTCCCAATTTTTGAGCACACTTTTCGTGACTCTTTGTAACGTTGCCAAACAATCGGAAGAAAAAAAACTTTTTCTTAATGTAAATTATGACTATCAATTAAATCTGATAGCAATTTTATGTAATGAAGTTAACAATACGTTAGTATTCTAATCAATCTCTTGAGTAGGAGTTAATATGAACAGAACTTAGAGAATTGTCCCAAAATATTTCATTTTCATCCCAAAAATAATCCTCGAGACTTTGAAATCCCTTTTATTAAAAAAATTCAACCTTTTTACTTTCTGTTTCAGATTCACGAGTAAAATAATGGATGAGGTAAAAGAAGAATTTTTAGTGACTAAGACGATACAAGAGGTTGAAGTTGAGCGTGAAATGGACATAAACTTTGTCGGTGTTTACATTACTTCGGATGATAAAGTGAGTTGATCTGCATAAGTTTAAAGTAGAATTTCCGTGTTAGCTCATCCATCACCGACACATCTCATGTATGTATATTTTTTTAGCTTCCGATTGAGTATTATCAAAAAGCGATGAACTTTCATCGTAAGGGTGATCGAACAATCTTCATATTTATCTGTGACATTGAAACTTTCATTTTTTGTGAAGAAAGTTTCGATGGAAAACATGCTGTTGGTGATGCTAGAATCTTAAGAACATCAGTAAAGACGTTTGACTTTGCTCTTATGACAAGTTGCAATTCAACAATTGTTTCAAACGATGTTGGAGTACTTCATGCACTTTTAAACAACGGTGTTACAACCGTCTACAAACCAAAACTCACTGAAGAACCTGATTATTATGTTCCATGGATGATAAGTGAACATATGGCGAATTGGTATGCAATTGACTGACGTTATCATTCAAGAATAAAAATGAACTGATCAAAAACATTTTTAATATGCAAGCATATGCTGGAAATAGAACTTTTGATTTGTTTTAACTAAATTGATTTTTATCAAATAAATCTTGCCTTTTTCATACCTACTTATACATACATAAGTGAGAAAAGTTAGTAAATAAAGCTTCCTGATATCGAAGACGATACTTTTGACGATAAACTTTTACTTTTCTCTTAATATGTAAAGAATTTTATTCAACGTAAGGTATTGACATCCACACCACACATTGAAATCCCAATAGAGCTGTCAGTCAATTGATTTGACAGTCTCGTTCAATTCACGCTGAACGATCAATTTCATGAAAAAAAGAATTCCATTTTCATTCAATCCAACTTTGCCTTATTTGAAATGCAAGTCGGAGCAAAACAGTTTGAGGAATTGAAATAACGAAAAACTTAAATACGAAAAGCAGTAGGATTATCTCAGGTAAGGTAAATCACAACATGAAGTTGTTGGTATATTCATTTGAGATACATAATTTGAATATCCTTCGTTCTCTATGGGTAGGTATATCGATGTGCGTTGAATATTTAAGCTCATTTTCACTTTTTTATTTTCTTCTCTCTCTTTTTGGCAAAATCACTCTCATGGAGCTAATAAAAATATCGTTTTCATCAGAGCAATAAACAATCTTGAATGCGTGAAAAACACCCAGGAGAAAAAGTTTCAAACGAAGTAATATTCAGAAATAAATTAATTTAGTGAATCGAAGCATAGGATTTTTTTAAAAAAGCGTTGGGATATCACTACACCAACATTTTTATTGAAAAAGAGAACGAAAATGAAAAGTTAATAAGCTCATGTTGGCAATATCCATATGATCAGAACCAACTTTTTTCACTAATAAGTTGATTTGTTGTTGCTATTATTGGATTTCTAAAAAAATCAATAGCAGTCATTCAAAGCAGATACTTTGTCAGAGTTCCTTTCCTTGAAATTTTCCGGCTAATGAACGAGAAAATTTTCTTAAATATTTTATATTCTCATACAAAATGCTTTAAATGAATAAATAATAATTAGGTTTCTTCGCGATTTTGCAACGCATTATTGATACGACCATTACCTAGAAACCTGAACCCAGCTTTTATTTACGGTGGCCCCACTTTTGAATTCTATTTTAAAGGTTTATTTTAAAGATTTTTTTTTTACGTTTGAACATCATCTTTAGGTATTTAATTTTCAATCGATGATCCCTGCCGATTGAAAACTCGTTATAAAGTAAATAAATGTAGATATAAATAAATAAAAAGATTTATATGAACTTTTCGTTTTCCCTTTAAATACACAAACATTTCACGAACTCTATTTAAATATGCGCCGAATGCTTGATTTCCATTTCCGTCTTTCATTCGAGTGTAATATTCCCATGAAGCTAATAAAAATATCATTTTCATCAGAATAATAAACAATCCTAACTGTTAATGACACCCGAACGAGAACAAAACAAGAAAAAAAAGAACAAATTCAATCTAGGCAAGGAATAAAAAACAAAAGGCGAGAACAAATTAATTTCACGGATTGATGTAATGGACCGAGAAAAAAGCTTCCAAACTTTTTTAATAGAAAGGATTTTTCTTCTTTAGCATTTAAAATGCGAAATTTTTATCGAATAAAAGTCACAAGTGCTGAGGTTGTTGACACTTAATGTCACTGTGTTTCGTTTTACTTCTTATTTAATTTAATTTATTGGCCTCCACCCTGTCACGTAACTAGACCTTTCTAAAGGCAAGATTTAAATTTAGTTTAGATGATTTCAAGTTCAAAGTTTCGTGGCACGAAACACCAACGATCCCAAGCATATTTTCTAGAAATTTAATTAAGATTTGTTTTTCTTTTATTTTATATTTTATTTCTTTTTAGGTATGTGACATTCCAAAAATCATTTTTTTGCCAAAAAATAAAAAGTAACCTAAGTTTGTTTGCTAAGTAAAAAAAATAACATTTGGAGTAACTTTTTTGGATTCATTTTTATATCGTTAATTCAAAAATTTAGTTAGATTGCTAATTACTTGAAAGTCGACATCATGAGCATGCTTTTAAAATGAAAAAAAATTAACAAAGTAGGTTTTTATGTATTTTCTCAAAGTTGATATTTTAAAAAATTGTTGGTAAATATTAGAAAAAATAGTTGTGAAGTGAAATCATTTAGAAATCCTAATGACGAAGAAATAACTTGTGAATGTTAAACTGCCCTTTTTTCTAATTTCAAAAGAATTTTCGAACGCATGAACTTTTTTTTAGCTTCGTGATTTCACTTTCAACTTTCTTTTAATATAAATTAGCAACAATGACATTATCATGAAATTTTCTGAATGATTTGCTTAGAATGTTAGAGCTTGGCCATGCCATTAATGATGCAGATACTTTTAAGACAGCAACGAATTTACTTTTTCTTTCTCTTTTCTACCCTTTTTGTTTATAACGAAATATTATCACAAAGGAAAATTCTCATCCCTCGATATATTTTAATTTTTTATTTCACCTCAAGTTACGCTGATAATGAGAAATCATCTTATGAATATTTCCTACGGTGATAATTCATGACTTAATTTTACTCGATTCCATGGGCAAAAATCATAACGAGTCCCTGAAACAAAAAAATTTATGAAACAGTAATTATTTAGAACATCTTAGGATAATTTACATACCGGCTCAACCATAACTTCTTCTGACATGTGAGTATTGTCGCAGGGAAGAACCAACACAGCTTGTTTTCCGGGCACACGACGACAGCAATAATTGTCATAGATTCTTCGATTATTCTGTCGAGTTTCTAAGGAACTTAGTCCGCGAGGCCAGCGTCTTTCATGACAGTTCTCCATTAATTCGTCAAGGATATGAGGTGGACAACCAGATTCTGATAGTGCACGCTTAACCATCATTTGAAGAGAATCATCAGGCGTTGAGATCATGCCACCCCAACGAGTAACTCTAGCTCTTGGCAATGATGTTGACCAACGAATAACTTCGTCGCGTTCCATTTGATCAGCAATCGCCCTCATTGCTGGATTTGATACTCTCATGGCCCTCATAAAATCTTTAATTAAATTCAGTTCACGTTTTAACTCGTTGATTGTGAGATTTTGATCAGTTATTTCAGTCTTGAGTTCGCTTAACTTCTGTTGTTGGCTGTGACAGAGCGAGCGAAGCTCACGGACACAGTTGTGATCCTTTATTTCATCTTTTGGAATAATAAATCCACATCCGTTTTCACATGGCAATGGACGTTTTGGATTATGCTCGCACTCTTCAAGATGAGATTGCAAAGCGTCAAGTTTAAGGATCTGAGTGCAACCGTACATTTGATTGTCACATGAGATACTTAATCGACTCAATAGATTCCTTAAAATTCTTGGAACCGGTCGAAGATTCGCTGTTGTTATTGGTTGTCGATCTACTGGACAAGTCGGTTGACGACTCAACCATTCTTGAATGCATCCTGTGCAGAATGCATGTTCACATGATACAACTTGTAATGGCTCTTCGAGAACACTCGAACAAATGGGACATATTAGTTCTTCATCAACTTCACCTAGTAATAAAATAATTTGAATTAATAAATTTAAGATCCCGTTCTTTGTATATATGAGATGAGAAAGATGTTAATTGGGTCAATTGATATCAGGAAAAAAAAAATGCAAACCTTCGCCAAATCTTGTCAAGTCGTATCCCATTATCTGGTCGCTTTAGAAGTAAATCATTAAATATTGTATTATGTAGCATAAAAGTTTAAACTTAGATTGTTAAGAATACTGACAAAGTAAATGTACGATAATAAACAACAGATTTTGCAATTACTATTTTAATATTCTTTTAAAGTGCGTTCAGTGACTTCAATTTTTTATTAATAAAAAATTGCGTTCAGTGAACAATTAGACAGTCGGACATCATAGAAATTTTATTTTCAAACAAATGCATTGCTAATTTTTTTTGTTTACCTTTTCACGATAAGGGAGCGAGAAAAGCAAAACATATTTTTAAAAAACGTGATATTAAAATAAAATTTTAAAGGAAAATTGTGATCATGAAATATATGGATTTTCAAACTGATAATTTACTCAGTTAAAGTAAGTTCAATGCTGAATTATTTGATAGATAACAAATTGTTATACCTATTTTCATATTCGTAACAGTTGTCAGCTTGTCATTCATAGAAAGTTCAGTCTCTAGATTGAGATTAGTTTAAAAAAGAATTTCTTTTATAAATTTGATTTGTTGGATATGTGGCATTTGCAATAAAATTATTTTTCAATGTTTAAAACATGTTACAATGAATGGAAATTACAAAGATTATTTGCAGATAAAATGCACATCTAATAACCTTATAAACCAAGAAAATGCTTTGATTTTTACTATAACACAACTTTGAAGTTTTAATAAACAATAAACAGAATTAGTGAAAAGAGAACCAATATGGTTAGTTGAAATTTTTAGGTCAACCTTCTTACGATATGTGTTTGTTTATTTAAAAATACCATCGATTGCTCTTGACTCGATATGTTGAAACAAAAAAATTAAACATAAATATTAGTTAAAAAGGCTGTATGAGTCAAGGATTTTATATTGTTCATTGACTGAATATTGTTATTTTTATGCATGTTGTACAATTCTTCTATAAGTACATATTTATAGAGAAAACGGCAACTAATGGGAGTTAATGCTCAAGCTATTAAGTACGTATGAGTACCAATCAGCATTATGAGTCGAATTCATTTCAATGTTCACTCTGAAGTAAGTAAACTCATTAATGTTGTTGTATTGGCGATAAGCAAAAAATGAATTTTGTGAACATTTGAAAATTAAATTGAAATATAGGTGAAATATGTATGACAAATTGAGTAAAAGATAAAATAAAAAATTGAGATGTTCAGTACCGAATTGGCAGTGAAACGTGTTGGATCAATTTTTATTAACGTGTTTACCTTCGGGATAATGAGCTATTAAACAAAATAGCACTACCAGAACACAAACTTAAATACATATATAATTCAATTTCAAACTCTTCAAAAGTTTAAAATTAGAAAAGGATATTTTGGAAACAACTGTTGATTAGACATACAGTACCTAATACTTACACGCGCAACACATCATCTTGTTTGTTTACTTTGCAAAAAATTTGGTAATCAATGTAATATCTAGTTGTACCTGAAAAGAGAGAGAGACCTTCATCAAAGTTCCTTCACCTCGCTACTCTCTCCAATTTTTTTTGCATTACTTACATGAAAAAACTTCAATTTCATTAAGATATCTCTCAATGCCTATTTTAAAAATAAATAAGAAGATGAAGTTCGAGCTGCTTAAATAAACATAAATAAATAAACATATTCTGCTCGATCATGTCTGAAGTTATTGATGACAAACATTCTAACGAAACATTTTTACATCAATTTTGAAGGAAAAGAATGCGTTGGAAAACCATTAAAAGAATGTTTAATAAATAGGTTTATGTTACTTACTCTTTTCAATAAAAAGAAAAATAAGTTTCTTGTTCTCTTTCTCTTGAGCGTTTGATTTAAATCAAAATTTATTTTTTTATTCTCACAAATAGTTTCATAATCGCAAATGTAATTTATTTGTTTCATTGAATAATATTTACAATAATTGTATTTATCTATCTTCAGTAATCAGTGAAACAATCTTCAATTCAATTCAGTGAAATGGGATTGAATCAAGTAGAGAAAATACTTCCGGGAGCTCGTTGGCTTCGTGGATACACAGCGCAGTTTTTCATTTCTGATTTGATTGCTGGCATCACTGTTGGATTAACTGTATTACCACAAGGTCTCGCGTATTCAACATTAGCAGGATTAGATCCTCAATATGGTCTTTACTCAGCATTTATTGGAGGAGTTGTCTATGCATTACTTGGAGGATGTCGAGAGGTGACAATCGGACCAACAGCTCTCTTAGCTCTCATGACAAGTCGTCATACCGGATTAGGTGGTGTTTCTGGACCACATTTAGCTGTTCTACTATGTTTTCTCTCTGGATTGGTTGAACTTCTCATGGCTTTTTTAAGATTAGGTGCTTTAGTCGATCTGATCTCACTGCCAGTTACTGTCGGATTTACATCCGCCACAGCACTAATTATTGGTGCATCACAACTTAAAGTAAGGATTTCTTCTACTTGAAAGATATTTTAATCATAATCAATTTTTTTCATCTTTCTCAAGGGATTGCTTGGTATTCAAGGAAGCTCAGGTGATTCAGGCTTTCTCTCAACAATATCATATGTTATCTCGAAATTTCATGAATTAAGCCCTACAGACGCTTTACTTGGTGTTGGATCTATAACAATCCTATTGATTTTACGAGTATTGTTTTTACCAAATTTTAACATAATTTTGGTATATTTAACTTTTTATATTTTATTCATAGAAACTCAAAGATATAAAAACACCGGAAAATGCATCAAATGAAAGAAAATTCTTTGGCGGATTGTTATGGTTGATTTCAACAGCAAGGAATGCAATTCTCGTTTTATTCTCAAGTCTTGTTGCATATCATGCACATCAAAATGGGCAGATGCCGTTCATTCTTACAGGAAAAGTAAGACCAGGATTACCAGAAATGCATTTACCACCGTTTGAAACTTCATTTCCTCTTTCCAATGGAACAGTAGTTGAAATGGGTTTTATTGATATGGTAAGTGAGCTTGGATCTTCAATCGCTCTTGTTCCCATCATTGCAGTATTAGGAAATGTTGCAATCTCGAAAGCTTTTGGTGGAACAGGCGTTGATGCAACACAAGAGTTAATCGCTTTATCTCTTAGCAATATTATTGGATCATTCTTTTCATCCATACCCGTCACAGGAAGTTTCTCTCGCAGTGCTGTAAATCATGCTTCAGGGGTGCGAACTCCTATTGGTGGAATCTACACTGGCGCTTTAGTTCTTTTTTCTCTCGGATTTCTTACCCCTTATTTCCCGTACATGCCACGAGCGGCATTGTCTGCGGTCATCATCTCTGCTGTGATTTTCATGATTGAATATGAAGTTGTGAAACCTCTTTGGAGATGTTCACGACGTGAATTACTTACCGTTGCTTTAACTCTCATTCTGAGTCTTTGTGTGAGTGTCGAAATTGGTTTAATTTCAGGCGTTTTTCTAGACGTTGCTTTTCTTGTTCAAAGAACAGCACGACCTGTATTGACATTTGATCATTGTGAAACAGAATCAAGAGTTGAATATATGATGGTTAAACCTCGACACAGTTTACTTTGTTTTCCTGCTGTTGAACATGTTAGAAATGGAATCAATCGTGCCATTCAAGTGAGAGAAAAATTCACAAATTTAATTGTTTTTGATTGTCGGAATGTTCAAGAATTAGATTATACAGCAGCAAAAGGAATTGGGTCCCTTAAGAAAGAGCTTGAAAATAGAAGTATTCATTTGATTCTCTTAGGGCCGTCGGATGATGTAAAACTCGTATTAAAAGGGTCACTTAAAGGCAACAACGTCCAACATGTTGATAATGATAACGAACTTGACAACATATTTCAAGAACTAACATCTCATAGAAATGAATTAAAAGAAATCGTTGCTCCGCTTCTAGAGCAGAAAAATGATGATGATATTACAATTATGAATGCGACGTCCATTAGAAAATGATTCCTTTATACTTTGTATTTTTCTTGTTTGTTTGTTTATGTCATAGCCCCTTGACCAGTGTTAGATGTTAAAACAAAAAAATTTAGATAATTCTGTCTAAGAATAAATATTTGAATAAACTTTATTATTTAAAGAAACAAAAAATTTAATCACTTTTTGATCTACTACAAAATTTTTGATACGCAATGATCAGGAGATGTTTGTTTTCATAACCCCAGGAAAGCAATGTGATGAATGTGAAGAGACCACCAAACAAAACATGATACAGCATTGAGTACGGAAGTATTTCATACTGTTGAAAGTTAAAGCATAAAAATTATTTTGAAAGATAAGAAAAGATAATAAAATTACCTCTGAATATTTGCATGCAACTCCGGATGCAATTAAAATTGTTATAAAAATTCGGCCTGGTATTAAACCATCAAGTGGATTCTCATCCATATTTTTAAATTGCTTACGAATGTATGAAAAACTGTAACAAATTCTTAATCCCATGTTACAGCAGTTTGCCAAAATGAATCCAACCGGTCCAAAGAAGTTCGTGAGTTGATAAGAAAGAATTAGAAATGTTACAGAAAAAATTGCCATGTAATAGTTGTACGTGTCGATTTGCTTGCTGGTGTTTGTTGCGAACATGTAACCTTCAGTGATTCCATTTACAGCTAAAAGAACGATTGCAAAAGCATGCCAACGAAGAAGAAGTTCAGGTAATCCGCCGGCAACAAAATCATGTCCACCGTAAAGAAGTAAAACTGTTCCAGCATAGGATTGACCAAAAACAAATCCAATCAGTCCAATCGAAGTAACACCTTTACAGACATTTCTCAATACTTGACTTGCTTCTTTAACTTTTTCTTTCTTCTGTTCTTGAAGATCGATGTCTCGTGCAATAGTTTGAGTAAAGTAGAAGAAACTGCTGTCTTCAATAGGTCGGAATATAAATCTTGCTGCTAAACTTCCCATATTGTTGACAATATCATAAGTTGCTTGTTGACTAAAACTAAGCACAGGACTTACCGACATCACATATCGTTCTCCTTCAGTCAGAACTTGTTTGAGAACACCTTGTTTGATAAAGCTTAACACTAATTTATTGAGATCGGAATTAAAAATACTACCCTGTAATTAAAATCAAAATTAATTATATTCATGAATATTAAAATCAAAATTCTTACAGAGTTCTTTATAACTCCTGGCACCATATCATGAACCGATGTGAAAGGAAAATCATTCATGTTTTCGTAGTAAGGTCCGAATTTCTTTACAATTTGATTCTCGTCATTGTCATTTTTCTTTCTATCGTTTCGATAAATCGTCAATCGTTTGATGTAAAAATAAAAGAAACCATAATTTCCAAGAATAATCGTCAAGCAACTAGTAAGTTGCGCAATGCCAAATGCGTAAATGGCAATGTCTTTATTGTTCATTACAAGCACAATAAATACCACTGAACGGATGAATATGTGAAGCGTATCAAGTATGACTTTCAGTTTAACGAAGCAAAAAACTTGACCAATAAACGCCGGCGCTTCAGCAGTTAGTTCGAAAATACAGGAAAACCCCATGGCATAACAGCCAAATCTATAGGCGCTTTCATAAGCTTCATCGACTGGAGAGAGGAAGTTCAGCCAAATATACAAACATGGAAGCGACAGAATGCAACACATCGGTACAGTGATCCACATTTGATTCACTAACTGTGCCCAATTACATTTGTTCTTTTCTTGCGTAGTTGAGCTTAGAGCCGCACGTGTTATTGATTCTTTAGAAAAGAAAAGAAGCGTGCTCTCAAGTAACAGTAATCTAACATTCATTATCCCAAGTACTTCGCTTTCTACATTCCTCAAAATGAATGCATTTATTGTGAAGGTTATTAGACGACAGAAAATCTAGGAAGAAAATTTTGTTGTGAGAAAACATCTTGACAAAGATTTATAATAGCATTTATATTTTCTTTACTATTCCTTTTACACAATCTACATGAAATATTACGTGGGTGGTTATGACGAGCTGTGTAAATCAGCTGGTTGTAAATATGAAACACATTTTCAATTATCTCACTTTCTTGTCAAGGTCAAGTTCATGATTATGTATTTTAATTATGCAACTTGAATAAAACATAAATAAGTGTGTATAATAATTCAATTAAAAATTAAATCTTCAGTCATCGAAAAAATGAAAACTATTTTGGCAATCCTCACATCCGCTATATTTCTTAATGTATGGGATGTAAACAGGAAATGTTTTCTAAGATTACTCACAACATTAGTTGTGAAATTGAAATTTCATTCATAAATTGATAACGAGGAAGATATTTTTATTTGCTACTTACTTGAAAAAATATTGAGAAAGATGCATTTAGCAAGCTTGAATGAAGAATGTTTCGTGTCATCTTTTTAGAATGTTAACGCTGTATCAACCTATTCATCAAGAGGTTCACTTATCACTGAGAAGCAGTCAATTAAATGGAATAAACTGTCAAGACTAAAGATTTTATTTGTTTACGTATCCCGAACATTGTAGATTATAAATAGGTAGGTACCTAAATGTTTTTATTGGATACAACATCGACCGTTTCGCTAGAAAAATTATTGACATTCCCTTTGAATTAGACGAGCCGACATATTACAACTTGCTATTGAATTTTAGTATATGTTGCTAACAATTTTCTGCAGCTGGCAAACTGAAAATTTTTCATTCATTTATTGAAAAAGCACTGTTTTCAAAATAAAAGTAGTGCTAAATATAGTATAAGTTCTTGCTCAAAAAGTGTAGACCATAACTATCATAATTCTGTCAAGTTTCATCAAGCTTTAAATTATAAATACATTCGGCCCTGTGGATTTTATTGATTTTTTGAATTTTCTATTGAAAAATGGATAAAAGAAAGTTATCGTAAGTATTTTTTAATAAAATCAAATGTTTTCAATCTAGTGAATGAAATGACATTTCAAATAAATCTCATCATTTTTCAAAGTGCTAAGAAAGCATTGTTATAAGAAGTTTTTCACACGAAGCATCTTGATATCGATTTTTCTTTCGTCGTTTCTCACTTACTGAATTTAAGATTACAACCGCGTAATTATTCGCTTTTTTATACTGACATAAGTAAAAGTGAAGATGTGTAAAATAATTTGATATTTTATTTATGCGGTTAATAAATATGATTTCCAATTCACTGAATTAGCTCACATGTTGATAGTAAAGTCAATGATTCATCTTTTCCGTCACAAAAAGAACAGAGGAAGAAAAACGTATCATTCGTCTGTTATATACAATATATTATATATAATTCACAACTAAGGCATATTTAATTTACAAAGTGTTAATCACCTGTAGCTAATAAATCCCTGAATAAAATAAATTTTCGACATTTTCACAGCACATCGGGCGATTCATTATATCAAATTCTTGGCCTGCCTAAGACATCGACTCCTGATGACATTAAAAAAACCTACAGAAAGCTAGCTCTTAAGTACCATCCAGATAAAAACCCGGATAATCCTGAGGCTGTCGATAAAGTGAGTGCTTAGCATACATACACAAACCTATTTCAAATTTATTCTTATGTCATGATCAGCAAAAGCACAAAGTTGACTTTTAGTTGTGTCGTTGTGATTGATAAGAAATTAATCCTAATTACCAAAACCTTAAGCTTATTATTTTTTTACTGATTTTATAAAAGTTCAAAGAAGTCAATCGAGCTCATAGTATTTTAAGTGATGAAACGAAACGAAATATCTATGATAATTATGGTTCGCTGGGCTTATACATCGCTGAACAATTTGGAGAGGAGAATGTAAATGCATACTTTGTCGTCACATCACCAACATGCAAAGTAAATAATTAAAGAATTTTTACAAAAGAATTGAAATGTTAATGTATCTTTGAATATTTTAGGCATTGTTCCTAATCTGTTGTATCGCAACTGGATGTTATTGTTGTTGTTGCTGCTGTTGTTGCTGCAACTTCTGCTTTGGCAAATACAAACCTGTACCACCAACAGAAGGCGGTGACTATCAGCATCTTAATGTAAGTGTTTTAATCTTTTTAATTGAACTAACAATTGTGTTATTCGCTGCAAATTTTTTTTTAACACTCCAATTACACAATTTGAGTCAAAAACAATTTTTCAAATTCAATTCGTGTTTTTATTAAATCAATCATTGATAATATAACTAATGAAGGTAGGTGATTTAGAAACAATGGAAGTGATTGAAAAGATCAACGTCATTCATCACTTTATTCCATGCGGCAGCAAACTAAATCATCTGATTTGTTTTAAAAGTTAAACATTTTTTTATTAAATTTTGTTATTTTTTTCTTATGATTTTCCCACACAAAATAAAAACACTTGCAACTCCATTAATTGATCGAATTAAAATCATAAATTTTTGTTCTGTAACTCATTATCAACATTACAATCACAGAGAGCTGGTGGAGCAAGAAGTCGGGTAAGTTTTTCTTTCGTAAATTTTCTTTAAACTTTTGTTTGCTTTTTTTCTTTTTTCATTCTCTTCGCTTTCAAACTTTTTCGTAAAATAATATAATTTGTTAATTAATCGATATTAATTTTATAGGAGGATTTAAATGACGGTGATGATCCAGTTACATCACAACCGAATGCTGGTCAAGCGACATCAAACATGCCAGTCTTTGCCATGCCACCACCATCGGCCACAAATCCTTTCGCCAATGAAACATCGAATTTGAATCAAGGTGGAACGAGAACTTACACACCAGGTGAACGATACTAAAAGAAAATATTTTCTCATGTTATTCATCACTCTTCTAATTCTGTTGTTTATTATTGGTCACCATTTCCAATGATTTTACTCGCCGAAAGTAACTATTTAATTTTTTTATAATTTTCTATTAAATATTGTGTTTGCGCAATAACATTTTTTATCTGTTATCAAATGAGCTTTTTTTCAACATACGTACATGTAAATATAATCAAATGTTTTAATGTTTGTAACTACAATGACATATCTGCTCATTTTTCTGTTGCTAAATTATTAATTTCTCCTTTTCACTTTTATTCAATTAAAAGGTTTCCAATAAATTTTCTAGCGGAACGATAAGAAAGGTGTGAAATAAAAGAACGATTCAATTAATTATTCAAATTTTCCATTAAAAATTCATTCTTGTTAACTTTTTCTTTGGTTGACTATAATTTTTATTTTCTTTATGAAATTTTCTTTTTTTCTATACCTATTTCATAGAGAATAGTGCAAGCAACCGAATGATTTTTAAATGGCCATTGACTGATGGCGTTGCGAGAAAATCTTTTTAATTTTAACTATTTCTATTGTGCTTGCTTACTTTGTAAGTTCATATTTTTTTTATGCAAATATTCAAAGGGAAAAGCCTTTTCATTTGTGAAATACATGCTTATGCATGTTTTTTCATCATATCTACAATCATGAGTCAGTTTCCATGTTTTGAAAACATACAAGAAATGTGAAAAATAGGTAGTTTTTAATCTTTCTTGCTTCCCTTTAAATGTTTCATTGATTCAGAATAAATTAGAAAATCTTTAATTTATGCTAGAAATTATAGTATCTACAATATTAATTCATTACAAGATTGTCGATCAAGATTGTTTCAATGTTTTTATAAGGGTTTGCTTGCTTATGTCATTGTTTTGTTACTTTAACCTTTTCATATCAATGCTAAAACAGCTTGAAGAAAATTATTTTGCAAAGATTTCTAATAAATTTCTTTCATTACGTTTCAGGCATGAACTAAAGTTTTATGACAACCCTCGATCACCAAATATTTGAAACAAGATAGATATGCAAATATGTATCAACTTTCTTTCCATTCTTTTCTTCGTTATCATCAAAATATTTTGTCAAATTAAGCTAAAAATGAAAAGATCTATTTAAGCTTGTTCCACAGGAGAAAGTAAAGAAACAAACAAATACTTATGTCCCGAAAACTATTTTTTTCTCTTGACATAATCATTAGAAATTTATGATAACACGATTACACTTCAAAACTTGAATGTAATGTAAGACGATGGAAATAGGTATTTCTGGTCTGTTTAAAGGTTGAACTCAATTACACTAATTATAAAAAAAAATCTTATGGAAATATTCGTAAATTATTGGACAAAATTTGGATGTGGAAAGAAGATATCTAACTGGAGTTTTTTTTCTTTAATGATTCAGATAAAGATCAGTATTTGAAGATAAGATAAATGTCAATTTCATGACAACGAATACTGATCATCAATGTTTTAGTCATATGTACTCTCGTGACATTATCTCTAACAGCGTGAGAAACAACAGAAGAAAAATAAAAATCCAATTGTATTCACAGACTATATATAAATACAAACTTTCAATAACAGAAGATTAAATATTTAGAAGGTATTGCAAAACAGTTTGATCGAATATCTAGATACCATAAAGGAAAAAAAGAAAAATAAATTATCTAAGTGTTTGACTCTTATAATGAAGAAAATATGCATACATACATACATATAAAAATTTAAATATAAAAGAAAGTTTATAATCGACTTAGATATTTAAGACGACAGTTCACCATGAAACAAAGTAAAAAATCATCTTTATCATGTTATTTTGAATTTCATGAATGTTGAGATAGCAAAAGTCTTCTTCGTTGGTTTTAGTTTCCCATCGTTGTAATGTCAGGAAACGCTTATGTTGAGAATGTGCTTGACAAGCATCTAGTAAAAAAAAGACTTCTATGATATTGAATTTGTTTGAAATGTTAAAATAATTAAATAAAATATTTCTGCTTCTCTTCGCTCCCAATTTTCCTTCCGACAATACATATTAAAACATCTGAAAATTTCCATAGCAAATCTTTTGACTTAAATTAAAATTATTGCAAAATTAATTATAAGAGAAGAAAACAAAAATAAAACATTTTTTTGAATTCCAATTTATGAACTTTTCATCTAGGTAGATATAAGCTTCCTACATTACTATTGCAATTAAAGTAAGTTAGATTTATTTTCAGGATTTTTAGAAATGTCTGCTCATGGGATTTCAGATTTAGATTAAATTTTTAATCTTAATCTCTAAAAATTACAATTCATTATTAACGGACTTTTGAGATTCAAATGCGTAATTTCAAGCGCGTAGAAAATATTTTCGTTAGTCACAATCACTACTCAACTTGTAATGTAGAAGAAAAACTTTCTGTTGATAATTTTCATTAAATATCAGTACGCTTCATAATTAACTAGAGTGTAGAAAAGTGAAATTCGAATTTGTGCCTTAATGTATTAAAAAACCATTACGGATGTGATTACATTTAGTCATTAAAGGTGGGAAAATCTCTTTGTTTAGTAAATAGCATATTTTGGCGTGAGACAAAGGTTCAAAACTGATAACGAACATTGATTATCGATCACGCTCTGTTTTGTAGCTTTATGATTTTAAAGCTGGTTAAGTGCTTCTGCACTTAATAATGAAAAAGTATCGTATAGAACGAACATGTTTTTCTTTGTCAATAGTGATATATTTTTGAAATCAATGTCGTTCATACAATGAAGATAAAAAGTGAATGTGAGATCGTGATCAAAAGCCCGAGAGAAAGAAATTGAAACCATATCGTGAATAGATTTAAAACAAATTATTTCATATGACTGATAACAAAAAAAAAGACAAATTTAGTTCAACCTAAGTAAGTGCGATATCAAAGTTATTGACTGAGATACTTGATATTTGATGACTAAATAGGTACTTACTTTACTAAATTCAATTAAATTTGAATCGCTTCACACTTTGAACACTGATCCTAATCACTATTTGTCGATTTCTTTTGATGTGGTCTTTATTTGAAGTGTCAAGAAATTCTAGGGAATTTGATTTAATTCATTGTATTTAACGATTAAATTCGGAATAATGTTGATAAAGCCTTTTGTAATAATCGCGATTCGAAGCAACTCAAGATTTATAAGCTGAAACGACCTTAAATTTCTCGTGATTTTTTTTATTCCAGTTCATTTTCATTCACAGCTGTGATTGAACGTTTGTTGTGTAAGGCAAAGCACATTTGTCTTTCTTATCAATAGAATTATATACACATTAGTCCTCCGAATGCAAAGTCACAAAGAAGTATGTAAGGCGGAATTGAGGATTAAATATCTACATATATATGAAAACCGAAACTGAAAGACTATCAGTGGAAATTTTAAGCTCTTCTAAATAGACATAAAATATAACAGACAAATGGCAACAACAACGCCCGTTAAGACAACGAACTTAAAAATCGCAAAAGAGTTAAATATCAGTTTCGAGGGACTGAGTTACAGCGCAAAAGTCGGATTTTTAAAAAGACGTGAGTTTTTAATATTTTTAACGTAATCAGAAACTTTTTTTTGCAACAACCATTCACTTCCGAATCAGCATTTTCTTTCTTCTGAAATATTCTCAATTAAATACTAAAAGTTGAATGACTTTTAAGTAGAAAATGAAGTTTAGATTTTAAATAATTTTGTTTCGGTGCATGTGAACGTAACTTAAGATATGAAAAAATATTTTAGATGATAAGAAAGTACTCAAAAATCTCAATGGGGAATTCCGTTCACGCGAGCTTTCTGTCATTCTTGGTCCAAGTGGGAGTGGAAAGTCTACATTGTTGAATCTTCTGTCTGGATATAAATTGAAAAATATTTCGGGAGTCATCAAGGTCAATGGAAGTCCACGAAACCAAAAACATTTTCGCCATTTAAGCAGCTATGTAATGCAAGATAGTCTTCTTCATCCACTTCTAACAATTAGAGAAGCGATGCGTTTCTCATCGAATCTTAAAATTGGAAAAGAAATGGACGATGTTGAAAAGAAAATACGAGTAAGTTTCAATGAGATTTGATTTAAATTTTAATTAATGAAATATCTTTTAAATAGATTAATGAGATTTTGGAACTTCTTGGACTGACAGATATGAAAGATGTTTACACAGGAAAACTTAGTGGCGGTCAACAGAAACGCCTCTCAATTGCTCTCGAACTTGTGGATAATCCACTTGTGATATTTTTTGACGAGCCAACCACGGGTTTAGACTCGTCTTCATCATCGCAATGTTTACAACTTCTTAAAAAGTTAGCTGATAGTGGAAGAACAATCATATGTACAATTCATCAACCCTCAGCTTTACTCTTTCGAATGATTGATCACATTTATGCCATAGCTGATGGTCAATGCATTTATCAAGGATCGTGTAAAAATTTAGTGCCATTTCTTAATGAACTTGATCTTGTGTGCCCTGAATCTTTTAATCCCGCCGATTATTTATTGGAAATTTCAACTCATGACTATGGTTATCAAAATGGAAGATTAAACGAGAAGATTCAACATGGAATGAATCAACAGTATAGAAAAAAATTGTCAATAAATGACAAACAAACAGACCAACAACAAGTTTTATTACTGCCAAAAATCGAAACAAATCCGATAAGTATTTGCGTGAAGAAAGCAAAGTTTAGCTCAAAATTACAAATATTTGATCCTAAAAGTTATTGCAACGACAGCGATCTTTATTCGACATCTTTTCTTCGTCAGTTTCATTTCCTTCTTATCAGAATGTTTCTGTTGATATCGAGGAACCCTTCAATGTCAGTCATGAGAATTCTCATTCATTTCGTTGTTGCCATAGGAATTGGTTTGATCTACAACAACGTAGGCGATTCAGCAAAAAATATGATGAATAATTTCCGGTATGTTTTCTACTCGGTGATGTTTCTTATGTTCACAGCATTTTCAAGTCTTCAAACAACATGTAAGTGAATCATTTTCTTTAGTTGACTAAGACAACTTATCTTAACAAAAAATGTAATTTAATTTTAATTCTTTAATTACATTTCACCATTTTTAGTTCCATTAGAACTACCGGTCATTAAACGTGAACATTTTAATCGTTGGTATTCAGTACGAGCCTATTACGTCAGTCTGATGATTGCCGATATACCAATCCAAGTATTTTGCACAGTGATTTACATTTTGATCACGTATTTCATGACCAACCAACCACTTGAATTCTTTCGTTTTGCTGGATTCTTTTCCGTTAATCTTTTGGTTTGTTTTGTTGCTCAAGGATTTGGAATGATAGTTTCAACGATTTTTAATGTTAAATGGGGATGCATTCTTGGAAATATGATCATATGCCCATTCCTTTTGTTCTCAGGATTTTTCGTTCAACTTAAACACGCACATCATTTACTTCATTGGCTTTTTCATATTTCATTTCTAAAATATGCTTTAGAAGGTTCGAACACTGACATGATCCATTCAATTATTCATTTATTAACAAAGTTTTCATTGTCTTTCATAGGCGGTGTTTACACAATATTTGGCTTTAATCGAGGGAAAATCGAATGTGATGATGACGAAGAACTTAATTATTGTCGTTACTCATACCCAAACCAGCTTTTACGTGACATTGGTATGCAAGACTGTCCCAAAAATAGTACAACAAACTGTGATGTTTACATGTACGAGAATCAAAAAGCAGATTTTTCTAAAGTCATCTGCATTCTTATACTGTTTACAGTAGTTTTCCGATGTATTGCATATTTTATAATGCGATATCGTCTAAAAAATTGACAATTATAAGAAGCTAGCATTTTTTTAAAAATAGTCAACTTAATTTTTTAAAAGTTAAAAATCTAATCATAGTTATGTAAGGTTGAATGTTCAACATTGATAAGTATCTAAACATACAAAATGTATAAAAATGTATGTGAACTCTATTGAATAAAGTTTTTTATCTTGTTAGATATCAGTTGACATTTTGCTTATAATAATCAGAGTAGATGTTATCAATCAAAGAAGTTGTTAGGATGTCGGCACGATTTGTCTGATTTAATGTTATCGAAATTACTATCTTACTTAAGCTTTTAACCCTGATTTATGAATCGAAATAATTAATCAAGACAGCTGGATATCAGTTACTACAGGTGGTCGATGAAAAGATAAGACTGCAAGAAAGTAAGTGTACGTGGTAACAACAAAAGTTCTTGTAAACAGTTTTTGTTTAAGTTTTTTTTTCTATTATTGGAGTATTCTTTCTTTCTAAGTATATTTCTATTTCAATACAAGATACATCACACAAGTCTTTAAAACTGCCTCAACAAGAAACAACTATCTGGCTATATACTTAACCGATACCAATTTAGTAAACTAACTGCTGCCTAATTCAGCTCTTGAAAATGATATTCGGCTGCGACCCTTCAAGGCAATTGCACTGGGTCCGCCACAATTTTTGCATCTATATTTTCTTTAAATTTTCATCACTGCATATTGTTTTAATTATATACTTAAATTCGTAGCAATGTAAATTGTGAGGCAGCCAACTTTTTATCCCAGCATCAATAATATCAGAAAGCAAATTTAATAAATAATAATAATAATAATAATAACAATTCTTTTTATTTACAAAAAAAAACAATTAGGTATACATCCTTGTTACAGTTTTTTTTCAAAAAGAAGAAAGAAAACAAACGAGTAGTGCGAAAGGAAGAGTTCATGGTACTCACTCAGTTTCGTTACGTCATAAAATTATATCATTTTAAAACGTGGATTGAACTTTATTAGTAATGAAACTAAGTATTTATCCTATTTGGATGATTCTCACCAAGAAGATTTTATCCGTTATAGTTTTGAAATAGAAATGTTGAAGTTTGTGTCACTTCATAAATATTTACATGATGATCAACAAACAAGAAAGAAACACTGAAATATTTGTTTACAACTTTTCATGACTCACAAAGCATTCAGCAATAAAAGTCGGAGAATGGCGACTCTTTTCTGAATGATGGAAGATAGAATGGAACTTTCGAATTCTTCTTTATTCAAAATAGAACGTTTCAACTTCCTATTTATATATACTGGAAAAAGAAGACAATTAGCTTGTGTAACACATTGACAATCAAAATTTTTATTTCAACAAATTCCTTTTTTATGACACATCAAAAAATATTTCATATCAAATTTTGGTATCAGTTTCAGAGTGTGTATGTGTTTACGACATGTGATTTTATCATCTTTTCTTCTTGTTTTTTTATATGCAAAATCCACGATGTGAAGCTAATCACTAAAAGCAACATAAAAATTGAAATTCCATTAATTGATACATTTGATTTGTTATTATTAAAACAAATTATTTTCATCTTCTATGAAACTGGCCTTTTGAATTAATCCTTTCTTATTATGATGTAATAAAATAATTGAATTACAAAATTATTTATTGCGGATGATCAATGTTGGAAAAGAATGACAGAATTTAATCTTCAAAGTAATTCGATCCCATTATGGATTTGTTTTGGCTTTTTCCTGAATATATTTTTTTTTCTTCGACTTCTTTTTTTTTTGGTTTTTCTTTTAAATAGAATTCTGTTCTTTATATAAAGTCTTAAATTACCTAAGGTCTAAAATTCTAATTAAGAACGGATGGGAATAAATCGCGCGCTATGATAGATATTTAAAAAGTTCACGAAAAATCAAACGAACGTAATTCAAATTTGCGAAACAAGGAAAGAAATCTTCTTAAGCTCACAGCGATGCGAATCTTATCAACATCCGTTTTAGTCTCTAATTCAAAAATCTGCTGCTCATTCTAATCATAATCGAGTTCTTCGTATATGCATATTACTTTTACCGGCATCTCAACTCATGTTATTAATTCTAATTCTCAAAACAACGAATAAAAATAAGAAAGGAAAAAATGAGAACAGTCAAAAATAATTCACAAAAACGAGGATTTCAAGTTAATTTTCTTATTCTTCTTTTCTTTTCGCATATTTAATCAATGTGAATGTGTTATTCGTTAATTAATCTATTCAACACATATATTTACTCATCAATTAATCTAATCGGATGCAAAATGACGAGATTTGAAACATAAAAGTTACGAAAAGAAGAATTAATATTAAGAAACGTAATGTCAAAAAAGAGAAACGAAAACATAGATTAATATAGATATTTAGTAAATTCACGATAGTTGTAATAATTAAGAAAGTTAAAGTGCTCGCCGTTAATAATTTTACAAATAAGAAGAATGATAAAAGTAAATAAAAAAAGTTCAAAACTATTCTGAGCAGCAAGTGTTTTCTCACGTTCGTCTCACAGATAGACTCGATAGATATTCAACGAAAACAGAGAAAAAAGGAAAATAATATGAAAGAAGATAAATGATTCATTATCTAATATGGCTTTGAGGCATCTTTGGATCGTTTCAGTTGCACTTTTAAGCGTTTTGTGCCGATCTGAAAACCGTGCATCGCCTGAATCGCAGCCTGAGCTGATGAGCTGTTATCGAATGACACAAAACCAAAACATTTACTTAAGTTCGTTTGTTTATCAATGAAGACTTTTGCAGACACAACATGACCGAATGGCATAAACGTTGAAGCCAAATCTGTGTCAGTGAATTCTTGTGGCAGATGATAAATGAACAAGTTACAGCCTTCAGGTCCTTCCACTTGCTTTCCAGCTGCTTGAGCGACTGCTTGTGCCAATGCTGGATTGGCAAGAGGCGACGTAGTGAAAGGTGAAGCAAATTGTGGTAATGTTGCAGCTGTTGAAGGTGTTGTCGGCGTTGCAGCCAATTGTGAAGTCAATGCATCAGCTCCCGGCCCTAGAATGAAATACAATTTGTGAATTCTCTTCTTTTTATATCCTTAAAAGAAAACTTACATAAACTTGCAGCAGCAGTTCCATTATGCAATGGTGATTGTTGACTAGCCGTTGTGCCTGTTAGTGTTGGTTGCGTCATCGCAGCCAGTGTGAGAAGATTTTGTACAGATATTGGACCAAGCAAACCTGCTGCAGCTGCAGCTGACAAATTAGCGGCTGTTGTGGTTTGTTGTGTTTGTGGTTCTGTTTGAGCTCCAAGTCCTTAAAAAAGTTATTATAATAATTGAAAGCTTTTTTTCTTTTGCTGTTATTTATTTTAACTCACCATGCAACAATTGTTGTTGCAATCCAAATGCTTGTATTTGTTGAAGAAGTTGTAGCGATGTTGCTGGTAATGCATCTGATGCTAAATAAGGACTAGAGTGAGTTGGCGGATTTGAATGAATTGGTGAAGCGACAGGAACTGGTGATGGTGCTATAGGACTGTTAAGACCGGCAGCGAAATTCCACAGGTTTGATTGAAGTGACTGAATTCGTTTGGCGTCTTTTTCTTTTTGTGTATCTGCAAATTTAACCACCAACGGAGCTGAACATCCTTCCATAGTTTGACTTTGATGAAGAGCCTAAGAATTTGAAATCAAATTAATTGTTGTTTCAAAAAGGATTCTTTTGATTGTCACCTTAATAGCACCAATGGCAGATTGTTTGGTTGAGAATGTCACAAAAGCGCAGCCTTTACTTTGACCCGACGGATCACGAAGAACTGTACATTCTTCGATTGTCCCGTGACTTGAGAACATTTGCCTTACATCATTTTCATTGTACTTCTTGTTCAACATTCCGACGAACAACTTTCGTTCTTCATTGTTTGTTTTTGGAAGGTAAAGGAAGAGAAAATATTTTAAGGATTATTAGGAACAAAAGCGTTTTTTATTCTTAAAAAGAATTTTCTATTGCCATTCTCAGAGAATTGTAGTGAAGCTTAATTACCTCCGAAAATTGAGTTGAATTTTGAACAACACGCACAAAAAATTTCCAACTTGAAAACTTTTATTTAAAAGAAAATTTTACCTGGCAATAAATAAGGTGTTGGATTTGGTGCTGGTAACCAGTAAGCCGCACTGATTGATGGATAATGTTTGGAACTGTCGCATGACGATGTTTTTATTGTAGGACTACTACTTGTTGACAATGATTTCGTTCTGTTTTTCATTATTTTTTTAAAGCAGTTTTCAAAACGCAACAGTTTTTGATTTTTATCGACGATTATAGGGAAAAGTTATATATTTAGCGTAAGAAGATTCAAATGTTGACATAAACAACAATAGACAGATGATGATGAAAATGATGATAATGATGATGGTGGTAGTAAAGTTGTCAGGAGATCGTCACGATTTTATAAATAATATTATTTATTTTGATTGTTTTACAACCACCCGAGAAAGAGGAACGAACATTTATAAACAATTATTAGCGGTTATGAATCAAGAATTCTTTCCCTCGCTCTCGCTCTTTTTTGCTACTAATACACTATCCCCAAAGGTGAATGATGAATATTACATTTAACAACACAGTAACACGGACATAACTTTAATATTCAATGCATTATTTTGTTTTCCAAGTGTTCATTTTAAGTTGCAAAGTACACAAAAAATAAATTGTTACATCACAAAGAGTTCACTTCTAAATTTTCTTCTTCTTTTTCTTCACTCAGATTGTTTTACTTTTTTTCACAGAAAATAGATGGTTCAGCTTACAGTTTTTTTCTGCTTTAAAAGATGTTTTTTAAGACATTACATCGATAAATATTCTGATAAGAATAAAGATGATGTTCAACAAATTGGAACAAAAAGAAAGATTATATAAGTTTACAACTTACAACTTTGACCAAAAGATTCCGATAAATAAATGAGGGAAATAAAAAAAGAAATATATAGTGCTAAAAGCTTAACAATTCTTAACAAGTCCATCCACCTTTAAACTTTTACCTCCTTAATCAGTTTAATAAAATAATCTAAAAAAACTGTTATGCAATGCTTTTTGTTTTGTTTGGAAAATAAAGATTAACGAATTTTCATTTCAACTTGCACAATTGACACAACACAATATTCCGAAATGTTGAAAGTCATTCAATTAATGATGGTTGTGCTTTATACTTAGTTGACTCAATTATATCGAACCTTCTGTTACTTTTAATTAAATTTAGTTTTTATCGCCAAAATTGAAAGAAAGAAATAAAAGCGATATGGCACAGTTGCTTTTACGAGAAATATTTCGCGAATAAATAATTGAAAATAACGAAAAGTAATCGAAGAAATTTGTCGCTGGGCCTTTTAAAATAGAAACATTTCTTTCCCGTTGTCTTCGTGATCAACTTGAAAAAATCAATTTAAGAAACTTAGTGGATTAGATTCTCTTCTCATACAATTGTTGAAGAATTTACAATCAAATTTTTTTAACGATGGAAACGAATGTTCAAAAATAATAAACTTTGAGCAAAGAACATCTTGTATCAATCAAGTTTGATAGATATAAAGTCATTGTAATCAAGCTGTGACTTTTAGTATGATGAGATAAAAGATTCACGATCTTTGAGTAGTTGATTGCAATGAGAAATATCTTTGCTTTTGTGTATGTAGAGTAAAGAGTATATAAATATCACTTGCATGAGTCAATTCACGAACGCAATAAATATTTAATTGATTTTGATGTCGCATTCCGCCTCGACAGTTTTCGCTCTTTTTCGTCAACGAAATTGTTTCTTTCCTCATTCATTCCACCTGAAATAATGTCGCTTAGCTGCTTTCTCGTTGTTCGTGTGCATGTTGATAGTCGTGATTGACATAACAAAATAGTGAATCGGAAGTGGGGAAAAGTGAGATGGAGAGACCGATAGTATCAATGAAAGAGTTCTGTTAATTGAATAACACACCCAAAAAACACCTTTTGGAATTTGTCATAAATCTTTGTTCAATCATAAATCGATGAATGAATGTTTTCATCAATCAGCTTATAGATAATTAAACAAAAATAAAAAAGCAATTAAAGCTTTGGATAATATTGACCTGACTCTTTGTATACCAAAAAAGATAAATAAATATGTTTAGACAGTAAACAAATCTACTTAAACAAGGCACAGAAGCGAGAAAGAAAAGATATCTAACTCATTTGAATAGAAATGAGAACAAAATATTATTAAAGAACAATAATAATAAATATGGAATGAAATATATTACAAACGGTGATCACATTAAAGTGAATTTGTGTTACAACACATCATATGTAAGTAAATAAGCTCTTCATTCACTCATGTACTTGTTTTCAACCATACATTTACGAGTATTTTCTAACTCTACTGCCATCGCAGTTGTTGGAAGCAAATGAAGTGTGTTGCTGTGGATGCCACAATACATTTTTTTACTTCATTGTTACTTTGAAGTTTGCTTTGTAGGTTCGCGGTTCATGAGAGTCAAGCCCAGAAAAATCAAATATGAAAAATGAAGCCACGTGAAGACAATAACTGAGCTTTTTTTTTGGAATGAGAAGTTGCTTTACTTGCTGTTTGTCAGCCAGTCAGTCAGTTACTTTTACAAGACCAAAAAGAAAAACCGCTTTTTATACAAGAAACAATTAAATATTGTGACAACATTTATTACACAAATTGTTTTTTACCATCATCGTTGGATAAATGCAAAGCAATGTTAATTGAAAAATTTGCAATTTAAAACCTTTATGAAATCTTCTGTCAATGACCATAAGACTTTTTTCATTGCTCTCATCGTCATTTTAACTGACACTTTCATGAATGTCTTCTTTTTCAATAGCATCAGCAAAATAAAAATAAAAAGACAAACATTTTCACACTTTTTATCGCCGTTTAAATTCACAAAAGTCCATTCCCGGTGGCTATTTGCTTTTCTCATTGATATCGCACTTGTCTTCATTTTTTCTCTCTCTCTTTCTTTTTTTTGTCACAATCCTCACAAGAAATGTAAATTGCTTACTTAAACAGATTTTTATATTATACTTCTATAGTCGTGTCCTTCACTTGCTTCCAACAATCAATTTCATGGCTATTGCGCAACGCTTCGTTATCTTTCTTCTAATCTTCCGTGATCTAACTAAATATCTTCATGTACAATTTATGCTATCGTTTCCGTTTCTTTTTCATTTTTCAACATCGTTTCAATCTACAACTTTTTCAACTTTGCGTGAAGCTTATTTGATGGTCAATTGTCAACTGAACTATCCTCACTAAAAAATTCATTTTTTTTCTGTACACTTTAACAAATATCTATTCTCTTGACGATACTCTTGTGGCTATTGAAATTTCACATATATGTGACAAATGCAAACAGACCCTTGAAAAAGAACATGAAAAATATTTAATAAAATAAATAAAAACCGCTGTTTGATGAAACAAAACACATCACATCTCCCCTCATATCACAAAAGAAATCCAGGTTTATTTTTCGCGACTGTATAGTTAAGCAAATATCGTCTTTTTTCTACATACAACCTACTATGTAGAGTCAGCTAAACACGATCACGTACATATATCTCATTGAAATCGTCAATGTGTGACTAACTCAGATGGAGAAATAAGTAATGTGTATAATAATTATCAAAAGGTAGAAAAAAAAAAAATTACTAACGTCATACATACAAATGAGAGCTCAACACCAAACGGAAAACAATAAGACATGAAATGTAAATAAATACGCTGCGGTAAGCGTGGAGAAGAGAATATTGCCAAGAAAACTGATCGATTGATTATGAATGTTACAAAAGTTTTCTATTACAAAAAAGTATCACAGTAATTTTCAACACTAACAACTCTGAGATTTAATTTTTTTTTCTCTTTCTGTCTTTGTTGAGATAAAATCATAAAAGCTCTTTTACGATAAATTTATTTCCCTTAAGCTCAGCACAAGCGTGGGTGTTTAAAACGTAAACTTCCTCGACTCACGTTTCAACTTCAACTGTTTGATGGCCCATCGTGTGTTGCTTGCGCCCGATCGTAATCGATTTTGTCGTCTCTTTTTTACTTTTTTTTTGTTGTGCAATTATTCTCGCTTATTTCTGACTTTTTATTTTGTTCGTGAATTTTAATGGTGCAATGTAAATAAATTCAAATTAAACTTCGATATTCTTCTTCTTTTTCTTGCTTTTCGCTGTTTTTATTTTTATTGTTTTGCAATTCTAAATAGATAGTATAACTGAGATAGGTAAACAAAATATAGAAAAAAGAATTCAAAGCTGCCGAGACTTTGCCGATTGATCGTATACTGATGAATGTGAGAAATTATTCTGTGAGCATTAGACTGTAAGATAAGAAAAGAACAAGAAGAAGTTTCGCAAGCATTAGGTCAAACGTCATTTAGAAATTGTGCAAAGTTTGAGTTTCACTTTTAATTAAAATAGCAATAATATCAAACAAATTTAGCATTTATAATCGAAGGTCTCGCGAAAAGTAATTCAAAACCATAAAAAATTAAACGAGAATCAAATGAGATTCCAATTAGATTTGTAAGTACGCGCCCATTATTGTAGAGTCTGTAGGAAATATTCATGGATGATTAATTCTATTGTTTTTATCGTTGCCTCATTTTATTTATATCGATTCGTCTGCAATTTGTAGCCGTATCTTGCTGCATTAATATGTTATAAAAATCCATTTTTTATTTAAAACTCTCCAAGTTCAAAGTTTTTTTTATTTATTATTAATATACCAATCGGCGATGATTCCTTTCAAAGACACAAACTTCATGTTACGAACAGCTACTGTTGATGACAATCCGATTATGGAAATATTAGAGAGCGAGAAAAAGAGTAGATAGTTTCTAATGTTTTTTTTATTTCAAAGTGTTATTATGAACGATTGAGTAAACTCATCATCTATCTGGTATCAAGGGGCAATTCATCGAAAAATATTGACCGACAGAAGCACCATTGGGAAAGAAAAGCATTAGGTAGTGCTTTCCTAAGCATAATTTAGAGGCGGTAGGCAAAACCACTACGATGAATTACCCCTTGTCTGGTATGATAATGTTTGTAAGCGGTTTTGCATTCTCCTCTCACACAACAGAAAAAATCACATCACGATAGTCGATAATACTGACGAGAAATGATGTTATTTTGTGATAAGTAAAAAACAATTGTAGAACATCATACAAGTTCATTCTACATGCTGATTATTGAATCATTGCGATGTCATTTCTCCTTTCATGTCGGTATTGTAATCATTACCGCACGAATTTTTTTTTTCTGTCTTTTCAATTAAACCGTAATAAAAATTATTTGCATTTAACAACGCTATCAAAATCATTTATAAATTTCATCATTGTAATCGTTTTTAATGATACAAAGGCTGCATCAATTTTCTCTTTGAATGGCAATAAAACATTACTTTATATTGTTCGATATTTAACATTTTAATCAAATCGTACTCACCATTACGGTTCTCACTATCAGCCGGTTTCATTTGGATCGGATGGTGCATCTAGAATAAAACGAGAAAAAACTTTAAAATAATTTTCCATGAAAAGAAGTGACATGATGAGAAAAGAGAGAAAATCATTGAAAAGCAAAGTAAGAATTGAAGAGATTTTTAGAAATTCATGTTGTCACGAGAATATTCGCGTTTATTGCAAGAGAAAAATGAAAATATAAAAAAAAGAATTAAAAACTCGCCAAACATTAGTGGGAAAAGAAGGAAAATAAAAGGCAAAATCATGATGGAAGACCAACAATTTTTTGCTCTTTTTATAGGAGTTTATTCGTTTGTGAGAAAATAATTGGAGTTACTGAAAAACGAATAAAAAAAACTTTTAATTTGTTTTCAAAATTGAAGAACCTTTTGAGAAAAATCAGAAAAAAGAAAATCAATTTAACGTTCAATGACATGTTCTAGGGGAACAAAAAGTTCTGTATCTGGGTTTCGCGAAAATAAAAAAGATTTGCCTTGAGGAATTTCAAAGATTCTAAATATACAAATAAAAAATAAATGTCTTATTGCTCATTGTACGCTCTCACAATCGCTATTTCTTCACACTTACAAGCATATTAGATATTCATTTGCGAACCTTGTTTTTCTTTTTACTTGCATTTTCTTTTCAATTGATTTTCCGTTAACGTGCGACAATTTTGGCTGCATTTGCATTTTTTCTGTCTGTTCTTTTTCTGACGTTCTGCAACCAAGCGCAGATTAAATGTATGCGACAAAAATATTCTATTTTGCATTACAAATTGAGACTTTAGTCTCGATGAGAGTGATTGTTGACAATCTATAAGAAGTCTCAATGAAACTTAAATATCCACGATAATGATGATTATATTACATTAAGCCTTAAATTTTCATTGATTCGCAATATCATTAAGAACAACTTCTAAATAAATAGGATCAAGACACTTTAACTCCATGTCCTCGAGATATTGTAACATATTTCTGATAACATGTTTGCTAATCCAATTGTCTTTTATTTTTTTGTGCTTTTCTCATCTTCTTCCAAGATATGTGAGTAAGTATTATTAGTCGAAAGTATATGTACATAATGTTGTGAGACATAACGAGATGGTAAAAATGTAAGATATAAAAAAACAAACAACGAGACTTCAATTTGTCTAAATATTCAGTCAAACAAGAGAATAATAAAACATAAAAATTAGATAAATTAAAAACAGCAACAAAAATGTACATCGTTATAGTAGCTTTTACTCTTCGAATGAAGTGACGATTGCTTCGGTTCTTTACTTACCCCTACTAAAGTCTTAATGTTATGAAGTGCATCCTGAGCCTTCAACGCAGCCTTTCGTGTATAAAACGTCACAAAACAGCATCCTGCGGAAGACAACAACAAATATAACAAAAAGCTTTCATAAAGCACAGAAAGTCATTCGGATTAAAAAAGTCGAAATAAAATTTCACAAGTTAACAATAAATGTCATGGAAAAATGATATATATGAATGTTTTTGGCAGTTATAAGTTGTCAGAAAAAGGTGCTGGACAAACATTATTATATTCAGGAAGAAAATTCCAAGGGACATAAAAAATGTTACAAATCAGTAATTGCATGTGAAACATTGCAAAATAATATGGTAATCTCCTGACTTTTGTTCTTAGAAAATTGATGGAAAAGAACTTGCAAAAGTTTTCATTATATTACAACAATTTATTCTAAGAACATATCAGGAAATCATCAGAAACAAAACAATTGAAAAACAATCTCCAATAGGCCGTTACTTTTTACATGGAAAATTTTCTTTAAAAGTTTTCCAGAATATATACTTTAAAGAACAAAACATACAAATAGCGATAACAAAATAAATTCCCAAGTGTAACAACATAATTCAGCTCAATACATGAAAATCGATTTATAGTAGCTTTATGTGAACCTCATGATCGAGAAAACATTTATCTCGATAACACAAAACAAAATTGTGTTCATTAAATTATTCACACCATTAACACAATAAATGATTGAAAATATTCCTCCCGAGAAGGAAAGAACCGGGAATGAAAAAAATATTATGAAGCTTAATTTAACTTCGGATAGCTAATAAAAAGGCTTTCAAGGTTCACATAAAGCTTTATTTTTCTATTTAAATATTCTTCGTTATCCCTTCCATAGATTTTTCCAATATCTCGATTCGGAAAAATTATAATTGAACAAAGAACGGTCTAAAAAAAAAGGTTTTTTCTTGATAAAGCATACCGGAAGAAAAATCAATAAATTACGAGACAGGCAAAAAAGAATATTCGCTTTAATTTAGCTTTTGCAGAGATTTTGGTGATGACCTGTATCTCAATAAATTCTTGTATTTCATGTTAATTGAGCTTTTTGCTAGATGTTGAGCAACTAATTTTTATCGCTCAGCTGGTCCTTATTAAACAATGCAATAAATCGTTTTATGATAATTATTTTTATAATAATTGCGTGGCAGAATATAAGAGGAAACGAGAAAGAGAGACTTGAAAACGATAATAGTCTCTGGCTGAAAAACCGAATTAAAATAAATTGAAAATAGACGATCGAGACAATTCAAGTATAGTGAACAGTGGGATGCCGTGGTAGATAATCGAGTAGGAGTGATATTTTAATTAATCCAATAAATATCGCTAACCGCAAAATGAGAAATCAATGCACACTCACCTTTACTCAATCCTGTAGATTTATCTCGCAGAACATTGATCGTATGCACTCGACCATACTCCTCGAACATTTCACGCAACTGAGCCTCGTCCATCGAGCGTGGCACTTGTCCAACAAACATTTTGATGTAATCTGCATCAGGCTGGTCCTGTTCCATCGGCTCGCTCGTGTTTTTCGGATTATTGTCCTTTATCAACATGCTGTTTATTTGATTCTGATTGACCGTAAGGGTGTTGTTGTTGTTAAGCGTGTTCATGTGGTCACTGTAGCAAGAAGAAAAAAAGTTTAAGTTTATTTTAAGGTTAGAAATATGTATTAGCTGTAGTTTTTCTCTTAGAACTAGCATATTGATATGAAATCTTTTTTGCTTGATTTATGTAGGTACTCTTTCAAATTAAGATATGATCAAAAGTATTAATTTATTGTTTTATAACATTTTTTTAACTTTAGCCAAGCTATAAATAGAATGTTCTTAAATGGTGAAAATGACTGATTTTGCCTCTCAAATAGACTTACTGATAGAAGTTGTAGTCGGTTTCTATTTCACCAATGCCAATAGGACAATATCTTCCATGTTTTCCGAAATGCATGAATTGTGAAGCAAAATTCAACATGTTGAAACTTTTAACACCAATTATTCAAGCAATAAATAAAAAATTTAATATTTCCCTTGATGTTATGTTCTATAACAGGAAAACGTGCAATTTCAAAGGTTTATTACAAGGTTTAACAAGTTTGATGCGCTGCAGTCAAAGAACTTTCAAATATTAAACGCATGTGTTTTATTGGGCTTAGGGCCGATTTCGTTTACTCAATTAGATCTACAAGATAGACCCTCTTATCATCTACCAGGGCACATCTAATATATCAGTCACACCAGAGTAGATAAAAATTGAATTTGAATTTAACTGTTATTGCAAAATCATAATCTCCTAAGGTTTAATTTACCACTTTTCCAAATTTAATTAACCTGTCTGTCATTTAAGCTTCCTTCATTCCGTTTGACTTAAGTTTTAAATATCAATTACACACTCAATTTGGTTCTCGACCTTAAATCCAAAAATATATTTTCATCGATGTCATTTATAAGTTTCAATGTTAATGCAATTTCTGTAGAATAGTTTTAGTACTCAACAGACAAACAAATAAGCTTTCTTCAATGAAATCTCTCATTAAAATTTGATATCTATTTTTCCAATAAGCTTCGAAATCAAATCATATACAGATATATCTAAACTATGAAAGCAAATAAACAATTTCAACAACATAATTGAATGGATATCAGTCAAATTAATTATTAACACTGCTGATTTAATCCTCAATGGATCAATAATGTTTTCACACAAATATCACGAAAATATAAAATAAGGTTTAATTTTGACAATCTAAAACAGATGCGTATGGGTTGTATTCATTTAGAATAAAAAAGCAAAGAAAAATATTGTGAATGAAAATAAAAGATCCTTTTCACCTGTTGGGAACATGTATAATTCTCATCATAAAAAAGAAGTAATTTTTTATCATAGATATTTTTTATCATAGATCTATTTATATCTCATTCAGAAACATGACAATGAATGATGAAATTTACAAAATCTCGAGGGAATAGCAATAAATGTTATCATATTATTTTCAAAGCTGTTTAAAAATTTTCTTAATTACATGACCGTTTACCCAAAATTTTGTTAACAGTACGGTGGAACTCAAGGGAATGAAACGAAATTTTAGAGAAATTCATAATGACTTTCATTTTACGCTGTCCACGTTTTTCGTTTAATTTACTTATCAGGTGAAATCAGTAGAGTGAAAAATAATTCACGCACGAGTAAAAAAAAGAATTATCCCGATATACTACTTCCGTTAAAAATATCACGAGACAAAGAAAAGGTCCCAGTTGGGCGATGAATGCCTAGAAATTATCGTCGGTTAGTTGAACAGATAATCCTACGAAACATCCACAAAAAAAAATAAATATAAATAAAACACACATTTTACAATGATTTGGGTGCTTTCAAAAGCGCCGTATACATGTATAAATATCAGCCACAAAATTTGTTCGTGCTGGTTTGTCGAGAGTTATCATGACAACGGATTTTTTTTCCTTTAGCCAACAACACAATAATAAAACAAACATTCAAATAGACTTGATAAAAAGCGACAGAAAAGATAAGATAACGAGGCAAGTTGGACTCGAAAAAAGGTGGAAAAGAATGCAATGAATCGTTGTTCATTTTAAGTATCTTTTCATGAAAAAAAATGAAGAAACTGTTTTGTATTCAAGCACACGGCTACGTCAAGATTGAAACAGGTTAATTAAAGGAAATTTTTCACATCCCCTAACAATGCATTTCCTTTGAAAGACGCTTTAGGAAATTGTTTTACAAGCAATATCTCGTTATAAGATCAATGCTCTGAGCAATGTACTTAGAATAATCTGAATTAGTCATTTCATTGGAAATTTGTAGATATTTAAATATGCTCAGACACAACACTATGACCTAAAATATTTAAAATTGAAAGCTTTATAGACTTCTGCAAAACATCTACACAAATCAATTCAATAAATATCTTATCAAAATTGTTGTTATCTTCGTGAAAAATATCCAAGGTGAGATGGGACAGGTGGAATTTTCCCGCACCAATTAATAATGAAACAACATATGATTTCTCCTTTATGATGTAACCTGTGATGAAATACAAAACAGATATCGGGGAAATGTTATAACTTATAAGTAGATATTTGGGGGAGGCAATAGAAATTTGTCGAAAGTGTTCATTAATACACAATCTTTGAATCATGTCGATGGGCGTCAACCGGAAAACAACAAGGAACATCATGTTTAGTGGAACGAAAAGGTAAAGGTGTCTATTATGTATATGGGTTGGAAGATTCCTATGTTTGAGGGCCGAGATATGAGCATGCCGTAAGTAAGTTAATGTGAATGAAATACTACTCACTTTTCTGTATATTTGTTGTTGTTGTTAGTAACATTGTTGTTTGGCGATGATCTGTGATAAATCGATTCCTTTTGGTAATGATGTTGCTGTTGGGTCTTTTCAGATCGGCTAATGACCGCTGTGAGACCATTAAGTTTGTTTCCATTATTATCTAACAGGATGCCTTTGTTGTTCTGTTGACCTGATGACAATTTATTTGCTAGTGTTTCTAACGTATTTAACATTTCTAAATTCATTTAATCAAATTTTTGTTTTCACTTCTTCTGCTGATCTTGAAACAACAATAAATCCTTTTTCTTATTTTATATATGACTTCCTTTCTTTTCACTTTTTTTATTCCTTGTTAATGTCTGTTCTATTTTTTTCTTATTCACGAAATTTTACAAAAATTATCGCCCAAAGAGGTGTTGCAGATGATGTCAGATTGGTTGCGCACGAAAAACTAAAACTTTATCACAATCATTATCTGTTTCCCCGTTCGAACTTATTTTACTGTTGTTTTATTAATATTTAATTTTCGAATGTTTCACCATACACATCTGTAAATGAAATGAAAGTAAAATAACGTGTTATCTTCCTTCGACTTTATTCTATGCTGAATGTATTTGAAAATCTAATCTTATCAGTTTGTTATCAGTTCTTCCAACCACATATATTTTTTACTCCTCCTTTTTCGTCGTGGTGCAATGTTTGATTTGTACAGTAACATCTAAATATAACAGAAACAACCTCGAATATTTGGAACAAAAATATCACGAAGAAATATGTAGTTCAATGAATCATTTGCGGAAGCAAGCAATGTTTAATAAAAGAGAAGCTCGTTATATTTGTCTTTTGGAATAGAACCAGAATTTAATTATATGAATTATAAGGACAAAGTAAAGCCTTTTTCAGAATGAAGAAAGTCATTAACATCAATATGGTGTACTTTCCTTGGAAACCCTCAAAGTAACAAGTCCAGATAATAACAGAAAATGTTAAGGCAGCGAAAATTCATTTTTCTCATTTGTTTAAAAAAAGAAAGAAAAGTTATCAAGATTTTTCCTTCGCTTCTCGTGTTAAGTGAAGTATATTTAATGTAGCTAAGAGCAAGATTAAATTTTTCCATCAAAAAACTTTCTGCATATCAGCTGTAAAAAAATAAACGCCATTGAAAAGAAATGCGCGAATTAATTAAATCTTTTTAATTTAATTTTTTAATATGTTGATCTTAATTAACTTTTTATCCATTTTATGAGTTTCCTTTCATAAAAGAAGGAAACTTGAATTGAAATCATGGATATTTTGTTTCGGTTAGTTTTTTTATTGTCATTTCTCACTCAACAAATTTTCTCTCGTTACGCTTTCCACGAAAGGAAAATTCTCACTCATTCTCTCGCATGAAATTTGGAAATATTTTCAGGGGTGGTTGGTTGGTAGAAACTGAATTCACAAGAAGGAAATATTTTTCTTTATTTACATAGATAGAAACGGTAAAACTAGTAAGGCTTCAGCAAAAAATATTTGTCGAACATTGAATCTATGTAGATCGAGGAAGAGATTTTTGTGTTTCTTTTAAAACAGATTGATTTATTTTTAGTTATTATTATACACATTGATTCCGATCATATGTATGATCTTATATTTGTTTCACAAATTACCATATAGGTTTATTAGTTGATATTATCTTGCGACATTTGTAAAATCTTTTTTTATTTCACGTCTCCCATATTTCTTTTTAATGCATTTTTATTTAAAATAAAAAAGTCATCTCTTCATCGTTTAAAATTTTACAAAAAAAAGGTTTGTAATTGTTCACCACGTTATCAAATTAAAAATTCAGACAATCCGATGTTAAATACACATGTAAATTACGACGTGAATAAAAACGAAACAAAAGCACAGCTTTCAAGTTAATGAAAATCTCTCGCTCTCGCTTATCATTAATTGACACCGACAAACACTGATAATCCACTTCGAAAAATACATTTAATTTATTTCTATAAACATTTTATTTTCTCAATGTTTGTTCTTTTTATACTACTGTTGATGCTGGATTTTAACCTGTGAATGTTTCATTCTCTTCGACAAGTAATAATGTCGAGTGATTTCATAAATTGTTTTTATTCCCAAATTATATATCCAGTCTGGGTGTTTCTAGATTTTACTGATCTCATGACGGACGTCTATTTATTTCAGACAACGGAAAATATTTTCACTCAAATTATTTATTTATTTTATCACAAGAGCAATTGTCAGAAAAATAATAAAGCTTGTCTCATGTTTACATTTACTGCAGTAAATAACTGTTAAATATTGTGATTATTTCTCCATTTGTTGCGTTAATCCAAGTTGCACTGTAATTCTTTCCTTTTTCACTTCTTTTGGTGAGATTAAGTAAAAATTTTTTTCGAATGATTCAATGAAATTTTATTTTGCACTTCTTCATTTTCATAAATGCTATCATCACAGATCAGAGTGGAAAAAAGTCATGACAAACAAAAAATAGCGTTATGATTCTTTCGCGTTCTACGTTCAACTGACGGACAAAATATGAAGAAAAATCTTTTCTCTTGTCGCTCATTATAATAAATATGAAACTAAATATTTACAACGGGAAATCAGCTCTGATTGAGAATATTGGATGGTTTCTGGAAAAGCATAAAAAATATCCTGGAATCTGGCACATGGAAATTCTCACGAATATTGAGAAAAAACGAGAAGGTTAATGATACATATAATTCTATTCATCCCCTCTTCATGAGCCATGATTATATTCAAGAGTTTCCTCTCTTCAGGATAACTACGATTTAACAACAATTGAAGCTCACTTCTTTTTGTTTCATTCTTGGTTTATTCTCTTAGGATATCGAAGAGAGAACAATTTCTATATATTGAATATAACAAGAAAAAAATTCATTTTTCACATTGAAAACACTTTGCGACTTGTGTTAATTTTGTCAATCAAATTTATTGCTTTTCCAAAAACGAAACATTGTATAGAGAAACCGATTCTTTTCGAGTATAATGTTTGTCTATGGCGCGCACCTGTTTGAGATATTTTACACAAGTTGCCATCAACATCTTTTCAGTTTCTATATGATTGTTATTGGCTGGGTTTCTATCTCGAAGAGAAGAAGGAAGATATTTAAAGATGTTTTATGTTGAAGTTTTCCACACTCCATCTGACTATAGCTGTTTGTCACGTCTTTATTCACAAGCGTACACTCTCGTGACTTAGATTTTTGTGAACTGAAACAAAAAAGAAAGTCTCCCAAAAACATTTTGTTTCCCTCCCAAGTGTGTCGTGATAAATGACGCGCGGATCGCACGTTTTAGTTCATTGAAGATTCCACCTTAAGAAAAATTGGATCGGATATTAAATACAACTTTGGCAAGTGACATAATATTTATTTCAACCACCACAGACGTAATTTAATTTTCTTTTCTATTTTTTTTCTTAGAGTTTTCACACATTGATTTACAGCTACTGCGAAAAATATAATAAAATATTGATGCTACTACCTTAGAATGATTTGTCGTTTTCTAAATGATGTTTCAATTTAATTTCAATTTGACACCTTGTGATAGACGTAAAGAAATTTGTAAAAAAATTTGTGAGCGTTACTTATTGATAATAATTTTGATTCGGGACAAAAATTTTTCCACTTCCGTTAGCAAAATCTAGAGTAAAATGAATGTAACAAATCATGCGGAAATATCAATATATTTCTATGTATCCATCTTATAAAATTCGGGTCTTGACATTTTATTTCCTAATTCAAAGGGACGAATAGAAGAACCGGATGTTACCGGAAATAAGATAAAATTTCTACATAAATATTCAAATACCGAGAAAAATGAATTATGCACATATAAGAAAATTTAGGCTCTCTATGTGATTGCTGTCAGAATTTTGTCTCTTTTAAATTTAATTGAATACCATGTGGGAATAAGTTGTTCAACTGTCACAGACGTATTTCAAGATAGTAAACTGTAAAAGCCTTAAGGCAGCTACTCATTAAATATCTTTATTAAGTAAATCAAATAATCATAATGATAACAAGAGTCAAACAAATTTCGATAAGCTTGAGTCACGTAGTTGAGATAAAATCAGGCATACTTTGTGTTTCACCTCAAAGCCTTGCAGCATTTCGCAATTCAGTGTAGGATAAACTGTTGATTAAGGTGGATTGGGTAATGTTACTCAAAATAGCTGTTTAAAAATCTGTCTGTAGTTTTTAATTGATTGATAGTTTTTGTTCCTTCAGATATAGCTCGAAATTAAGATAACATTTTAAAAGTGTTGCACCGTTCTATTTATTTTATTGCAATAAATTTAATTAACAACATTGTTCTTTAAATGTATAAGCTTTAAGTATGATAGAGACTGTTCTTATTATGTCTCATTGAATCAAAACTCATTACAAGTTCTTTAACGTGTTGTGGTTTAATATTGTATATATACAAAATTTTAAATATATTAATTCTCAGAATTATCCTTTAAAGCGTTATATCTTTGAGAAAAAGTAGCACACATACCTAATTAAAAACGAGGGACAAAATCTCTAGTAATTTTTTTTTGTCTAATTTGAGACAAAAAAATGTAAAATCTTTTTATTGATAAAATGCGAACTTAAAATATAACGAGATTTCTTTTTTTAAATTCTGAACCTTTTAGACAAGTACCTAATTCAGGTCTAAATATGACTGAATGACCATAATTTTTTGTATCGTTCAAATAAAGTTACCTATTTAAATAAATTCTATCTGTAGTATTACAGTTCGTTTGCAACTTACAGTGCATAAACTGAGTAGGGAACGAGCTTGAATCGACAGAATATTTTTTCTTTATTTGAAAAATCTTCATGATAAAGGAATCATCACGAACTCGCTTCATATTCCTCATAAAATGGCCAACTCACAGACAACAATCAACAATGTCCTGACATTAATTTTATTGTCGATAATTTTCGTTTCTCAATTTGTGATCGTACTTGGTGATTTGGCTCCAAACGAAGAGGATGACGATGACATAAAAGCACCTACAGATCTGAAGAAAGGAGATGAAACGCTGTCTACTTTAGAACCTCCTAAACCTGCATCGAATCTTGGATTTATTCATGCATTCATTGCAAGCTTCTCAGTCATAATAGTTTCTGAAATCGGTGATAAAACGTTCTTCATTGCTGCTATCATGTCAATGGTAAATAAAAATAATAATTTTTTTAACCATGATATCTAATGACAATACATTTTGGCACAAAAACTCTAGAAATATCCACGTCTAACAGTTTTTGCTGGAGCCATAACAGCACTTGCTTTAATGACCATTCTTTCAGCAGTTTTTGGAATGGTCTTTATTCAATTTATACCACCTCATATCACCCGATGGGTGTCTGTTTTGTTATTTGTTTTGTTTGGACTGAAAATGTTACATGAGGGATGGAATATGACAGCAACTGATGCAGCAGAAGAAATGGAGGAAGTTCAGCATGACATCAGGAAGAGAGAAGATGAGGTGAGTGAAGTTTATCTTGAAAACTTTTTTATTCGACAAAAACCCAGAGATAAAAAAAGATCCATTCATAAATAATTGACTGAATAAACCCACCTTGACTAAATAGTTAGTACGAAATCTGAATAGAACAAACAACTGATAACAAAATAATATGTGTATGCTAAAACATCCCAGCTCAGGCTAAATTACCTGGCACGAGAACAAAAAATTGAAGGTGATGTGTCGATCGAAATGGAGCCTAATAACTTAACTCGTTTGACAACTAACACTCGCTCAAGTGAATTGGAAATTAATATTATGGTAAAAAGAGGCATTGAAATTAAAGAGCAATAATTGTTCTTTATAAAAATTTCTCATCTGTTTTATGTTCATTAGTTGTTGCATATTTTGTGATTGTTCATAAAGGAATCATGTTGACGTGTTTGCTTCTGTTATCCGACACGCATAATTTAATTCTGTGGAACGACATTGAGTCGAGGGAACAACACTTAAAAAAACACTAACTAAGAACAATCGATTTTACTATAGAAAATACAACACAACCTCTTTGCGTCAAGGTTTTTATAGCTTTCAATTTCTCTTTCATTTTTTTCTTCTTGTTTTTCATTGACAAAAATAAATTGTGAAGAAAAATTGTCAGCTAAATGACGTCACAGAATGGAAAATTCTGAGCGCATTTAGATATTTTTAAATTTACCTTCAAATATTTTTTTCATTACTTAGGTTAACAAAGAGACTAATAAAAGTATTACAACAGATCCAGAAACGGGAGGGGCAAAAAAAGCGAAAGCTGGAGCATTCACCGTTTTGTTTCGAATCTTTATGCAAGCTTTCACAATGACGTTTGTCGCAGAATGGGGCGATCGATCACAAATTACAACGATTATCCTTTCAGCACGTGAGAATCTTTGGGGAGTGATTACGGGAGGTGTCATAGGTCATGCCATTTGTACAGGGTTAGGAGTATTAGGAGGTCGTATCATAGCTCAAAAAATATCAGTTCGAACTGGTAAGAAGAATGTTCAAGCTAAAGAATTTAATGTTTTTTTTCTAATTTGTTTTTAATTATTTTAGTAACGCTTATTGGTGGAGTCGTTTTTCTATTATTCGCAATAACTTCTTCAATATGGGATCCAAATGCAGATTCTGCACCAAGTACGACAGGTGGTAACTGAGAGACACTTAATGTTATCTTATTTAAAGTGCTGCCTGAAGAAAGACTAAATAGCACGAATGTATAGGAAAAAAATAATGTAAAAGCATACCTTAAATATCTAATTAAAAAAACATCAAAACAAGTTTTTTGTTTTGTATACCTAACATGGACGATTTAATCTGAATTCTCAGTCTGATCCTCAATTTAAAAAAATAACATTATAAATTCATTTGTAAAATGAGCAACTAGTGATATACAAAAAGTGCAAGAAGTAGATAACATTAGCTAAAATGTATGTTATTAAAGTAAACAATTGAAGATTATTCTGAAATATTTAAACATCATTCTTTTCCAAGTATTCAACAATTTATGGATTTTAAGAGAGATTGGTGCTTTATATTGCATCAAATGTAGACTTTTGTTATATTTTCTTCGAAAGGCTTTGAAAAGCAACTTTTGAAGTATCAAGTATCAGCCTTAGAATGTCAGCTCTATCATAAAATTAACTCATTTATCTTTTATTTCATTCATCATCTCATAAAAAACCTACTTTGTTAAATAATCCTAAATAACTATAAATATAATATTCTCTACATGTAGGTATATTTCTTTGAATAAACATTCAATTAAATACTTAAAATCAATCTATACAAAATATTTAATTTGCCAAAAACCTTTTATAACTTAAGTTCTAGGTGTAAAGTTTCTATATTGGAAAGAAATTGAAATGAAATTGATTAGAAAGGGCTCAATTCTAATTAAAATTAAATACCTAATTATTAATTATTTTTTTAAATTTTTCAGTCTAGATTTCGATTGAGATGTGAATGGTTTTATATAGAGGATGTTATATAGAGTTCACTGTAAAATGTTTGCAAGTAATTGCTTGATGTTGAAAAGTAACTTGACTTTTGAAGATTTGTGTTGACTAAAGGATATTTAAGCACTTGACTAAAGTTGTCATTTTTTGATAACTTTAGTCAAGTACTGAAACATTCTTCAAGACACATTTGATAGTCAAGTTAAATTTCAACACCTATCCCTTACACAATCTTTTAAAATGTCTTTTAAAGCCAAAATTGAATGCCCTTGCTTGTAAGAACAACAGGGAACAAACTTACTAAACTAATCGGTGTCTTCAACGAGTATCTCGAGAATGGGTCAATGGATTTAAAATGTGTCTTGACACGATCGATAGAGGACCCGAAAGTGAATAAAATTGTAGAGGGCATTCTACTGGAAAACGTGAAAACCCGGATTCGGTCCCCGCGGGCTTGTACATATTTGCAGGGTATGCAATAATTAATTGCGATTCGTTTACGATTTCCTTTAATAAATGCGAATCGCATTTAAAGTATACTCGTAGTTCTTAAATTTGCCTCAAGTAAATTAATCTACTTTCAGTGGGAAATCTAAGATTTTATTATTTTAACTTACGTTTATATACAAGAATTGTGCATTGGAAAACGATATCAAGTGAATTAAGATTGAATTTACAATTAAATCATGCCAAAAATGACACAAAAAAAAGTGCTTTAGCGTCTTGGAATTTTCATGAAATAATTGAACATGAATCGACTTAAAAGTTGAAAAGTGATCATCGTAAAACATTTGCTACATCGTTTAATTTAAATAAAATGTTAGTATTATTCGAAAAAAATTAAAAAAACTATAAAAGGATAATTTTCGGAAGTTTTACTTTCACACATTTTTTTCGGAACAAAGAAGTTTCCATCATGGTGTTTGTGTATATTTTTGTTGTTGGGATTGTTTTTCATATTTTCGAGCGACGGGCGAGAGATTTGTGCACATAATCTGGCGCGTCAACCAATGGAGCTGTGCTCTTGTTACATCGCCCAACGATTAAAATGTTACTTTGACCTTTTGGTGGAACGTTTAATTGGTCAATGACGAAAAACCCACAAGCCGCATATTTTGACAGAAGATATTAATTTATTTTTCACCATCACGAAATTATATTTTTGCAGAATTATGTGTTGTGTTAAATTCGCATTATGCATAAATTTGATTTATTCTCTTTGACTTTGGTCTACATTATCAAAGCAGACGCAAACACGAATAAAAGAAGAGTAAACCAACATCATTCAGCATAATCAAAAAGTGGGTCACATAATGTTTTGAAGTGATAAACAATTAAATTGCTGATCAAAAAAAAAAGCAAACGCTTGCGTTTACTCATTACTTTATCTCGAATTTCATTGAAAACGCGAGACATCCGCAATTTTTTATTTCGTTAAACTCGAGTGAAATTTACACATCTAAAGGTGCTTATTTTTAACATTTCATTCGAAAAACGAGGCGATTGAAAAAACAAAACAGAAAAAAAGTCGAACGGATTGTCAAATTGCGAAATATTGAGTCTCGTTATCATAAACAGACAACAACGAATCTCTATTTTTTGTTTACGGGGTCTTTGTCCATTTCATTGAAAACGACTCGACGTATGATATTTAACTACATACACACACACACACACACAAAGCTCCGCAAGTGACTTTGACTCATGCCACCTGAATGCTTCCCTTACCACCCGAAAAAGAAAGAAAAAATGTATAACTCAGTAATGTAAAAAGCATCGCCGAATGAAAAATAAAAGGTACTGCCCACCCCCAATGCCGTCATATTATTGATGTAAAAATAAAAAAAAAGAAAGAAAAAAATGTAAATTCAAGCGTATTGGGGTGAATAACACATTCGAAGGACATCGCAGTGCAATAATGTGAAACGAAAAAATAATACTTAATATTATAAAAAGTTGTATACATAAGATATATTTTTGGTATTTAATTATAAACCAAACTGTGGCGAAGTTCGATTCATATCGCAGACAATGACGAGTTAGTCGTCATTAATCAGCAAAACAAGTGTGAAAGTTTTCTTTTTATTTCATCATGACGAGTGTCACTTCATTTTCATTCTCGATTCATTGTAAAAGGATGAACATGTACAACGCTTAAAAAGCTTTTTTTATACTTATTTGTTGCTAAGTGATTGGAAAGAAAATACAACCGCGTTTAAAAGAATTAAAAGAGAAATAAAAAGTGCATATTCAACTTATATGTAACCTTGACGAAAGTGAATCGAGGGCTTACTCGAATGAACATGTAACGCGTTTAAGTATTAAGTCAGTATCGGAATAGTTTGTTGTTTTTCTTTCTTCTTTTTATTGTTCTTCTTTTCTTTTTGTTCTTCAACTCATGTAACCTTAATAAGTATTAATAGTAGTAAATAAGAAAGGTTGAATGAACGATAAGGAGTGGAAAAGTGTACACATAAATACACAAATATCTTTATTTCTTCGTTGTGTGTGGGTGTAAAAAATTTTCCAAAGCGATAGATACATTTTTCGTTTTATTGAGCGTGAATAATGGAAGCGTTGAACAACATATTTTCTCCCTTTCTCAACATGATCCGTCTTTAGACACTCAAATGAAAAGAAAGAAAAATAAAGTTACTGCGAGCGAGACCCATTTGTTGTCAGCTCGTACACACATGTAGCCGAACGAACTTGGATACATTTATTTATTTATTTTTCTTTCGCTTTTTTTTCTTCTCTTTATCTTGCTTTTATATATTTTCTGCTGGTTGGCTGACGCTGATGTATTTGTGGATGGTTTAGATTTGTTTCTTCTTCTTCTTCATCATCATCGTTTCTACTTTGTTGTTGTTCTTCTTTCAAGCTTCGAATACGAAACGAAATTTCATTTTCCTTTCTTCCATCTGAGCATGAATGAAATTCCCCAGCAGTAACTTCAAAGTAAAAGCAAATCAGATATATATTTATTTGAAATAAAAGTGATATTGTGCGTTGCCGTTGTTGTAAAAAAAAATGAATTCGTTGATTCTCATTTGACTGACATTTTGTTGTGTCTGACTTTGATGTGATATTTAATTTAAAGTTCGAATATTGTAGACAAAAAGTAATAAGAAGCTTTCATTTTCTTATAATTTTTTTTCTCTTTTTTCATGGTTATTCCTTTCTACAATGAATGCTGCGCGCAAAAACCATCATTATCATCATCGTCGTCTCCCAATGTCGAACCCGAAAATAATATCACCGCCACCATCGTCATCATCATCACCTCCATTTACATATGTATCTACATATCTACGTTTATTACATGACATAGAACGAGAGTTAAGAAAAAGAAAAAAAAAAACTCAAGTTTTCTTTCTAACAATAAAAACATCAACAATAAAATCGGAGAAGAAAAGTGAAAAGACATCGAGTCGAGTCGAATCGAGTGAAGAACGAAGAAAAGAAGAAAGTTCTAAATAAAACACTGACACAGATAGAAAGAGAACATAACACGAGTGGAGCATAATAAATTGAGAGCGTTTGTTGGTGTGACTGGTTGATGTGCTTCTCATCCTCAGTTACAAAGAAGACCCAGTCGCAATGAAGACAGAGAACGTCATCGTTACACAAGTTAAAGTTGAACCATTAAACTATGTTGTGGGCAACAGTCAATCATATGGAGATAACTTGTATGGTAGCGCTACGAAAAAGCAACGATTAGAAAGGTGAGGAAGGATAATATTTGCATTAACATGATAAATTGCAATAATTTATTCATTTCTTTAGTGATGAATGGATGAATCACAATCAATCAAATAACAACATGAATCTCGAATCTTCCAATATGAATCACAATACAATTAGTGGCTTCTCATCCCCCGACCTCACATATGAAGCTTACAGTCCTAACGGAAAAATGGGAATGGATGATTCTAATAATATGAGTCTACATATGGGCGATGGAATGGATGCTAAGAAGTCAAAGAAAGGTCCTGTACCACGACAACAGGAAGAGTTGTGCCTCGTATGTGGTGATCGTGCCTCGGGATATCATTATAATGCTTTAACATGTGAAGGGTGTAAAGGTAATTTTTAATTCAATTGAATTGTGTCATAATTTCAGTAATCCCTTCACTTTTAACTACTTGCAGGATTTTTCCGACGTAGTGTAACAAAGAATGCTGTTTATTGTTGTAAATTTGGACATGAATGTGAAATGGATATGTACATGAGACGTAAGTGCCAGGAATGTCGCTTAAAGAAATGTTTGGCTGTGGGTATGCGCCCTGAGTGCGTTGTGCCAGAAAATCAATGTGCTATTAAAAGGAAGGAAAAGAAAGCACAAAAGGAGAAGGATAAAGGAACTGGCACAGGTAATAGCAGCAGCCTTGGTGGTGGATCGACAATTGTCAATAGTAGTAGCAGTCCAGTAAAAGCTTCACAAGATGCTTTCAAGAATGAAATATTGCCCCAATTGATGAAATGTGAGCCACCACCTCATTCAATGCATCAACTTTTACCCGAGAAGCTTCTATTGGAGAACAGAAATAAGAACTTACCTCAACTAAGTCCAAATCAAATGGCCGTCATCTATAAGTTGATATGGTATCAAGACGGCTATGAACAGCCTTCAGAGGAAGACATAAAGCGAATATCATTGGTAACTTACGGTTTTATATTTTTACTTATCTATCAAAATTCTAACGTCTCTCATTCTTTATTTACTTTTTTCGTTTCTAGGACATTGAAGATGAAGAAGACAAACAGGATGCCCATTTTCGATATATCACCGAAATAACGATATTGACGGTGCAATTGATTGTAGAATTTGCGAAAGGGCTTCCAGCTTTTGTAAAAATACCACAAGAGGATCAAATAACGTTACTAAAGGTACGAGTTTGGAAAATTTTCTTAAAGTTTCTTAAAGGAGTAAAATTTCTCTTTTTCTTTGATCCCTTTTTGTTGAAATTTCCCTTTTTTCTCTTTCAAGGATTTTAAAATATCATAATTAAAATATAAATCTTAAAGATATAGATAACCATTTCAAATGTTTCATTTAGCTCATTGATTCATTTTTTCATTGATTGTTTGCAGGCATGTTCCAGTGAAGTGATGATGTTGCGCATGGCAAGACGTTATGATGCTGGCACCGATTCCATCTTATTTGCGAATAATCGTTCGTATACAAAAGAATCTTATCAGATGGCTGGAATGGAAGATACGATCGATGATTTGTTACACTTTTGTCGTCAAATGTACTCGCTGCAAGTAGATAATGTAGAATATTCTCTACTCACTGCCATCGTTATCTTTTCTGATCGACTGGGACTCGAGAAAACCGAATTGGTCGAACACATTCAAAGCTACTACATAGAAACTTTAAAAGTTTACATTATTAATCGACACGGTGGCGATATAAAATGTAGCGTTCAATTCGCAAAACTTTTGTCCATTCTTACCGAGCTTCGGACGCTGGGCAATAAGAATTCCGAAATGTGCTTTTCATTAAAATTAAAAAATCGAAAACTGCCACGATTCTTAGAAGAGGTGTGGGATGTATCGGATACACAATCAGCTCAGAACCAAACGGCCACCACCAATTGCGAAAATATTGTGATAAAAATAATCGTAAAATAAATCCTATTATCACTTTAAACGCTTAAGACTGTTGATTGCACTTTGAAATTAGGAATAAATATTGTCACTCGATCAGTAAGAAACCAAGAAAAAGAATTAAATCAAAACGAGAGCCTCAATTTTGTCTGATCAGAATGAAAAATTCATTGAAAAAATTAAAAGTTAAAATTTACTTACCATTCTACCTCCATTTCTTCTCCGTCCATCAGGAAGTGGAAGCTGTCATCGTCAACAAGTGCCATTATGTCCGTATTCAATATTTCAACTTGTTTTTCACTTTCTAAAACTTATTTTAATTTAGTTTTTCACTTTTTTACTTTAGGATGCGAAAAATATATGAAAACGTAAACAAACCGTTTTGCGTCTTCAGTTAGCTTGTTTTTCGCGAATATTTTTGCAGGTTCTATGTTTTGGCTTGTTGTCGCTTATTTTTTCCTCCCATTTTTGGAGGTATAAATAATGCGAACGATTTTTTGCGGAAATGAAGGGCAGAACTTCTAAAGAATAAGAAGCATAATTGTTGGTAAAGGCTCAAAGTAGTTCTATTAAAAATTTTGAGCCATACCGATTTAAAATAACGGAGAAAATAATACCCAAAGTGGCTTGTTACCACAATAGGTACTCATTTTCTTTGTAACCGTTTAAGGTACTTTCACCCTAGTTGGGTGTAAAATCGCAAAGATTTTTTGTAAAAGGTCCCGCATATGNATGTTCCAGTGAAGTGATGATGTTGCGCATGGCAAGACGTTATGATGCTGGCACCGATTCCATCTTATTTGCGAATAATCGTTCGTATACAAAAGAATCTTATCAGATGGCTGGAATGGAAGATACGATCGATGATTTGTTACACTTTTGTCGTCAAATGTACTCGCTGCAAGTAGATAATGTAGAATATTCTCTACTCACTGCCATCGTTATCTTTTCTGATCGACCGGGACTCGAGAAAACCGAATTGGTCGAACACATTCAAAGCTACTACATAGAAACTTTAAAAGTTTACATTATTAATCGACACGGTGGCGATATAAAATGTAGCGTTCAATTCGCAAAACTTTTGTCCATTCTTACCGAGCTTCGGACGCTGGGCAATAAGAATTCCGAAATGTGCTTTTCATTAAAATTAAAAAATCGAAAACTGCCACGATTCTTAGAAGAGGTGTGGGATGTATCGGATACACAATCAGCTCAGAACCAAACGGCCACCACCAATTGCGAAAATATTGTGCGCGAGAAATTAAATCGTCAAGAGAATTATTAATTCTATTCATCAGCACATAGAAGCACATTCAATGAAAATGCTTTGTTTTCGTTGCCTTCGTTTTTTAAAAAATTCTTACAGTACACTTTTTACTCGGCTTTTTATTGGGTGGGTGGTACGTTTATGCTTTAAGATTTCTTTGTTGTTATTTAGCCTTTCGAAGACACTTTTTAAATACCTGAAGAATTTCATCTTTTTCGTGAAAAACAAAGCTAAAAACAGAAAAAGATCAAGTACGACAAGGAAAGGCAAGATTAACGATATATCAAAGATTTGCCTCGTTCGAAGACTTCAAGAAAAGCATCACGAGCATGTTATAATCAAAACGAAAGAAAAGAAGTTAGAGAAACATTATAGTTTTCTTTTTATGTTTTTAATAAGTTGCATGTTCTTCACACACAAGAGTCACGAATATGGATAAATGAAAAAAACCATTTATTTGTTTTTCTTTAATTAAGATTCACAAAGAGAGAAAAAACATTTATGAATATTTGATAATGAAAACTAACAACGTACTTCATAGCAAAAGAAAAAAATAAGAAAGAAAAGGAAACCTTTTAATAGTATTAATAATTGCTGCTAAGAATCACCAAGCATTAGTGAGATAAATCATTTTTGTGCAACAAAAAAAGAGAAAGAAGTTCAATGTAATTATGTTAGACATTTACTGTCATGGAACAAAAGAAATATTTTATCGTTGCTTCCTTCACTAAAGATTTTTTTCAAGATTGATTATTACTAACGAAAGAAGAACTAAACACATCAAATTGTTGATGATAATGGAAAGCTTATGTTCTTTGATTTTGAAACTTTCAAAGTTATGTAAGCTTCATCAATCCAGAAATATTATGATTGCACGAAACGTCATCAGAAACGTTTTTCAATCATTTTATGGTGGAATGGCATCATTTCTTTTCCTGAGAGATGTAAAAACAGTAGATCATAAGATTTTAAAATAAAAATGTTATAAACAATACACAAACACAAACAGAAACATGCAGCAAAACTATGTATCTATCTTATAAAAATTAAAAAAAAATCATCCACGTAAAGTCAATGATTTTAAACTGAAAGAAAGGAATTCTTAAAACCACGACCTCTTCATACGAAAAAATATATAAAGTAGCTTTTAATCTGTTTAAAGAAAAATATCTAAAATAAAGAAGAAAACTCGTCTACTAATAAGATTCAGATTCGATAAACATTTAGCGGGATTAAAGCGATTTAGTATCTACCTAGGCCAGATTAAAAGAAACAAAAGTTACAATTTTTTCATCTCTTAATTAAACATTTTACAAGATAGGTTCGATTGTTGTTCTCGGATTTTTTTTTCATTTGATTACTTATTTTAAAATTTTCTTATGAAATATTTATATGACTTAAGAATGAAAAAATAAGATTATAATTATGATGATAAATTAAGCCAACCTCATTAATTAATATCCGAGAACAACATTCAAAACACTTTGGAAATACATTTCATAGCTTTTTTAGTTGGTAATTTAATTATCTGTAAGTTTCTCAATTTGTTTAAATATTGTACAATGATCCTTAAGATGCACTCTGCTACAGTAACATTATTGTGTTAAACCAGTTTATCTTTTGCTTTAAAACAAAGTTAAAAGAAACAGCTGAAGAAAATATAAATGATGCAATTTTCTTTTATATATGTACCTATTAATAATTTTTTACGTTAGGGAATGAGCTCTCTTTCTTATGAAGAAAGATGTTTGTCTTTAGGGTGGAATATTAACATGAAATATTAATTTTAAACTCTAAATATACCTTGTAAAGTTGAATATAAAAATAATTAGGTATTGATAATGAAATCTTTTAAGTTAAAAAAGAAAAATTATAGAAACGCGTAATGTTAATATAGTTCTAGGAATGAAAGAGAGAAAAGATATATTGCCGGATGAGCTAAGCTATGCTTTTATATTTGAGAAAGTTGATGATGATAAAAGATATGTATGATTATAAAGAAAACAAACGAAAACCTTAACCACACCAACAAAAGAATTGATTTTAGGAAGACAATTTGATCGTAAAGTTTCTTTTTTTAAAAACTCACTGACTAAATTGATTTATGTAATCCATTCATTGATTGATGAAATTTTTTTGATAAAAATAAAAGAAAACTGGAATAATATAAATAAAGTAAAATAAATGGATTTCATTCATTGAACTTAATTACCTTTTAACAAGAATTTTTTTCAGATTCATTTTTTAACGGTCAAAATAGAGAAAATTTCAAAACCGATTTACTTTATTGAATACACTGATAGGATAACCTGAAGAATTCGTAAACAATGGCTCTATCGCTGTCTCGAAAATTATTTAATTACAGCGGAAATGCGAGAAGAATCGCAATAAATCTTCAACAATCTCAGAGAAATAAAACTACTACACCTATTAATCTAGGAATCATGTTCGTTCCGCAACAGGTATAAGTTGTGACCTTATAATTGACAATTTGTGTAACTTCAGGAATATTTTTGAAATAATTTAAATACATACAATGTTTTTTTTGTTGTTGTTATAAATAGGAAGCTTGGGTTGTTGAACGAATGGGTAGATTTTCTCGAATTCTTAATCCTGGACTTAATTTCCTTATTCCAGTAAGAAAATAGAATTTTCAAGTTTTATTGAATATTTTATCGAAAATATGTTATTTTACTTGCAGATTCTTGATGAAGTAAAATATGTTCAAAGCTTGAAAGAAATCGCAATAGGTAAAAGATTCTTTTATTCTCTCATCTTTGTTTTATATTTATGTTCAATCTAGATGTCCCCAAGCAGTCAGCAATCACTTCTGACAATGTTACTCTCTCTATTGATGGTGTCTTGTATCTGAGAATTCTTAATGCTTACGATGCATCTTATGGTGTCGAAGATCCAGAATTTGCTATTACTCAGCTTGCCCAAACAACGATGAGATCAGAGCTTGGAAAAATGAGTCTTGATAAAATTTTCCGCGAGCGGGAAGCGCTCAATATAAGCATAGTTGAATCTATAAATAAAGCAGCTGAAGCTTGGGGTATTGTTTGTTTACGTTATGAAATCCGTGATATCAAACTTCCATCAAGAATTCATGAGGCAATGCAAATGCAAGTGGAAGCAGAAAGAAGAAAACGAGCGGTTGTATTGGAATCAGAAGGTAGACTAAGCGAAATTCTCATACGTTTAAGTTTGCTACAAATAAATTTTGTTTTAGGTATTCGAGAGGCCGACATCAATGTCGCTGAAGGTAAAAGACAATCTAGAATTTTAGCCTCAGAAGCTGAAAAGCAGGAGGAGATCAATAAAGCTGAAGGTAAAGCACAAGCTCTTGTCGCAATGGCTCAAGCAAGAGCACAAGGACTGAAAGTCGTCTCAGAACAATTAAATAAAGCAGCAGGAAATCAAGCAGCTAGTCTTTTGATTGCTGAAAATTACGTGCAAGCATTTGGAAACATAGCAAAGCATGGAAATACTCTTATTTTGCCTGCAAATGCTGGTATTATAATGCTAATATTATTACAAATCTTTTGAAATAAACTGAACAATTTTTATTCCTCCACAGCTGATGTTTCATCGGTGGTTGCACAAGCTATGTCAACATACAAAACAATAAGTGCAGATCAGAGTAGATTAACAACAGACACCACAGAACTTGAAGCGGAAGATAAACACATTTCAGAAAAACAAGCAACAGACTTCACTCACATAGAAGCAGAAACTCCTGAAATTCAAACGAAACCATCAGCATAAGAAAATTTCTTTAACTATTCTTGTAATAAAAAATCAGTTAAAACACTAATGAATTTTTAATTTATTCAAATGACAATTTTTATTTACTTTTTTATTTCTATGATCCATGCTAGTGCTGTTCTTACATTTTATAATTTTTGTATTAATAATGGAAAGAAATTTTTCATCTAAGAAGTAAAAAGGAAAGAAAGAACAATCTCAATCTCTTATAAACAAATAAAAATGCTGTGTAGTGATAACAAGAAAACTAAGGTATCATCCTAATGAGACTCAACCTTTAAACAAGGAAAAAGGAAAAAAAATTACTACGTCAAACAGCAACATCGAAATCCTCACGGGTGCATGAAATGACTCATGAAAAGTATTTAGTACATCGAAAAAGGAAAATAAATTATTGATGTGTTGACTGCTTTTTGAATGTTTTGCTTATGTTATGTTGCTTTGGATATTTCTACTCCTTTCTTGGTTTACGTTTACGTGACGTCGGTTCACTTGACGATTTTAATGCAATCTCTTCAGTTTGAGTGTCAGCGACAACTTTTTGGTCCTCAACTTCATCTTCATCGTCATCTTCCACCTCTTCAACTTCAGGTTCATTAAGATCCAATTTACTTTTAGGACGTGGTGGTGGAGTTAACTCCTCTTCTAATGGAGTATCATCGACGGTTGGTTCATCAGTCTTTTTCGAATGTTGAGCTCCCTTTTATAAGTTTAGCAAATATAATTAAATATCATAATAATTTATATCTAGCTTTAAACTACCTTATTTGGTGGCGATGAGGAGCACAACATATACAAAATAATAGATATCGGCAAGCCAACAATAACTACAACAAGAGCAACTATCCAAGGACTCTCGTTAACTATTTTGGTCATTTTTTGAACAAAAGTTTCCTGTAACATAAGAAAATTATAAGCGATAATGGCCAAGCGATAATCATCAAATTTATAGCGTGGAATATTGGATATAATGACACATTGGCAAATAGATCACCTCCTGAATCAAATAATCATCTTTACGACGTGAAAGCAAATACCAAACATAAATCACCACTGGAATCATACAGTAAATGAAGTATGTCAAGTACCAGCCTGGACTATAATTCATGTTTGCCATCATTCTCTCCCAAAGTGTGTCCTTTTAATTTATTGATTAAATGAAAAACGTTAATTGATATTGCAACTGAGAAGACTTTTTCCCAATTTTCCATAAAACATTTAATTCAAAGTTTTCCACTTTAATGTATTTTCGACTAATTAAAGCTACACTTACCGCTTGCTTATCTAAATGTTTTCTTTTGAGATCATAGGTTTTTTCTGCCCATTCGTAGGCATGAATTTCATCATCTGTTATGACGATGTTGTCGAATAGAATATCGCTGCTCATCGACCACAGTTCAATTCCAACTGCAGACTAAAATTAAATTTCATTAAACATTGTGCAATTAAATTAAGAAATAATAAACTGAAGTACTTACAATTGGTGTCATTCTTGCAAATGGATCATTATCTTCGAAGAAACCTGGATTTGGAATTCTTTTTGGCGTCCACTTTCCTTGATAATTTGGATTATCCAGCAATGGTGCACGCCATTTGCCTCTATAATCTGGATTAGCAATCATAGGTGGTTCCCACTTTCCCCAGCCATTATCTTCGCACATTGGATTTCTTATTAAAGGAGCTTCCCATACGCCATCCATTTCTTCATCCCAATCTTTGGGCTTTTCTGCTGCTGGATCTAAATATAAATGAAGATTTTTAAGTTTTTAAAAAATTGAGAAATTTTTCAGTGAATATTTTACCTGGAATCATTTCTTCTTCATCGTCCAACCAGTTCTCTGGTTTTGATGCTGATGGATCTGGAATTTGTGGTGGAACGTCCCAATCATCTGGTTTTACAGCAGTTGGATCTGGAATCTGAGATCGAAAAAAATAAAGCAAATAATTTTTTTCAATATTTAATTATAATTTGTTCTCCTTTACCTTTTCACGCTCATCCCAGGTTTCTGGTTTAAAATCGTTGGGATCATCAATTTCTTTTGGTGGATTGACAGCGGGATTAAAGTCTTTCAACAAATGGCCCTCGTTTATAACTTTATGATCAACTGACACTTTAAAACTGTTATCGGGATTAATTACGAGTTTATAAAGGTGCGGTTGCTTATCTTTGAATGGCTCTTCAAGACGATCTTTTGGTTTCTTGCTATGCTTTTCTTCGATGCTTCTATTCACTGGATTAACATGACGGAAAATAAAGTGGAGTTTGACATCATTGCCACACTTATCCGGTCCAAACATGATTGTGTATGGAGTTTTATCATGGAATTTTTTCAGATCTGATGTTTCTGCTCCTTCAGAAAGAAGTTTAATGTAAGAGCCACCGCATTCTTGACCATCTTGAAGTGTTACTTCGTATTGAACCACCAAAGGTTTTCCATCAAATCTAAAAGGCTTGTTGAGACGTGAAGCAATTGCTGCATGCTTTGCCTTTGATTTTAAGACAAGTCCGAGATCATTGTCAAGAATACTTCGTTGTGGCATTTCCAATGACCATAATCCATCATATTTTGCTATTTCCTCAGCAATGTCTTCTTTTTTGGCTTCTGATTTGACCCATTTCTGTTCAAACCGTTTTAATTCATCGAAATGTTCAGCAAAATGAAAACGTTTTGGATCCGGATCTGGGCTTGTGTAATGAATTTTTTCAACAACTTCGTCTTTGATTGGAGCTGTTTGTTCCTGGTAAATAGAATAAATTTCAAAATTCTTTTTATCTTTTCATGCTTCTTTATTATTATTTATAACTTACACTTTCATCCTCTATAGTGACACCATCATCAACATCAAAGTCGTTAGTTTCACAAGTGATAAATGGTGCGAATACTAAACAAGAGCTCAGAAGCAGAAGCAATGAGATATTAATTTTCATTTTTTTCTAGCTTGAGCAGTAGAATTTATTTGTAGCTAGAATAAAAATAACAATTCCTCTTAGGTTGTTGTAAAATCGAGAATATTTTATGTAGGTATATTTTATCTCTTCAGTTAATTTCTATGTTAAAATAAATTAAATTTTACATCAGCTTCATAACAGCTGAATTGTAAAGAATCAACTCTTTTCATACCGGAAATAATGGTAAAATATAATCGGATTAGGATTTTTAATTAAATTAAAGTAAACTCGTTTAACCTAATTTTATGCGGAAAAAAATACACGTCAGTTTTTTACGAAACTACAAAATTTCTGATGATTCTTTTGATAAAACTTAATATATCTATTCCTTATCAAATAATATACTTACTGCTTGATTCAATTTCAATGTTATTAAGTGGTTATTTCACTAGAAAGTATTAATTTTTTATATCTTGTCTTTAATTGTATTTCAAGGGGTAGGTAATTGAGAAAGTAAAGAAAATTTTAAATTGTTCAAACCGTTAAATTTGTTCAATTTTCTGCCTTCTACCTGACTTCCTAGGTAGCTAAAATCGTAGAATGAGTTGAGTAAAAAATCAAGTGTCGTCATTAGAAAATATTAAAACATGAAATAATTTTTTATATGACTGTTTTATTCACTTAATAAGGTACATAAATCTCTTAAAGAAATTAGGTAATTTCCGAACGAACACAAAGAAAGAATGTGTGAAAAGTTAAGGTCTACGTGTGAAACAGACCATTGTTATGTGTAACTGAAATAAAGTGAAGAAGCTTTCTTTCTTTTCAATTTAAAAAAATTAAAAATTAAATATTTCCTATACATCTGGGTTTCTATAATTAATTGGGTCATTCTCAAGACCTCGAACATTGATACCAAATGAACTAGTAGTGCTTGTAGTACTTTGCGTCATATTTGAATTGTTTGTTTGGTTTCTGGATGTGGTGGCTTGATCACTTGAACTTGAACTCTCCTTATCTTCTATATTTGCTATTCTGTATTTTTTATTCTTTCCAATATTTGTTGATTTTGCTTCAACTGGTTGTGTCGAAGAATATGTCCCATAATTTTTATCCTTGACTCTCGACACTGTGACGACTTGAGGAGATTGTTGAGATTGATTTTGTGGTATGAGAAAATCTGCTTCACTATATTGTAAGTAGGTTGGTTGACTTCTAAAGCTTCCAACGATTCTATCTCCTACAACACCAAAGTGTTCAGAAAGATCTTGTCGAACATCTTCCATGTCCAACATTGCAAGAAATGTACTAAACCAATTGTTGTTTGCTGATTGGTCATTAATTTGGAATGGTTTGTATGGAAAGGAATATTGATGAGCTAAAGCTACAAAATCAAAAATTTTTAATAAATGCATTTCTTTATAAAATCTCTCAGTTAATACAAACCTGCCAGGAACATTTCAACACAAATTAAAAAATTTTGTAATCTTGATGCAAGTAATTTATAATCGCCTTCCTTTGCAATATCGGAATTAAAAACGTCTTTAATAATGCCATAGTAAACAAGAAAGTTGATGATAACTTCTTGACTATTTTCGTAATCACACAAGGAAAGAAAAAAATGTGAAATTATCTATAAAGAAAGAAAATTTGATTGTTTAAAATTTACACTTACAAAAATGAGAAGAAAACAACGGCTTTGATGCAAAGAAATTTTGGTAATGGCTTCATATGCTTAAGTTCGTCATAGTTGGCACGATAGAACAGAACGAGACAATACATCGCACAAAATTGCGATAAATTATTGATGAACGCAAGGTACGGATAAGCAACACTGAACTTAAACTCGCTCTCACCGTAAACACCACTAAGTTCACAAATTATGGCAACAATAGTTGTAAGAGGTCGAATCATGGTGTATTGAAGGATGCCATGTTTACAATTGTGTACAAGTTCACGACCCATACGCCAAGGTGTCATCCAACAAAGTGGGAAAAAATGATATACTTGAGGTTTGAACTGAATTGCAATCACAAAATCCATCTCAAGATTGAGATAATTTAGCAGATATTTCATAAAGTTATAAATGACATAAGCCTCATAAATCTCTCGAAGTCCATCAACGTAAAGTGAGTATCGAGGATAGATCAATCCAAAGAGTGCATCTAACGAATAAACGGGGATCATCATGATAATCCGTATTATGTGTTTCTGTTTGAGGATAATAAAAATATTTTTGTATGGCTTCTCTTTATAGGAGATTAAATGAATAAAAAATACTTACTTGTAAAATCGGCTTGTTGAAATGTTTTAAATGCTGTGAAAAATGAAAGAAACTGACAGGAAGAGCACAAAACACGAAAAGCGAACCGATCAATATTAACTGATCCTTTTTTTCGAATCCATCTTTCACAGTATTCCAAACAATCAGTGGTGTTATTATGAACAAAAATATGAAGTAGATTATAATAAGAATAGTTCGTATCCACTGCCTATTAAGTAATTTCCAATAGGAATAAAAAAGGTTTGTAAATTATTGCACAAAATTTCCATTTTACCTTAACTCCATGATGATTTTTTTTATTTTCAGGAATTTTTAAGCTCTTACATAGAATTTTGATGATTTATTGATCTAGTTTTTGTTTTTATACTTTCCAAAATCATATATCGTCAAATAACATATTGAAAATGCTATCAATGTTGCTTAAATAGTTCTAAATTATTAAATTTTCTTTTATCTACGCTCTTTGTTTATGTTTTCTAAGTAAACTCATCAAAAAATGTCAAGGGACAAGTCAGACTAAACTTTCAGTACTTGTTTACCCTTTTTAACATTAAACGGTCGGGCGGTTAAAGATTTCTTGTTTAAAAAATTCAGCCTACCTAGAGCCTTCAACAGACATCACAGATGGCGTTGTGATCACATACATGTTTATGTTTTACTGAACACATCTGATGTAATTTTTTTTCTGGTGAAGAACTACTGCTTTAATTAAACGTCATTTACGGAGCAATTAAATGTCGCAGAACCTTGAAAGTACGTTAGAAAACTTTGTTATCACATGATTTCGTAAGTGCATATGAATGTAACTACACAGAGAACACATCTTAGTGCATATCGACGAAAATTCCATTGCTTACGCGAGTGAAAAACTTAATTAAATCGATTCTCTCCTAATTAGCATAAAAGAGTTTGTCATTTCTATGAGAGAATCATCTAAATGTGTAATGAAAGCTACAATGCATTGTTTTCTAAAAGGATTATGTGTTGATTAAAAAACAAATAATTCCTAAAATTGTGTAAATATGTGAATTAAATGAGAAAGAATTCCATTTATTTTTTTTTCAGGGCTGCAAATAAAATAAAATAAAAAGAAATACAAAAAGAGTGGACACATAACATACGACAACACAAGTTAACGCGGCGAGAGAATCACGGGGAAGAAGAATTCGAAATAATACCTGTTTTGGACAAATAAAAATTTCTATTTCCGTTATATTCTTTCATTCTGGATGATTAAGAATTTAAATTAAGATACGAACGAGATGTCGCATCATTCTGATGATTTACTTCAGGCTGGCTCTGATTCATTTTGGGAGCTCAGTAACTACAAAAGAACAACAAAGAGAATCGAAGATGGATACAAGTAATACTTTATTTATTGTGCACACTTGAAATTGCGTTTTGTTATCAGCTCCAACATTCCACAACGTTATTTCTTGTATTGTAGACTATGTACTGATTTATCAACGCTGATTCAAGAACGTGCCGATATGGAAAAATCCTATGCTAAAAGCTTGAAAGCATGGTCCAAAAAATGGGGCGATCTTATCGAGAAAGGTAAGAAATATTAAATCTCGTTATAATAAGAAAATCATCAAGAAGTAGTAAAATATAAATGAATGAAATCATGTACATTCTTCCTCCACCTTATCAAGTTACAACACTAAAGCCTATGTTCGGCGCCTTTTCAATAAAACTTGTTATCAAAGTAAGCGTAGGCCACTTTATTTGACGCTTTTTTCAATATTTCTCACATACCACCCACACATAATTTTATTCGGTGATTTGTTATTCATTCAGTTTTCATGTTCGTGGCAAATTACTTACTTTCATCTCATCTTTTTCTAACACAGGTCCCGAATATGGAACAACTGAAGCGGCTTGGAAGGGGATTCTCACGGAAGCCGAACGTGTATCTGACTTGCATATGAACATGAAAGATCAACTTTGTAATGATGTTATGCAACAAATTCGCGTGTGGCAGAAAGATAATTATCATAAGGTAGTAAATACGACGATGAGGATTTCCAAGAGTTTATGAAACCAATTTCTCTTTCGTAGGCGATGATGCAGATTAAAGAGCGTAAAGAGATGGATGATCAGTTTAAGAAAGCTCAAAAACCATGGGCAAAACTTTTATCAAAAGTAGAAAAAGCAAAAATGGATTATCATGCATCTTGTAAGACGGAAAAATCAGCGCAAAATCAAGAGCGTAATGCAAATTGTGACAGCTCATTATCCCAAGATCAATTGAAAAAAATGCAAGATCGTGTTCAAAAAACGAAAGATGAAGTGCAGAAATGTCGAGATAAATATGATCAAGCGTTAGCTGAAATCAATAAATATAATTCCACCTATATTGAAGACATGACATCAGTGTTTATGAAATGTCAAGAGACGGAAGAAGTTCGATTGCGGTTTTTTAAACAAATTCTTTTCTCTATACACAAGGTCCTTAATCTTTCTGAAAATCCTGGGTAAGCTTCAACGTCATTTTTATTCTATAAATACTTCTTATCTATTCATAATATGATTATCTTTGTCACGATAGTTTGCCACAAATCTACGAGGAATTTTATCATACAATCAACAATGCTGATCATAACAAAGACCTCAAGTGGTGGTCAAACAATCACGGGGTAATTGATTGTCAAGGCTGAAATGTGATCACAAATTGATTTTAATCAAATAATGTTCTTCTCTTCTTTGTTATGGATTTAGGTGAACATGGCTATGGGTTGGCCAGTATTTGTTGTGAGTATTGATTCATTTATTTAAAAGAGTTTGATGAACTAAAACGAGTGAAGAATATAAAAATTGTCTGATCATTAACACAAAGTTAAAGTCGAAAGTTCATAATTTGTTTTTGCTTCGTGTTAATATTTTTCACATCAACAAATTGTTTTTAATTTCAATATATCTACATACATACCTACTTTACTTGACTGCAGTTTTTGTTTTCAATTAACATATATGTTAAATACTCCATACTTAGAAGCGACAACGTGATGTGATTTTTGTTATTTCCGATTTTATTAAAACATTTTTTTATCTCTCGACCTACCCCAAAACAAATTTTAAGTACATTTCTCTTATAGTTCTTTATATACGTATGATTCTTTTAATGTTCTGTGACATAAATTCATATTGGTTAATATTGTTTTCTTTCTTTAATATTTCGCTTATGTTTATTTTTTTGTTTGAAAATATTAAAAACAAAAACAAATTTAGGAATATACGGAAGAGTTTCGTGACATAGCTAAGGGCATTAAATCGAAGGAAGCATTGCCAGCAGCCCCAATAACTTTGATACATCAACGTCCAGTTAATGAGGATTTGCATGTAATTTGCATGTTTTTTTATTTATTTTTTTCTCTTATTTTTATCGACTTTTCAAAATGCTTTGCTATCGCTTTCTTCTAATATTTTCATCGTGATTCATTAATTGATATGTATTTTATATGTTAATTGCATTAAAAGGATTATGAAAATCGACATTCAAAGAATAATCGAGCATCAGGTGATCCCTCACAGATTATAAGAGCGGCAGCAACTTCTGAAAATAATCAGCCAAAGTCATCGCCAACAGCAACTTCAACAATCAAGACTAATGCTGAAACTTCTTCAATCAATAGTGCCACTACGCCCAGAGAATCACCCGACTCTCCGGCGATTACGTAAGTAACTTTTTTTTGATTGATGACGTAAGAAATGATTTTAAATTAAAATTTTTCGGAAAGAAATGGAAAAAAGCAACCGGAACCTAATCCGTTTGATGATCATGACGAAGAATGGGACGAAAATGATAATTCGGAAAATGTTTTAACGGATAACGGTAAGCGATGAGATTTTGTGAATGAAACATAAAGTTTAGTTATTGATGTAATTATACCAAGGTGAACCTGGTGTTCCCGTTAAAGCGCTTTACGACTATGAAGGTGCTGAAAGTGACGAGTTGACGTTTAAACAGGGTGAAGTTTTCGAGAAACTTGAAGACGAAGATGAACAAGGTTGGTGTAAAGGAAGAATTAAAGGTCGTGTTGGTCTTTATCCTGCTAATTATGTTGAAGCTGTTTAATTCAAAGATTACAATGAAAAAGTAAATAATAAGAATCCAATAAGTCTTCAAAATTGCAGTGTTTAGTTTTGGCAATTATTCGCGCATGTTTGTAAATTATGAAGATCAGCACTTTTGCGGGGAAAGAGTTTGTTAAGTCGAAGTTTTTAATGCAAGGAGAAACATTTTTATTTCTTAAATTATGATTATGGACTATACTTTGCACTTTTAATGGTTTCTTTATTCAACATTTATTTCTTTTCCATCTTATCGTGTTAACGAATAAGAAATAAATATAATTGGCGTCCTCCTTCGTTTATTTAATTAAATACGCAGCATTTTACGGGTCATTTGACAAAAGTTTTAAAGTTTTCATTTAATTACAACAACTAAATAGGTAATTACACATTAATCTTGTCATAACATTTTTATATCAAAACCATTATGAACGCTTGTCTTATGATTCATAACGAAGAGAGAAAAAAAAGTATATGAACGACTTTACATAAAAACAATGTTTTGAGTATTTTTTGTAGTAAGTAGCAATATCTGATGAATGAAAAGAAGGAATCATGAAATATTATTAAAGAAATTAATAGACTAAGATGTTATTTAATCTAGCCGATAATATGAAACTATTGAATTTGGTTGATAAATATTAAAAGGAAATCATTAAAATAATTGAAACATTGTAAACAATTTAAGTAAGAAAGTTATTTAACGTTGAGCCCCTCCCCACGACAGTATCGATTTTGATAGATAAAACATAAAAGAAAATTTCTAAATGAGATCATTTTGGACTTTTGGTATTGTAAGTAATCCATATACACATAACAAATGAAAAATGAGAAGAACCAACAATGTTTTTATATCGCATTTTCTTTTAGAGGATTTTATCTCTTGTCTGTTGAAATTTGCAAAAAAAAAACAAAAAAACCGATGAAATCATAAGTAGCTCTGCCACACCTTATTGGTTTGTAATCATGTTGAATGATTGATAAGATAAAAAGAAATATTGAGAGAGAGAGAGAGAGCGTTCATTTATTACGATTAAAGAGATGATTATGTGGGTGTACAGCAGATAAAATGAAATTTGAAGCAAACTATTTTAAAAATTGCCAAAAAGAAAGTCAGCGCGTAATATATGAACGTTGATTAGAAAACAAAAAGAGGAAGAAACAAAAAAGAAGAAAACTTAGTCAGTGACACTTGACAAATATTAAGTTCTTTAATTCACAACAGTTACTTTCGAATAAAATCAAAACCGAACTATTAACACAAGAAGAAAAATGTTTTCATTTATTTGCAGCAAGGGATTCTTTTTTCTTTCAGATTTAATATTAATAATTAAATTAACTTCGTGTCATATTTAAAAAAAAGGATTTCTTTTAATGTTATTCAAGGCCTAAAACGTAGTTGACGCCTTGAACGAAAAATAGAATCAGTGGTTGCCATGCTATTAGATATCTTATCCAGTCAAGAAGTTGACCATAAAGTAAATGCGGTTTCTCCCAAGGGTTTCTGAAAAGCTTTTTCAAGTCAACCTTCTCCTTACAATATGGACAAGTTTGTTTCTTTCCAATTATCAGCCAGCCACGAATACAAAATCTTAAGGAAAAAATGATGACAACTTAAAAAATTAATTTAAGCAATTAAATAAACTTACTCGTGAAAAATATGATCACATGTTAATTTATAAGTATCTTCAATGACACCAACATCATTCTCACTAACGAAAAGTTTATGCGCACAAAGTCCGCACAGATCTTTAGGTAAACTCTTTGTAGGCATACCATCTACATTGTAGTATCCTATATGACAAGCCATTTTGTCAGTGCATAACTCTGAGAGATCTCTGCCTAGAACACCATAATAGAGTCCGTAGAAAATAAATAGAAGTGACACATCCATCCAGCTTTGTGGCGTTGCGCTGAAGATCAAATTTATTCCACAGAATGTCATCATCATAACAATGTATCCAAATATTCCTAATCCATAGCTTAACTTATATATAAATAGAAACCATTTATAGACTAGTCTATAAAGGAAAGTAAAATGAGCTAAATAATACCATATTGAATATTTTTAGAACTGACCTTGGAGTGTTTCCCGTAATAGGTTTTTGATAAGCTTTTCTCATCACAATTCCAGTTATTAAAGAAAATATAACCCAGAAGAAGATAAAGCGCCACCATCCGTTTTTAACACACATACCAGCTGGAATTAACCAAAGCCCCAGCAAACTCACAAGCAGATAAGATTTGTAGTGACGTTTTTTCCATTCGAAAAGAACAAACTGTGCTACGATCAGAGTGACGACTAAGATTAAAAGCATTTCGGCATGCATCTGATCATGTCCTTTATGCTTTTCATGCATTTGCTGGTGTAGAAATCTAGCTTTTTCATCTTCAGTCATTTCATCCAAAGTCTAAAAAAACAAATTACCTAGATTAAGGTTTTGAACTCATCTGATTTCATTGATTTTACCTTATTTGGATCTACAAAGTCGTGAAGATGGTTCATTTTAGCGACGAAATATAAACTTTGTGATTGCAGTTAATTTTGATTTTGTCAGATATTTTTTATTTGCAGTTCAATTTAGAAAATTAACATTTTTTGTATATTTTTATTCTGTACAAGTTCGGATAAGAAAAAACATCAAAATAGTCAAGACTTGTTCACAGAAGACGATTTTGAGTCAGAGAAGCAAACAACAGAAAAATGGTATGAACAAGTCTTGACATATCATACTTGTACGCCCTTATCCAGTGTGGCATTGGGCCATCTTCGAACACCCGGGACATTTTCGAACAATCGGGACTAAGTTTTTCGAAGATTTTGTATGAATACATGAAACCCTGTGTGAAACTATGAGATTTATAAAATCTCATATTGTATACCCTTATTCTTGATCAACAAGAAGATTCAAAAATTCCCTGGATAGAAAAAAAATCTCGAAAATAAAGAATCAAGAAATATCATGCTCCAAATTATAAATAGGATTCCTTGCCGATTACCTCGCTGCATTTATAACTCATCATATAAAAATATTCAATCAATTCACGGTAAGTATTAAAAGTTGTGAAATTCAGCAAAACAAATTTTAATGAAATTATTTTGTTCAAAGTGTTATCAAACATCTTCAACAATAAAGTCACAAATAATCAGGTAAAATGATGTATTTAAATTATATAACTTATTCTTGATGACTGTCATTATCCGAGAATACTTTCTTCATCATTCTATCCATTCTAACCTTAATGTTTATTTACAGAAATCACAGAATATCCAAGAATCTGTCTTGAAACTTAACAAAACTGAAAATTGTCCTCCAAAACCTCCACCTAAAACTAACTATACAAAATGGATGGTAGTGGGTGGTGCATCTGCATTTGCGGCAGGATTAGTAAGATTTTCTTTTCATGGATTGTTTTAAAATTAATATTGATTGAAAATTTCTTTTAGCTGTTACATTTGATTACGAGAGAAACTCCTGATCCTCCTGAAATAATAGACAAAACTAAGATACCATGTTAGTTATTTTTATTTTTTGCTTGTATAACGAAAACTTTTACAATATCCGTTATTGAATAATTTTTTAGTGAGAATTCCTCAAACAAGTGTAAACATTCCGAAACATGTTCCATATCTGCTGGTAGGAGGTGGAACTGCTAGCTTTGCTGCCTTTCGTGCCATCAAGTCCAACGAACCAAAAGCTAAAGTAATGGTTATTTCTGACGAAACAGTCATGCCTTACATGCGTCCACCATTATCAAAAGAGATTTGGTTTGATGCCCAACTTGGTGTCGAGAAAGCAAGATTTAAGCAATGGAATGGTGCTGAAAGAAGTGTTTACTATGAACCCGAAGAGTTTTATATGTCAGCAGAGAAATTGAAAGATGCTAGCAATGGTGGCGTTTCAGTCATTCGCGGATATTCAGTAGTAAAATTAGACATTAATGAACAAAAAGTTCTTCTAGATGAAGGCACAGAAATTACTTATGACAAATGTCTCATAGCTACCGGAAGTACACCTAAAAGTATCGATATCTTTGACAGTGCACCTTCAAAAATTAAAGAGAAAATTACATCGTTTAAAAGTATTAAAGATTTCGAAAACGTTAAAGCAAAGGTTGAGAAATCAAAGAAAATTGCAATTGTTGGCAATGGATTTCTTGGGAGTGAGTTAGCGTGCGCTTTAGCACATTACGGAAAGGAACACAATGGATTGAAAGTGTATCAAGTTTATCGTGAAAGTGGTAACATGGCGAAAGTTCTTCCGGAGTATTTAAGTAAGTGGACGACAGAAAAAATCAAAGAAATTGGTGTTGATGTTCAACCAAACAGTCAGATCAGCAGTGTTGAAATGTTTGAAGGAACTCAACTCAAATTGAAGTTCACAAATGGAAATAGTATAATTGTAGACAACGTAATTCAAGCTGTTGGTTCACTTCCAAACGTTAAACTTGCACAAAATGCTGGCTTAGAAATTGATCAGAAATTTGGAGGATTTCTTGTAAATGCAGAACTGGAAGCAAGATCAAATCTCTATGCTGCTGGCGATGTTGCTTGTTTCTACGATCCTAGATTAGGTCGAAGACGTGTCGAACATCATGATCATGCTGTTGTTAGCGGTCGTTTAGCTGGTGAAAATATGGTTGGATTAAGTAAGACTTTCAAATATTTATTTACATTTCTTTAATCTTTTTTTATTCTTTCTTTTAAAGAGAAACCGTACAAACATCAATCAATGTTTTGGTCGGATCTTGGTTCTGCTGTTGGATACGAAGCCATAGGATTAGTTGATTCCACATTACCAACAGTGGCTGTGTTTACTAAGATTGATTCAAAAGATGACAAAACTTTACATTATGAGGAAAAAGATTCAAAGACAGAAGAAGTTAAAGTAGAACAGCAGAAGAAAGAAACTTCACCAGTACAGAAAATATCATTTAAAGATTGTCCACCTGCATCAGTTAATGACAATTCAGAAGACTTTGGGAAAGGCGTAGTTTTTTACATGCAAGGCGAGAAAATTGTCGGCATTCTTTTGTGGAATGTTTTCAATCGCATTTCAATAGCAAGAAAAATTCTAATGTCAGACGAAACTTTTAAAGATTTAAATGAAGTAGCGAAGCTTTTTGATATTTATGATCAACACAAACAAGATGAAGACTAGAAAACTTGTTATCAATAATTCAATGCGTGAGTTAATTTTTTTTTATATTCGAAAAAATGCGGTTGATGAGTGAAACAACGTTATCAACGTTATAAAGAAAACGAAAACAAAATCATGAGAGAGAAACCAAACTTGAATTCTAATGATATTTGTTAACATCAAGCATATAAAATCTTTATTTGTAAAATTAAATGATAATGATATTTGATAAAAATTAATTAAATGAATACTTAGGTGATGAATATTGTTTTGATGGCTACGATTCGTCAACCTCCTCGCTTATCGATTCTGTTCGTATCGCACAGCGTTTGATTTCCTTCTTCAAAGGTCTTTTCTTCTGTTCTTTGGCCTTCTCTTTACAAAACTCACAGTTTCGATGAGATGTTGATTTACTTTCTTTCTTCTGACTAGGCTGGTACCGTGGCTTCACTAAAAGGTCTCATTTTTATATTGATTTCGATCTCAGTTCATTGTTCTATATTTTTCGAGTCAATGAAAAATTTTCATTTTTGGTTGTAAACTTATAATTTGGCACAAAAATTGGGTCACTGACATTTAGCCATTGAATTGAAAGTAAAACTAATGCGCGCGTTTTCTTCCTCATCGTCATTTAGAGCTTTCATGTGCGTTTCTTGCACGCGCGAGAGAAGAGAGAAACGAAAAAAATTTAACTTAAAAATAGAAAAGAAGTCACGTAGACACGGAAAATTTCAACTTCATTTTGTCAAGATTTTGTTTATTTTATCGGCAATAAAAAAAGTCTTGATAAAACTTTCCGAATGATGAATTAAAATTGCGCAAGATTTAATTTGAAATCAAGATAACAAATGAATTTCAACACTTTTTCGCAGCATGTTGTCGTAAACTGCGTAATAAGCTTGCGACCGTATTTAATTAGTTACCTTGAGCCTTCTTTTTCTCTTCCTCCATTGGAAACTGTTCGTAATCACGAGCTGGTGTTCTGTAGCTGATGGAATCTCCAAAACAGTAGATAACATCCATACTTATGTTCTTTGTTCGATATTAGAATTTGATTTCAGTAAATACTCAAAAGAAAATGTGTGAGAGCGAATTATTTCTTTTTATAAGACCACTTGGTGTGTTCACTTGTTGGCGTTTCAACTTGAAATAATTTCTCGCTTGTGCAACTTTTTTTTCGTTCGGATATGAGACGATGTTTACAATATTGCGACAGATTAACTGAACATTTCTCTCATTCTCTCGTTTTATTTTGTATCAAGGGGCATTCTTCGTAGTGCTTTTGCCCAAGCGGTTGTTCATCGAATTAAATTAGCCGTCAGAAGCACCATTGAAACACTAGAAATATTCCAAGAAAAAGTAAGCGAATTCTTGGAAAAAGGCCATTTATCTTGAAAAGCACTAGGTAGTGATTTTCGAAGCATCATTTGGAGTCAGCCGGCAGAAGCACTACGATGAAATACCCCTTGCTTTTGCCGGCTGCAAATGATGCTTCGAAGAACATTAGCGCTTTTCCAAAAAATTACCATTTTCCCAGAATTTGCATACTTTGTCTCGGAATTTGCCTACCTAGTAGGTACTTTTTCTTCTCATTAGGGCTTTTGACGGCCATTTTTTTTCGATGAATAACCCCCTTGCTTTGTATGGCTTCTTCGCTTTTATGTTGAGAATTTTTAATATCACTTTGTGAAAAATGTCTACAAGTAAATTATATGTAAACATCATAAATTTCTTTTACAAAAAAAGTGGAAATAAAATATATCCTTGAATTTGGCCGTCTTAAAAATCATAAAATTATAGAAAATGCTTCAAAATTATCTCGAAGGTAGTTTGTAGTGACACCACAATGATAAAATACTCTGATGAACGCGAGATGGTTAATAAAAGGCAAGAGAAATAAAGAGAGTGAAGCAACTTTTTTGGACTTTTATTGAACTTGACATAGAGATCAAAAGCTTTCGATTTTAATTCAAGTTGACAAAAATATCTTTATATTTTCATTTTTAATATTTTATACAGAGAACTATAAATTTAAATAAATAAATAAATTAAATAGAAATGAAAGTGAGATTATTCAACCTCCTATAACTGGCCTCCAACTGTTGTCATCAGTTACAAATTTCCCAGTTTTCTTTTCTAAACTATTTTTGTGTGGTTGATCATCCTCAAAAAAGTCGATAATCGGATGATAATTGTAGTTGATTCTTTTAGGTTCGAGGCTGTTAGCATTTGCTAATCGAAGGTTCACTGAGTTTGTGTCAATAGTCGAGGAAATTGACGGTGTTATCTTTTTCGGTCGTTCACTTTGTGAAAAAGGTCTTGATGGCAGTGACGTAACACCTTTTGAACCACCGATACTAGCACGTGACACTTTTGTATCACTTTCTGCAAAACTCTGATCAAATTGTTTTCTTTTCAATGTTGGTGTTCTTTGTCGATTTGAATTACGTTTTGTAAAAGGGAAATTTGAGTTTTTATTATTTGCTGGTGGCGTTAAAAATGTTTCAGGCCGAACGCGATTTCTTTTGTTTGATGGTCGAGATGATTTAGCATTGTCAGGGTCAGGAGGAAGTACTGAAGGCTTCTTTGGCTTTAATCTTTTAAATCCATTTCCAAATTGATAAGCAATGTTTGAATCTTCGCTATCATTGTTATCTTCGATGTCATCCGATTCGAGTAACGTGCTGTATTGGGAATTTCGATTTGATGATGACGAAAAAGTATCCAAATCGATAGGTCTTTGTCTTTTTGAAGAGATACTAGAAATACTGTTACTTGGTGATGAAAGTGGTGGAAATGATTCCTTGTATCCTACAAGATGACATGAACAACAAGTGGGGACCTTAAAAATATCAACGTGAAGGCCACGTGAACTGTCCCAACTCAAAAGTCGATGATAATTATAAATTTGGGTGCAAGACGATTCAAAGTTTTCTGTTAAATAACTGCAAGGGTCAAGTGGCTGACTGAAAGTATAAACTCGATTTATTGTGTTTTAAAAAAGATAATAAATTCTTATACCTGCATTTTTCTAATCTCAGTGTTTGAGTATGTTCACCAGTATTTACGATGAACTTCCATTCACCTGTTGCCGAACGAGCTTTTTGTGGCCGAGCATAACGAATTATACTACTACACATTGAACCGGGTGCTGATGTACCAGAACTGTCTTGCCGTCTGCTCAATTTAAAGAGTTTTAATGAAAGAAAATGGCAAGAATGTTGAATTATGAATTACCTCAAGTCACTTAAATCAGACGTTGGATTGCCGAGATAATCGAGTTTTTCAAGTTCTGCTGTTTTATCCCGATATTCAGCTAATAATGCTTCCATAGCATGTCGGTGTCGTCTAATACTGCCCATAATTTCATTAGTGGGATAATTTTGTGCAACTAAACAAATTCCACCTGTAAACCGCTCACAATTTTCTGGATTGGGTCCAACATTATGACCAGAAGGTTTTTTGTGACGACGTCCAATTAAAGCTGATGGGAATATATCAGATCCATTAACATCTCTGAGTGTCATATGTACTGTTCCATTTAAATCAGACAAAGCTAAGTTTTCAATTTCTTCTCTACTTCTAAAAGTATTAGATGCTGTTGAATCAACTCTTGGAAGTTTGTGTGGCAACGATTTGTCACCTGAGTGTGCGTCATAAGTGTTATTAAGAGATGAGTTCAAAATCATCATTAATGGTTCCGGTTTAATACTTTGAAAATCTTCATGAATATTCTTTACAACTGGTTTGTCATCTTCTTCCACATGAAGAGTGTCAACGCGCATAAAATTTGATGGTGATGAAAAATCAGTTTCTTTAGTGACTCTTGAATTTTCATTGTTAAAACTTCTTCTCAAAAACTGATGATGATTTCCCTTTTCATTCTCTTGATATTTGTCACTCTTCAAAAATCCTTCTCGCATTAAATTAGCCAAGTCATAAAGAATTGGAAGCAAAAGAGGTTTGTAGTTTTCATCTCCAAACATTTGCTTCACCTGCAAAATAATTGATGGTTAATCGGTTAAAATTAAAATGTAATTAAATACCTAATTATTTTTAAATGTGACTTAAATCTGTATCTTAAAAAATTTGTTTTGCTGACAAATGTTTGCATGCAAAATTCAACGTATTAATATAATTTAAATTATTTTAGGTGCATACTGCATGGTTCTCAATATTCGCATGGTTAAGTTTAAATAAATAATTTTATTGAATACACTCAATGTTTGTAAACAAAATAAAAAAATTCATTTTCATGATAATTCGGATATTTCTCATGAAAAATGGAAACTAGTTATAGATTGAATAATAAAGTATGTAGAGTATGTTTAGAGGAAGGGATCTTCACATCAATATTCAGTGCAGATTTTGCAATATCACCTTTTGTAATGCTACAGAGTTTAGAATTAAAAGTTTATGAAAGTGATCCAAATTTACCAATAGGAATTTGCAATCAATGCTACTATAGATTATCCTTAGCTTACCATTTTAAGCAACAATGTGAAAGTAGTGATATGAGATTAAGACAATATTTCGGAATAAGATATTTTGATACCAAGCGGGATGCAACAACAAACACAGACTTTCCTTTAGTCATAAATAAAGAAATAGACGACGAGGAAGATGAATCAAAGTTAAAAAAAGTAAAAAGCAAAAGAAGGAGCCGATATAAACCCAAAACAGAATTAAAAAAACGTGGCCCGAAGCCGACACCAAAAGTTGTACAAACATGTTTTCATTGCAATAAAACTTTCAAATGTGTAGCACAACTGCAGATGCATCTGAGAACGCATGTAAGTGAAATTAGGTCTTTAACTCTAGTAAGACTTTAGGCTTTAGCTAATCAGGTTATTAATTAATATAGACTGGTGAACGTCCGTATCAGTGCGATTATTGTCCGCATCGATTCGCTCAAAAACACAATCTTGTTATCCATGTAAGAACTCATGTAAGTGAAAACAAGTTTTTGATTCTTAAATAACTTTCTTATTGAAACATCACTTTTCTATAGACTGGAGAAAGACCTTTTCAATGTGAGATTTGCTCGAAGCAATTCAGCGCTCACGGTAATTTTATTGCGCACAAGAAAATTCATTCCGGTGTGAGAGATCATGTCTGTCCAGGTCTGAACAATAAACTTAATTATTATCATTTAGATTGTGTTTTCTAATGAATTTATCACAACTTCAATCTCTATGTAGTTTGTAACAAAACATTTATCACATCATCAGATCTTTCTCGCCATCTTTCAACACACACAGGAATTAAAAATTATCAGGTAGTTAGACATAAACGGTAGACTGGTTTACAATTTCTAATTGCCACTTTTCATTTAAAATCATATTTTCAGTGTGACATTTGTAATAAAGCATTCACAAGAAACAGAGATATGGTGATGCATAAAAGAAAAATTCATCTAAATGAAAGGTCCCCAGTGACATCTTACAAATGTGCAGAATGTCGAAAAGTTTTTTCATCTGGTGACACTCTTCAACTTCACGTTGCCAAAGATCACATTCAACAAGTTCCAGTTCCACCCGAAATTCCACCAAATATCCCAAATATTGAACAACATCCAATTCATAATCTTCCAGGAGCTCATCAAGCTTTAATGCATCATCATCCCCATCATCAAGCGTTGATTCAACCGCCACTTCTTCCGCCCGGAATGGGTTATCATCAAAGATTACATCCATATTAATAAAGTTAGCTAACGTCACTTTCCTTTTCATTTTTATTTTCAGTTGTTGTTAAGTAGTCTCTGATACATAACATTCATAAATCATTCTTGCACTTAAATCAATATTTATGAACATGTGAACAAAGATACATTATCAAGATACAAAGAAAAAACACAGAAATAAAATATGAAAATCCTAAACTTTCTTCAATGAGAAAAGTAGAAATTTTCTTTCGATGTAACACGCACTCATCTCAAAATGATAAAACATGTGGTTAAATTAATCGAAAAAGTTGTTTTTCTTACCTCGTCTAATGTGAGTGGTTTTGCACCATTAATTTGAGCGTAAATGATAGAAGCAAAAGCCAATCTTTGTGACTTGCTGAGAGATCTAAGAAGAGGCAGCACTTCAGAGAACTTATATTTAAGATCTTTAGCAGCGAATGCTTTGAAGAGTGTTCGCTGAATGATTTTCTCTTTCGTTGCAATATCATATTCCGTCGCTTCACTTCCATCTTCTACGAAGAAATCATCGAAGTCATCGAAAATCAAAGAACTTCCACGTTCACTTGTCGGACTATGAGATGCTCCATAGTGGTCTTCAAACTCAAAATCCGGAATCTCATCTCGTTGTGAACTCGCTTCACACAAATAAGTGCACAACATATAAAGCAGCATTATATTTATCATTAAATTCATTTTTCATTCAGTTTATTATTTGAAACTACACGACACGTTGTGAATATCTAATCGTAAAAGTCGCGGTTGGATTTGATTTTGAAGTTGTTTTAGTTCACTTTCTTTCAGTTGCTTCTTTTCTTGTTATCGAAAATAGAAAGAGAGAATAAATATTGAAGAAATAGAAAGAAAAATCGCTTGTTGATGCTTTTAAGAGAACGTGAGTATGTAACGTAAATGTATGGAACCGTCAGAAGCAATTAAACATCTGAGGTGTATCATCAAGTTCAAATAGTAGAAAATTATTTAGACGCGAGTGAGTGAAATGTAAGAAATATTCAATGGAAAGTAAAAAGAAAAAAATATGATGAGATGATAATTCATGAATAGAACTTGATCTGAACATCGACAGAACCTGTTCTTACTGAAATTTCTCTTTTCAAGTCTTTTATCTCATTTGTAACGATAACGCGAAATCACTTCTTTTCACTTGTTTTCTGAGTATGCGATCATGAAAACGATGAAACAAGCACAAATCTGGAACAATGCAGGAAACTTTTCTTTCGGGGACAAAAAAAATCTTACAACGACAAAAGTATATACTTTAATTCCGATTTGACGATCCAAATGTTTCACTCATTTATTTTTTTTGCGTAAACTTTCAATCGACTAAAGCTGCTGCTGATTTACCGTTTGAAAATTTGTTTATAAAAATCTTCCTCACCACTTCGTTTTTCTAGTTTAATCGGATCTTGGTGATTGGATTACTCTCAACTTCTCTTCAGATAATTATTAACTGTTATCAACTTTTTTATGTAATTTTTTCTTCAATTGTAATTTTCATCCAATGAAAAGCAAACAACATTCAGAAGAGAACTTTAGTTACTTTAACTTAATTAAAGATTAACACAAATTAAATGCTTATTATTCAGAAATGAAAAAAAGCAAGCTTACAATTGTTGCATCCGAACAAGTCAACATCTAAAGAAAAACTAAAGAAGAGAACACAAGACGATGTATGAAGCATTGGCCGAGACCCATTTCTTCGTGTTTCTTTTCAACTTGAACATTTTTTCATTGTCGCTCTCTTATTCTCAACATAATATGTAAGCATGAATGAATGAATGAATGAAGATAGAAGAAAAACGTTATTACTTTTGCTTGTGATGAGAGAAATTAAAACCATGTGAGCATTAAATCAATGAACGAATGGACTTTAAATATTATTTAATAACTACCTATTATTGTAAAGAAAGAAAGAAATGACGCAAGCATCAAAAAGACTGCCAATAAATTATTCTAATTTTTTTTATTTTAATGACACTTATAGATCAATGAACCTTAATTAATTTATTTATTTGTAGATATCTTTCTCGTAAGTATGACTTTTTATAAGCTGCCTACATCATTAAATCTCTTCAATTTCTCAGGGAACGGATCACGATAGAGAACTGGATCAGCTCGATATTCAACACTCTTAAGTGGCATCGTTCCATAGATTCTCGAAAACAAATTGATGCATTCCGATCTTTCCAGCATATGATTGGTATCAGCTGATAACATTTCAGCATTTGTACATTGCCTGGAATGACATTTGAATTTTTTACGTGGTGTTACTTTAATGGGCGGCTTATTCGTTCGATTTGATACAAGAAAATTCATTGCAATGTCTTCACAGTTCATATGTTCATCGACATAGTCTTTTATGTTGCCTGGCATCGACGTTGTGTAAGCGTAATTCCAATATTTATGATGAAATGCTGCTCCAGTGAGAACCATTGAGATCTTAATAAAGAAATTCATTATTGAAAGAGAAAAAGAAAAGATGAAAACAAGGAAACTTACTTCATTTGTCCATTCAGATTCATATTTCCATTCATTATTTTCAAACACATGAGTTCGACTTGGAAATCCAACAATTCGATCAGGAAATTCTCGCCACACTTCAAAGCCAAAATCAAGTTCATCTGGTGTTAACATCGTGATATCATCATCGATCGTTAGAACAGCTTCTGTTTCAATCTCTGGATATGGATAGAAACGATTCGAAAGTTTATTGGATTTTGTTTGAATGACTTTGTATGGCTTTGTTAATTTTGGAAAGCTTGAAGTGTTTGGTGGTTGCTTTTTCTGATTATTCCAAATGACGAGAATCTTTTGCAACGATGGAACAAGCGAAAGCTTTTGCATTAGTGTAAATAAACTATCAACTCTATCATATGTTAGAATGATAGCAGTAAATCCTTGACTTTTTGATCCCATCACTGGAAGGAACAGCGGATTTTGAGCCGAATTTGGCATACTTGGAAGATTCCAAGCATTATATGGCAGAGCGAGATGTGGAAATACACGATCGTTAAGCTCATCGAGCATTGTTAAAGTAATTGTTTCGATGTCTTTAAAATATCTATCGTATAAAAATCTCACTTGTTGTTGCATTTCTTTAATTCTCTCGTTAGAAATTCTATTTAAAACGGATTTAATTGAATGAAGATCAGCTTCTCGTATCTTCACAGCAGCTAATGTCCAATCAACAATCTCTTGAAATGGCAGAACAATATTATCGGCTACAACTACGGGGATACAATTTGTTGCCATTGCTTCAAGAAGCGTTGGTTGTGCTAATCGAACACCTCTTATGATTAAACAAAATGTTCCCCGCTCCAATATTTCGGGATACTCAATAGGACTGTTTCCTGGAAATGTGCATCGAATATCATGTTTCATAAGTTCTGGTGAAGAAGAAACTTTATCCTCAAGTATCTCTAGTGTACATTTTTGAAGCAGTAAAATATTATTATTAGAATCTTCGAGAACGATTTCCTGCATCATCCTTCGATGATTGTCGTACATGTTGAGTTGTGGAGCGATGAGAAAATATTCTTTATCATCACCATCTTTGGTAATCTTAACGTAATCAGCCAACATAGGGCTGTAAAATGGTATCGAAAAATCGAATCCATATCGATATGTTTGTGAATCAAACCCAGCGCCTGCTATAAGTGCATTCGCTGTATTCACATCAGTTACTGTATGATAATCTGGATTCTCACCGGGCAACATATTAAAGAGAATATGATTTTCTCCATTTTCCCAACTGTAAAAAATGAATAAATAAATCTTTAGTAAATATTCTTTAAGCCTAATTAATGAACTTACTATCGAAGGGATGCAAGAGCTTTACTAACAAGATTCTTGTCAATTAGATTCTGATTAAGCATATCGATACTGGGAACAAATATGCAAGCCTCATTGGGATTTGCCGTATAATAAGGACTATTAATGAGTGTTTTGAGTATCTTATAGAATTCTCTGGAGATCCATGTCTTTGATTTCTCTTCGGAAAACTCCGTGAGTGGATACACATAAATTGTGACTTTATTCTGGTGATTTCCGCATTTATACACATTAAAACAGTCATAATAAGAACAATTAGGATTTCTTCTACGTGCAAGTTCTGCATCTCTATCAAATCGAATACGACGAAAGTTATTTAAGTCCAAAACATCAGATTGCTTAAAATGTTGTGGTAATAAAAAAAGTACAAAAAACATAAAAATAAAAACACAACCACCGGATACTCCAAGCTTATCGATTAACAGATATTTTATGGCACTACTTTTATCCTTTATCACCATAGTGAAAGTGCTCTTTTCTAAGTAAGTTTCAATTTTTCTATAAAGTTATCCATTTTTGACAAGTAAACAATAAAATTTCTTAGAAAAGCTTTTGAATTTCATGATAATGTCGGACTGTCATTTTTTTACTGAACACATCCGAAGAAGAAAATTTTTTGTGATGACCTGAAATAATTCTTGTTTGAAAGTCGAGAAATTTAAGAGTATTTACTAAATTTTAAAGCTATGGAAGCTATCAAAAGACTCCCTATGATCAGCTTTGAGCTGAAAAATAGCCCCGAAGCAACATCGTTTCACAATCTTAAGCAGGTAAAAGAATTGAAAGTCCAGTTTTAATCTAATTAGAATTATTTTTCTTTGTGAATGATAATTTTAAGTTGTTTGTGCTATCATGATGATTCATTGAATTATTGTGTTTATTTTTTTTGATTATCAGTGTATTGCGGAATATTATCATGAAGATCCCGACTCTTATGGCAAAGAATTTCGTGAATTAGAACAGTTGCGAGGTCTTGCCGTTCGCCCCAGAATTGACTTTGAATGCTGCTCTACAGTAAAAAGATATTATTCACAACTCCACAGTCTCCAAAATCGATTTCCATTGTCATCCGAGAATGAATTGCTAGATTTTGCATGGAAAGATCTTTATTCAGGTTCTTTATGGCGAACATCCAACATAAAATTTGAAATGGCTTCAATTCTCTACAACATTGCCGCACTTCATTCACAACTGGGAATCGAAGAAAGTCGATCTGATCCTGAGAGCATGAAAATTGCATGCACGCATTTCCAATGCGCAGCATGGGCTTTTGGTGAGATAAAGAATCAGTATCCCCTTGTTTTGAAAGGTGATTTGTCGACGGAACTTATGATTTTTATGCAACAAATCTGTTTTGGTCATGCTCAAGAATGCATTTTAGAAAAGAGTTTAGCAGATAATCGAAAACCTGCTATAATAGCAAAAGTAACAGCACAAGTTATCAGTTTTTATAATGCAGCTTTATCCGCTCTCTTCAGTCAAAATGATGATGGAAGCATTCAAGATCTTGTCGGAACAAAGTTGTATAAAGATTGGCTCAAGTACATTAAATTCAAGACGTCATACTTGAGTAGTATTTTGTTCTTATATCAAGGAATGCATTCCGAAGAGCAGCGTAAAATGGGAGAACGTGTTGTTTTGTATAATGCTGCTTGCGAAAGGTTGGAAGAAGCTAAGAAAGAGTCGAAAGGAATGAATAAAATCGAATTGATAAATGAAGCTTTGATATTGATGACTGATATCGTTGAAGGGAAACGAAAGAATGCTAAACAAGAAAATGAATTTATTTATCATGAAAGCATCCCAGAATTCAGTTCAATTTCAGCTGTTCAAGGTGCTAATCTTGTTCAAGGAATTCCATTTGATGTCACTGATCCCCAAGTCATTGGTGATGATGTTTTCAAAAGATTAGTACCAATGAAAACTCATGAACATTTGTCGGTTTATAGTGAAGAGAAAGCTAACATTTTACGAAGTTTGGGATCAAAAATAGACGATCGTGATGCTGAACTTGCTTCGTTTATGGGATCATTGAACACTGAATCATTAAATGCAATGGGACATTCACAAGAAAGACTCCCACAAGGTCTTGTTGATCGTTGTGCTGAACTCAGTGCAAAACCAAATGCTATTTCTGACCTTGTTGATTCAATGTCGAATCTTGCCGACATTTGTTGTGATGTTGAAATGACATTGAAAGATATTAAAAAGATTCTCGACGACGAAGCAAAACAAGAACAAAACTTTCAAAAAAAAATCGGAAAACGACCAACTGGTCACATGACGGAATTATCGCGTGAATTTACAAAATATTTTGAAGCTCACAACAAAGCTGGTGAAAGTAATGACACATTGAGGAAAGCTATGGAACTTCACGTAAGTAATTTAAAAATTCTTGCACAACCGTTGTCAGCATTGAAGCGACAAGTTCCTCAAGCTGATCCAATCGATGTTGAAACACGAAATTCATTACAAGTGCTTCTGAATAAAGTCGAAGAAATGAAGAAACAACGTGATGATCTATTTAACGAATTACGTGATGAGATTCTGAATAAAGACGACATTACGTCACAGCTTATCGCATATGGTGACAAAGATGTTGAAGAGCTTTTCAAGAAAGAGCTTAAAAAATATTCCAATAAAGTTAATATTATCGATCAAAACCTTATTGCTCAAGGAAACATCTTAAAAGCTTTAACTGACACATATGCAAAGCATGCAATGACATTAAAATCTTACACTGACACTAAAATGAAACGAGAACAATTTTATTCATCTCTCATTGCATCCTATGATGTCTATGAGGATTTAATGTTGAAAAGTGCAAAAGGATTGGATTTCTATAAGAAACTTCATGGAAATGTTCAAAAGCTCATGTCACGAGTTAAAGCAGCGCGCGATGTTCAAGAAGAGGAACGACAGCAATTGTTCAAAAATTCACAGCCAAAAGCTCCGCCAGTTGAGGTGATCAAACCGATTGATACAAGCTACATGATGACAACAATTCCATCATCTGGTGGTGGCAGTTGTGGTCCAAAGCTTAAAGATTATCTTAAGAGTGGAATGGTTTCAGGTTTGGGAGGCTTACGTGATGAATTAAATAAATTGCCTGGCGTACGACCAAATCCTGTTGGTCAGGAAAATATTTCAAATTCTAATCCCGTTTCTTGTCCATCAATGAATTATGTTCCACCTTCCAACTATCGAAACCATGTATCAACCTTTCAACCACCAGGAAATCAACAGCAACCTCAGCAACACAGTAGCATTAACGTGTCACTCTCATCAAGCAACACAAGTTTGAATAGCGATTATTTCATGCAAGGTGGACTTTACGGTCAAGTAAATAATATTCAAAGTGGATATGTAAATCCAATTTATCAAACAACTGGTCAGCAACCTTATCAGAATATCTCACATCTTGGCTATAATCAAACAGATCCTTCTATTTATCAACAATCACAGCAACAACCTCAACCTACGGCAACTTATGGAACTCACGCTACCAATAACTATGGTCAACAACCACAATTCGATTACTATAAGAATCAAAAACCTGTTTCTGTGCAACCTCCTGTAGAGCCTTCACCAGCTACGAATGTTTCTCAATGTGCCAGCAAAATAAATCCAGTTGTTGTAGATCAGACACAAAGTATGTATCAGAATCAATGGCAACAATATCCTGTTGCTCCAAGTCCATCTCAGCAATTTGTGGCTTCGTATACTCCAAACACTCAGCAATATGCCGGCCAACCGCCATCTGTTCCTATAAGTCAACAATCAATGCCATCAACGCAGGAACCTGCATCGATGCTTCTCAATCAACAGCAGTATGCAATGAATTATTCATCAAATATAAGTCAACAAGCTTCTGTTGGCAGCCAACAAAATTTTTTCAACTACAACACTCCATCTCAAATGTACCCAACAATGAATCAATATGGCCAGCAAAATTATTCCTGCTACACGCCTACAATAAATTCAATGAATTCTTATATGACGGCAACTGATAATGCTACTTCACAATCTCATACGACGCAGTCTGAAAACTATTACGAACCACAGGCAATAATAGGACATGCACAATCTCATGCAGTTTCAAAGGCTTCATCGTCAGTTAATGAGTCACCACAACGGCAGCCAAATTCAATTCCAACATACACGACAGCGATAAATGCAACATCAACAAATAATTCCGAGACTCATGCAACACAAAGTCAACAGCAAATCTCATCGTCAATTGAAAAAGTAACAACCCAGCCACATCAACAGCCAACTCAAGCAGCTCCAACAGTATCGAAGGTTAAATCAAAAAATATTGACTTACTTTCGGGAATTGATTTCAGTATGACAAATCCGACAATTGAAAATGTCCCAACATTGACACCTGTCAGTGCAAAGAAATTTGAAGCTGAAGAAGCAGCTACAAAGTCGACTTTAGCTTCTCCAATAAAACATGCGAAGATAAATGATGATCTTGCTGATTTAGATTTTGATTCTCTAAATATCTCAGCATCTGGTGAATCTTTAAAAGTTGTGATGAAGGATAAACAACAAGATGTAAAAAAGAAATTTAAAGACCCTTTTGAAGACGGAGTTACATTGAAATCATTCCACAAAGAAGTTGAAAGTTTGGAGAAATTTATGGAAACATTAACTGTGAAGACTTTAAATGGTGTAACGCCGTTAACAACAAAATGGAAGGAACTTCAAGATTTAGTTGTGAAAGAAGAAGGCAAGCGAAGTGTTTCAATTGCTCGTCTCTTTCCAGACAAAAACCGATCTGTCGACTGTTTGCCATACGATCACGCGAGAGTTGTTTTACCAACAGCAACCGATAATTATATTAATGCCGTTATTGTTAAAGACTGCGGCCCGATTAGATTTATTCTTACACAAACGCCTATGGCTAACACAATAAATGATTATTGGGAAATGGTTTGGATGCAGAAAGCAAATTCTCTTGTTTGTCTTCACACATCAAACGAGGTAAATTTTAAATGATCAAATATAGTTTTTATTCATTTATTTATTTACATCTTTTGGATTAAGCTTCTTGATCCATTTTGGCCACAAAATGTTGGTGAAGAAAAAACTTATGGCGATATATCCGTGGTTGCAACCAAACAATTTGATTTCTCGCATTGTCATGAAATGCTTTTAAAAGTGACAAAGAATGGATGTGATGGTGTGATTATCACTTCCTTGCTTCAAGTTACTACTTGGAAGAAAAAGTAAAACATTTTCTTTGGATTTTAGTTTAAAGTATTAACAAATTTCTTTTCTCTCAGTTCGCCTGATCACATTCTTGACGTTGCCGGCAATACCATAACGTCATATAAACAACAAAATCCTGATAATCAACATCATTCGACAATGATTCTTAATTGTATCAGTGGTGGAGCTGAAAGATCTGGTTTAATGACTCTTGGAATTAGTTCAATTTTAGGGTCACAAATGAGGAAACCAACTTTATTAAGTAAATATTCAAATTTATCTTTTGCTTTCAATTTATTTACTCATTTCTCGTTCTAGATGTCATCGATCATTGGTATAGAATTTGTTCACACAGGAAAGGTGCTCTTGAAGATGAACGGTTAATTCAATTGTCATTGGAAATTGTTTTAACAAACGCACATCGTATTTTGAACAAAAGTAAGTTAAAATTTCTTTAAAGTATAATTTGAATTTGTTAATTATTGCGAAATCTACATAGGAGGCATTATGACATCGTATCAAATGAAAAATGCAGAAAAGTTGAGCGCAAATGTGGAGACTGAAAAGAGTGTCAAAGACACTGGACTTGATTCATTGGATCCGTTCTGGAAATTTAAATAAACCTTCAGCCTTGTTTCTTCAAAATCATAATAAATATTAACATTTAAATTATTTTACTGAAAACAATATATATTTCATTATTCAATCAATGCTGATAAAATTTTGTACTAAGCGCTTGCTTAAATCCAATTTAAACAAGAAATTTATCTACGCAAATAAATTTTTTTCTCATTGTAAATGCATTTTGATTTTCATGCAGAAATTTATTTCTCAATCATTTTTAATTTTCCATTTACATCGTCGAGTGAGTGAATAATGCAATGAAGGAATGAGAAAAAGAAAAGAAGATTGTCATATTGTCCATTGTATGGTTTACACATCGATTTCTCTCCATTATCATTGTCATCGAAGATCTTTGTGGGTGGTATGAAACTTGTGTCAAGTTCGAGATCATTCAAACTTTTATCGTAGTAGTTACGATGAATTCCCCATGCACTAACATGAACTTCGAGTAGAAATTGATGAATAGCTTCAATTGTTGATAGATACCAGTCAGGTGCACCTTTTTGAGTTCGCCAAAATTTTGTTTTTCTGTTTTGAATCACGCAACTTTTAATAGAATTTATTCTTGGATCTTTATAAATACTTCTACATTGCTTCCAAGTGCTATCAATAAACACTGCTCTTTTAAATGGAAGATTGTCACGAGAATAGATTTTCTCGTCATGTTCACCATTTCTATGAAGACGTTCTCGATCACTATCACTCATCACTTCATCTAAATTCTTCTTCAAAAGAGTTCCAATAAAAAATCCTTTTTCTAATCCATAATTTTCTTTAAAATCAAAGGTCGAGATTCCTTTAAAAAGACTAGAAATGCTGACAGATTTTGAGGAAGGAAAGATTAAAATCACATCGCCTGTTTCTGCTGAATAATCTGGAATCTCAGGATATTCGTAAATATTAACTTGATCTGGTGAAATAATTTTAGCATGAGAGCTTGTCGATTTTCCAAACACTTCTTGTCGATGTTTTATGATATCAATTTGAATAGGAAGCTGACCAAATATTCTTTTAATTCAAAGTTATGAAAGAAAAAAATTTAAATAATTTTTACCTCAACCCTTGGGACTATGTCAGCATATTCCGGATGTGGGCAACTGCATTTATAACAGAAGAATTTCCTTGATGATTTGCATTTGTCACATCTAAAGCGACCTTCAACTTTTAACAAATTGTTATAGTTATTAATTTCTAAATTATTATAAATCGTGTTCATGATTGTAAACAAATGATATCTACTAATGTAGAACCTACCTTATGAAATTATCCCATTGAACCAATCGAAGTTTTACGGTCAAAATTAATCGAAAACAAAAATCTTGAGCAAAATATTTTTTAATAAAAGCCGAAAATGAGCGAGGTCATTATAATTCCTTCAACAGATACTGTGAAAGTCAACGTATCGAACTCTGTCAATGATGTTGTATCATTTGAGAAAAAATTTAACAAGCGTTTAACGATAGGTGATCTTAAGGTGAGTCATTTTAGGGAACAAACAATGTTTTTGTTAATAATTGTGAACTTATTATTCGTTCAGACAAAGCTGGAGATACTGACTGGTGGAAATCCAAGCACTATGCAACTTGAACTTTTCTCCGGCTCCAAATTAGTTACAAAACTTGATAACAATGATGCATTGCTGGGATCATACAACATTGAAGATGGAATGAGAATTCATGTTATTGATAATATAATTTTCGATCAAAATGTAGAGAAATTTGAGCTTACAAATCAACAGTATGAAACTCGACAAGATTCTGTCAGATCTTTTCTTAAGCGGAATAAACTTGGAAAGTATAATGAAGAAGAAATGAAAGAGATTGAGAAGAAAAGAGAAGAAGCAGCTAAGAGAGAAGCTGAACGAGCTGAGAAAATTACAGCTGGATCACGATGTAAAGTGAACACTGCAAATCAACCAACACGTATTGGAACTGTGATGTATAAAGGAGAACTTGAAGGTAAAAAAGGAATGTTTGTTGGAGTAAAATTTGATGAGCCTTTAGGAGTTAATGATGGATCGTAAGAAACTTAAACATCTCCTTAAATTAGTTTTTATTAACAGATTATTACTTTTAGCTCAAATGGAAAACGATATTTTGACTGTGGACCGAAATATGGAAGTTTTGTTCCACCATCTGCTGTCGAAGTCGGCGATTTTCCTGAAGAAGATTTTCTTGATGAAATTTAAAGTTTTTAAAATTATATATCATTCGAATTTGAACATCATTCACCAGTCACACAAATCCTGTTTCCTCACGCTTTTCAATAAAAAAAATCAAATAATTAAAATATATATGTATACCTACCTATTTAACGTAAGTTTTGAAGAATTATGATATCATTTATAAACAAGACCGCAGTCTGACTTAACCTTTAAACCAAAATATTGTTGAAGAAATTTCGAAAGAAAATTTTAGAAACAAATTGCTGAATTTAGCATAGAGAAAAGGTAAAATTTTAGAAATGGCATCGGGAAAACGCGCTGCTGGAACGGAATTGAACCATGATAATTGGAATGACGAAGAAATTAGTGAAGATGCAGGAGAATTCAAAAAGGCTAGCGAAGAAGAAATACAAAGACGCGTACGAAAAATTGCAAAACGGCGAATTGTTAACAATGATTCAGAAACTCCAGCAGCTAATCCTTTTGTAGGATTCGGGGGTTTTAAGACAAATTCTGGTCTCGTCACATCCACACCAGCAACAACTTTCAGTTTCTTATCGAAAATTCCATCCACAACAATTACACCGAAAACAAATGGAGCTGCAGAAACAACAAAAGAAAAAACTTCCTCAAATACAGAATATTTCAGTAAAATAAAAGCTCTGAATGTAGCCGTTTCAGATTGGATTAAGACACATGTTGATGACAACCCTTTGTGTATATTGACTCCAGTTTTCAAGGACTACGAAAAATATCTCAAAGAATTTGAAGACTTGAAGAAATTTTCAAAACAACCTGAAGTTATAACACAAGGTACAATGAAAGAAAAGGAATCAGCAGCTTTAATTCCAACATCATCGTTTTCTTTTGGTAAACCATCAGTTCCTGCTAGTTCCACATCAACAAGTACCAATTCCAGTGTCTTCACTGACTTTAAATTTGGAGGTGATGCACAAAAGGCTTCCCCTCTAGCTCATTTACCGAAACCCATTACAGGCACTCCAGAGAACAAAGGTGGCTTCTTTGGATCGAGAAAATCACTTGAAAGCTCACAACCATGCACTGCAACATCAACTTTTTCTTTCGGATTAAAAAATCCTTCGGAGACTACAACTCCACTCTTTGGAGGACTTTCAAAAGCTTCTGCAACATTCTCTTTTGGGAATGTCGTTCAAGCTCCCAAAACTGACGAAGCGTCGAAAGATTCTAAAGAAGAAGATGCTGACGAAGAACCTCCAAAAAATGAATTCGTGCCTGTTGTTGAAGACGATAGTCTTTACTCAAAACGCTGCAAAGTTTTTGTTAAAAGTGGAACAGATTATGCTGACCGTGGTATTGGTACCTTGTACATTAAGAAAATTGAAGATTTAAAGATTCAACTTATCGTTCGAGCTGACACAAATCTTGGCAATATTCTGCTCAACATTTTGATAATTGATGGACTTCCTGTAAGTCGTGTTGGAAAGAACAACGTAATGGTTGTGTGCATTCCAACTCCAGAGTCGAAACCACCACCAACATCAGTGTTGCTTCGTGTAAAGACTGAAACTGAAGCTGATGAGCTTCTCGCAACTATCAACAAGTACAAGAAGTGAATAATTCTTAATTATGATGATACACTCGTGTAATTTAAATTTATTAAAATTCTTTTCTCATTGTGTGACGCTCACGATTATTATTTTTACAAGATATTAAAGGAGAACAAGCTTATCAATCTTATTTTTGTTTTCATTATATCTAATGTAGATTGTTATGAACAACAAAGAAAGAAATTAAAAATTATCCTAAAAGCAATGAAATAAAATTTTTCTTTGATTTTTCTTTAGCTTATATATAATAAACATCAAGAAACTTTCAGCTGCATTCATGAAAATCTGATCAACAATTTTGAATGGAATTTCGAATAAATTTTATATTTTTATTTCTTTATTTATAATTATGAATGAACCATGAGAGAAATTTGTTTTTTAATGATCATGAATTAGAAGGAAAAAAGCAGAAATGTGAATATTTAAGGGAGAAATAAAAATAAATGTTCATTGAAAATTCTACAAAGAAATGAAATGGAAAAAGAGGCTCTAAACACCGAGAACATAGTCTTCATCAAGAATTTCAATCTCCTGAGCTTGCTGACTGATACTATCATCAAAAATACCAATTTGAATTTGATGAATATGACTTTCCACGGTCTTCTCAAACAAAGAAACATTTTCAGGATCAAGAGTTTTGCTTGTCTCAATTAAACATGTTGAAAGGACTTCTTCAACATTCGAATATTGATCATTCTTCAAGTTTGATGTCACCCACATAATTGTTGCCAAATTTCCAATCAATTTTGTCATCGAATCATCTTGAATTGCATTATTATTATTCTTCACAAATGTTTGCATTGCGAGATCGCGACATTTTTCACGAAGATATGTTGGGGTGAGAACTTGAAGTTCATCTTTATCAGCTATAAACAAATCAGCTTGAGCTTGTAAGATGTTCATGTAATCAGCTAAATCGCGATTAATTCTTTCCATTTCAACAAGAAGTGCTGCATATTTTTTTTGAAAGTCCTCAGGAGCGTTATCCCCAAAGCTCTTAACAACTTCAGCTTCAACATTCATTCGACGAATCTTAAGGAGTTGTAATTGTTTCACTTCCAATGTCTTCCTCACCAATACCATTGCTTCAAGAAGTTTAACTGGATATCCACCAATAGATCCTGTTGTTGGTAGCACCAAAGTAGGAAACTTTGGCTTTGAATATCCTTCTAATTTTACTGCACTACCAATAACGCCACTTGATGATAACATTGGATCACTACGACGAAAATTTGAGCCATTCATTTGAAGTGAAGCAAAAGCACCAGCTGGCTTAAGTGGTGAAACCATGTAATATGAAATATCAGGACGCGATAAAAATTCTTTTGTTATTTTACTCAAATTAATTGCTTCAATATTTTCACTTGACATCACTTCATAATCGGGAATTTCTTGTGATCCAATTCCTTGACGTTCAAATGCTATGCGATATGAGTGACTTTTGTGTACAAGTGCTTCAACTGTTCCAGTAAAGAGACCATCTTGAGGTGTTCGCAAGCGTGCCGTAACTTTTGTGCCAATGGTAAATGGAATAGGAATTTCATGTGGTAAATCGCATACAAATGAATGATCCCCAGTTTTACGTGATTGTAACAAGCGAATTTTTTGTCGTTTTCTTTCCAATTCCATTCGTTCTTCTTCAAAAAATTTTGATGAGCATCTTCGAGGTTTCCCAAATGTTCGACGAATTTTATTCCATTCAATTCTTGTCATCATGCGAGTTTTAAGACGAGGAAAGGTTTCCATGAGACAAAGCTCAAAGTCATTAGTCCCAAGGAAGACGGATTTATCTATGCTACTGTAGAAGAATTCATACATAACAAACTTATGCGCCTTTGGGAGTTTCAATATATTACGTAAACGTAGCCCAACACGTTGGCAAAGTTTCTTGTCGATTATTGTCATATGCATCGACTCAGTAATTGTTGATTGTCTCGTCATTCTCTTTTTTCGTTCCTTCTTTATTATTTTTGCAGGTTGAGAACTTCTTCCAGATACAGATTCACTTTCCTCCATTTCTTCTTCTTCTTCATCTGCATCTGATTCATCGTCTGTATCTTTCTCCTTCTTCAGATTTAAGCGTTTTTTTACAGACTTTACTGGTGAAGATTTAGCTGAAGTTGTAGGAGTTTTAGGAGCTGCTTTCTTTGAAGGTGAACCTTTTACTGGTGATTTTCCTTCTTCAAGTTCATCATCATACTTTGAATTCTTCTTACGAATTCTTGCTGGTCGCCCACGAGCATTTAATTTTTGCAAGGGAGTTGTTCGTTTACGTTTCGGTGGTTCAGTTCCAACTCGATGGAGACCTAAAGTGGCGGGCCCAAATGATGGATCATCGCTATCGCTGCTAGACTCGAAAGAGTCTTCTTTGTTTTTGGAATCATCCGACATGATTCTAGTGGAAAAATGAAAACATTACTTATAAGTAGAAAAAAATCGTTGAGTGCTCAATGCAATGGCCGTACTGACAAACGGCACACGTTGAGTGTTTCGGGTAACGAATTTTCATTTGAATATTTATATTCAGAAACTTCAGTAATTCGATATCATATTCACTACTATAAATTATCATGTGAAATGCATTATAAAAGAAAAAATCATCTTATAATGAGCAAAGTTCCACGAGTTTTCACTAAAGCTTCTTGTTATCAGGGCTTGGGTTTTTTGTTTTGTTTTTTACTTGTCTTAAGAAAAATCTTTTTTACCTTTTATTTTCACTTGCACACAACTTTTATCAATTTTATTAAGTTAAATTTTGTTAATTGTGGGCATTCAATATGTTTTATTATGATTACGTGCGCTAATTAATGACGAAAATCGAAAATTATTTAACGAATTATTCCCTCCGAATGCTACAGTCAAACTTCGATTGTAGATGACGCGGGGCTTATTTGAAGGGTACTCAATTAAGTTTTCTCGTATGTTTATTGTCGCGTTTAGCTACATTAGCTGCAAACATTTTCTATAATTAAAATGGCAAAAATAGAAAAGAAAGAGATTCTTCAAGCTGTTTTAATGACAGATAATTTCAACGATAACTTGAAACCGTTTTCATTATTTAATTCTCCTGTAAGTATCCACATACCGATGACATTTGAAAAATAACCATAAGACAATTTTTCTTAAATATAATTTCAGGCTCTTTTACCCCTAGTTAATGTTCCTTTGATAAGCTTTGCTCTAGAAACACTGAATCGTAATGGTGTTGAAGAAGTATGGATTTTCTGTGCATCTTATGTTGATAAAATCAAATCATTCACCAAGTAATTTTTCACATATTTCATGAAATTCATTTTTTATTAAACTACCTATTTCATTTCTTTTAACAGAAATGGAATCGAACAAAATTTAACATGGTCCGTTGGTATGAGCATACAAATTGTTTCATCGGAAGTAAGATGTTTTGGAGATGCAATGAGAGAATTAGATGCTAAAGGGAAATTGAGAAATGATTTCATTCTTATGGGATTCGATACAATCACTAATGCAAAGTTAATTCCATCTATCATGAAAATGCATAAAGAAAAATGCAAACAAGACAAAGGAACGGCAATGACAGTGGTTTATAAGAAAGTTGCTCCTGGCCAACGTACTGGTAATGAAGTGATGATAGCCACTGAGAAAAGAACTGGAAGAATGCTTTTTCATCAACGCATATCAGCAATAACAAAAGAAGAGAAATTCAAATTTCCTCTAGAAATCTTCCTTAATAATCAAGAAGTTGAACTTCATCATAATTTGCTCGATCCTCAAATTGCCATTTGCAGTTCATCAGCACTTCCATTATTCTCCGATAATTTCGATTATGAAACCCGAGATCAATTCATCAGAGGTTTGGTGATGAATCAAGAAATTCAATCAGACTCGGTTTACGTTGCACAGCTGGCCAATGAACAGTATGCAGCTAAAGTTAGTGATTGGGATGCTTATCACACAATAAGTCGAGATGTTATCAATCGATGGGTTTATCCATTCGTACCTGACATGGGCGTTTGTTGTCTTAGCCAGCAATATTTATTTCTTCGCAATAACATTTATCGACATAAAATGATTAAAGTTGAACGAAACTGTTCACTCTTAAATGATGTTGTAATTCATCAAGGCTGCACAGTTGACGAAAAAGCAATTCTATCAAATTGTGTCTTCGGTAGAAATTGTAAAATAGGAAAGAACTGTGTAATTTATAATGCTTATATCTTTGACGACGTAGTAATTGGTGACGACTGTAAACTAGAGAATTGCATCATTGGAAATAAAGTTCTATTAAAGACTGGTTGCATAGTTAATGGAGGTGCAATTATATCTGATTGTTGCATTATCGAAATGAATAGTAAAGTTGAAGGATTTTTAATTCAATCTACTTTGCCTGATGCTGACGAATATTCCACGGATGAATACGAGAAATTTGGTGAATTTGCTTACAAATTAAAAGAACATACAGAAGCTGAAAATCTTTGTAACTCCGATGAAGATCTCGTCAATAATGCAGAAATTCATTTGAAATTTTTCAAGTTGTCTTATCGTGAGCCTAATTACGAGTCAAGTGCGTACAGTTCTCAAAATGAAAGCGATGATGAAGATAATGGCCCGACTTTTCAACAAGATGACAGTCACATTTTCTTATCAGAAGTTATTGAATCGCTCAAACGTGGCTTCGAAGAGAAATCCAATCCCGATTTTCTCATATTGGAAATTAATTCATCACGATATGCTTACAACATGGCACTTAACGAAGTCAATTTCTTTGTCGTTAAGGCTGCCTTCAATCTTCCAACAGTCCTTTCAAATTCAGAACCAATGAAAGGATTTATTCAAATTTATTCTTATCTTGGCGAGAAAGTGCTAAAAAACTACATTAAAGGTGAAAGTGCGATGCTAGATTGTCTCAATGCAATTGTCGAATGTTGCGAAGAAAGTGACAATCTCAAACCCAAGTTAATGCACATTGTGAAGTTTTTATATGACAAAGATGTTTTAAGTGAAGATGTGATATTGTCTTGGTATGAAAATGTCGACGCTTGGGTAGTAAAATCGCTACAACCATTGATAAAATGGTTAGAGGAAGCCGAAGAGTCATCAGATGACTAAGAAGAAAAATATGAATGAATGAATCGTGTGAAGAACCCGACGATAGCAAAATAATAATAATAAAGAGAAGTGAGAGAGTAAAAAAACCAGATTATTTACTGCGTAGAAAACGTCATCGCATTGTAATGATACTTTTTAAGTTTAGTGTAAAAATGAATTTCGTTACGTTCACATCATTATAAAAATTCGATTAAAAGATTTTATATAAAATTATTTGAAATAAATAAAAATCTTTTTAAGAAGATTTAAATAAAATAAATTGTGAGTAAATTTTTGTAAACAATAAGTGAATTGTGTATTTATAAATATTTATTTTTGTTATTTTTTTCGTAGAAAAATGAATGTTTCAAGAGAATTTTTGATTGTGCCATCGCAATTTCATTTATTCATGCAACTTCCAGAACATATTCAAGTGAAAATTTTAGATAATTGTCAGAATGTTCGGACGATGTTGAATTTAACTGAAACTTGTAGACAAATGCATCAGTTGTTCCTTTCTTCACCTCATTTAATGAGACGCATTAAGTTAGTGATAAAATTTACGCGCAATAGTGACGATGCTGTAGACAAATTGTCGACACTCCTTACGAATGCATCGATTGGAAGAAGATATTCAAAACTAAAACTGATATATGCTAATGAAGGATTGTTATGCTATTCAAAATCATTAATGATTAAAATTTTAAAGATTGTTGGCGGAAGTGTCAAAGAGTTGGAAGTGTCATTAGGCCATTACAATGTTACCAATTTACAAGAAGTTTTAAGATGTTTTGATGTAGAGAAAGTGACACTGAGCAACTTGCAAGTTGATATCGACTCACCAAGTGATTATCATGACATCCTTCCAAATTTAAAAGAATTGCTGCTTATTGACTCATCATCGTCAGTTTTACAACTCTTCAGAAATTTTACAACCCTTCGTCGTTTCAAATTTCATTTGCAACCAAGGGAATCAGAATCATTCAGTTGTGGCGTTGAAAAGTTCGAAAATTTTATTCTGCAACAGAGAGCATTGAAATTTTTGGAGTTTAGTCGATTGCATAGACTTTGTCTGTTCCGTGATAACTCATTAGATGAAATTAAATTTCAATTGGACTCAATAAGCGCCAATAGATTTTTTCTTCACAAAAACAACGCAATAAACTTCTTCAGCATGCAAAAAAACCTTCACACTGTTAAGCTTTTCGATTTCTATGATTTGAGAATATTTTCAGACCCAACTGAGTATAGTAAAGTTCTTCGTGCTATTTTCCTTCTACCGAAACTAAAGACTGTCGGGATTTACAATCGAACTGTCAACGTGGAAGATTTTTCATATTTATGTGATATCAGGAACAAATCAGTTAAACATCTAGAATATGACATGTGGAATTCAATTGTCCTTTCGAAGCTTGTCGAAATTTTTCCAAGACTAAAAAATATTTCATTTCGATGCTTCACCTTGAAACTCAAAAATGTTCCATGTGACAAACTTGCGATAATCAACACAAGTGGAGGATACAAATTAGAAGAGTTTAACTATCAGCCAATGAATTTTTGCATGTTAAATGGAAAGTTCCCACAAATTCTTAGCAATTTTATACAAAGACACAAATCAATTAAACACTTGACAATCGGTCAAAGCAGTTGGATTGAAAGCAACTTTGGTTTAGACTTGAATTTCTGGATTGAAGTATTATTTTATCTCAGTGATTTATGCACTTTGGTGATATACAATCCACTCCATATCAAGCTTTTAATTATGTTAATAGCGAGAAATAAAAATGTTTTAAATTCTGTTACTCTCTACACTAATGAATTTGGTAGGAAGGAATCTCAGGGTATGGAATATCCTTGGCTGAAGATCGTAACCTTGATATCCGATGTAGAATAAATATGTCATCAACTTATTAGACAAATAATGTAAATAAATATACGAGTGAATCATCAAAGTGTAAACCTTTTTATTCCGTAAATATTTTGATTACGTGGTGTTTATTATTGCTGGAAAATTTTATTAAACCTTAAAGTCTACTTCATATATTGACAAATTTTTTTATCACGTTTTAAATGTGATAAGTAACGCATTATCAATAATTTTCTTAAGTAAAATTTAGAACTAAGTACCTAATTGTTTTATTGGATGACATATAGAATTATATTAGGATTGTTTATTTCAATGAATCTTAATTATTTTGTGGAAGTCCCTCATGTCCAAATAGAAAAATTCAATAGCTGTGAAATATTAAGTGGAAGAAACTTCAAACAACTTCTAAATCTTTCAGAATTTGTTGTTCAGTTAACAGGATCCAGAAGCTTTTAGTTCTGGAGTGACATATGTAGTTTAAATTAGGTATATATAACATTATAATTAACAAATATTTAGGTCTTTTAATTGACGAGTCATTAACTTTTCAAAAAAAATTTAGGAGGCAAATTTGCTTCATTGGCCTAAGTGTCTGTGCCATCGGATTTGTATCAGAATTCGTATCGATTCACTAATCGGTACGATCCTGGTTCCATTCTCGGTGGTGGTCACTTGGGCTGAGGTTTTCAGAAGTTTAGATACTTCGCCCCTGTTTCATTTAAAAGTGGAATTTTTCACTAGGATATAATAAACTGAAATGTCTCTTTGTATCAAATTTGATAAAAATATAAATTTGTCAAATATGAACAATGAAGAGTATTCAGGAATATACAATCCTGTGGAACGCTACTGAAAGTGGAACCTTCATCATTCAGGTGATGAGACAAAGGGAGCGAAACAAGTTGGAATTTATATTCCTGTATTCTTAATCGCTTTAGTGTACAGTCGTGCACTCCCTACTCTGATGATGATGATGAACTTTTCAAAAACATATCGAGCAAATCAAAAATAAAATTACTCCTATGATCTATGCTATTAGAAGAATAAGAAAAGTGATAGGAATTAAAACTGCTTATCAATTATATTTTGCGTACATTTATTCGCATCTAATATTTATGAATCCGTTGTGGAGTGTTGCGGCGACAACTACACAAAATTTTCTCTTCGTAGCCCAGAAAAAAGTTCTTCGTTAAATTTATTCAAATGAAAAGCAGACTATCACCTTCTTTAGAACTTTTTTCTGAAAACATTTTGCCACTTCCAGTTATGAATGATTACCACTTACTTATAATAGCTTTCAAAATTAGAAACAATCTCTTAAAGAATAATATCGAACTAAAATACATCAACGAGATACATAGTCATGGAACTAGGCGAGTTGGAAATTTTCACGTAGTCAAGTACGAAACTCGTTATGGTCTGGCTGACTTTTATAGACGTGGTTTAATTAAATTCAATGAAATGCCTGAATCAATAAAGAAAATAAATTCCCTAAATCTTTTTAAGAAACGCCTAAGAGAATATATATTTGAAACTTTCGTGTCAGAAATCATGTAAGAGCAGTTGCTCTGTTTAAGGCTGGTGTTCTCCAAAAAATTTTTCTGGTGCTCTCACAACTAATATAATGACACCTGTTCTGGTGCCATTGGGCATGTTCTTGCCCGAATTTTCTTTTTTTTTATTCTCTTTTTAGGTTGAATACTGATGGAAGATGAGCCTGCATAGGAAGGTGTATGAGCAGCTTACTCGATGATGATCCATTAATACTGAATTTAAATTTTTTTGAAATGTACATACTTGAATTTTTTTTTACCAAAGCTTGAAAAGATTGGGTTTTTTGTGCAGATTTTATTGAATGTATAGTTTAGTAAAGTCTGCTTTTTATCCCAACATACCTACTTATTTCAGAAAAATAAGACAAATGAGAAATAACTTGAAATGTTGAAAAATAACTATAAAATCCTTTAAAAAATAAATTAATTTTTGAAAATCTTATAATGTTCCTCAACATGAATTAATTGTTATTGTGATATTATACAAGCATGTTAATGCTTCCAATATCAATAGTTAATAAAAAAAAGGATTTAAAAAAAAAAATTGATCAAAAGATATGGTAAAATTTCATGGATAAAATTGTCTGATATTTAAGATAACTTTCAATTCACGGAAGAAAGTTTTGGTTTTTGACAGAAAAGAAAAGAATTTCTCTTTCTAAAAATTAAAATAAGATATTTGTAAATGGAATTAAAATAATTTAAAAATCAAACCATTTTAATAGATTCTTTTAAAAAACTACGTATAGAGCCTTCACATTTCATGTGACATCATTGAAGATTGTTTTGTTTACATTTTTGTTACGAGTCTAGGAAATCTTAAAGAAATCTAGAAAAGAATTTTAAAAAACATATACCTACATATTAAAAAGATCGAAAATTTTCCAACCATATAAAAATGTATAAAATCACACGAATAGTCCTTTCTAACTTTCGAAGAATTGGATTTTATAAAAATCAAATCGAATTTCAATCTAAACTTCCCCTAATAAAGGCGCCGGTGAAAATTTTGTTGAGTGCCAGTGGAATAGCATTATTTGAAAGTAAAAATGATTACAAAGAGAAAAAGATTGAAGACGAAAAGGAATCAGAACTGATTATGGCAATTAAAAGAGGTCTGTCATTTTATTTTAAGTGAATGAAAATTTTCATGAGAAACTCGTTTTTAAGGTGTTTTAGCTGTTCAAAGAGAAGAATATAAAAAGGCAGAACAATTGTTTCACGTAGCACTTCGGATGGCTCAGACATTAAAAAATCAACTTGCAGTTACTTACATATTTGATTTAATGGGAAATCTTGCTTATGAATCCAATGAACTGGATAAAGCTGAGAAACTTTTTGTCGATGTTATCCAGCGACTTATGCAATTGGAAAAAGCTGCTGAAGACGACATCAGATTACTTCACATTTCAACTAAACTTGCTCATATTTCATACTTGAAAAATAATCTAGAAAAGGCAATGATAGGCTACGAATACGTTTTGGAGAGAATAGAAAAGAAAGATTACTTAAGTGATGAAAATTTGCATGAACTTTGGGGAATGTGTAAAAATTTTATCGGCCAAGCTTTTATCTCTCTAAAGCAACATCAAAAGGCACAAAAGGCTTTAAATGATGCTATGAAAGTATTTCAAAAATTCAAAGATGAAAACAGTGAAGATTATATGGTACTACTGAACAATTTATCCGTTTGTCACGCTGAATTGCAGGAATTCGAGAAATCTGAAAATTATCTTAAGCAAGCGATAAAGATTGGAAAGCAACTGAAAATGGATGACGTAACTCCTTATGAGATCAACTTGGGAATGTTGTACTTCAAACAGAAACTTATTGAGAAAGCAAAAGCAGCATGTAAAGGTGCCTGGATGAATGCTGTGAAGTATAAAAATAAAGAATCTATTCAGGGAGCTGAAAAATGTTTAGAACAAGTCAAAAATGCTGTTGTATGAAAAAATACGAAATTGTGATGTATCATGGATTAAAAATCTATTTTCCATTAAATTCTCGAGTTCATTTACACTTGCAAATCTAATAAAAAAAATTAAATTGAACTCTGTGTAGTATTTTTTTTCTGTATTTACTCCAGATGTGTGATTAGAACCATCATAAGAACTCCTAAGAGGAGAGCAAAGATTTCTTTCAGTGACTGCCACAGTTTTGTACTGTGCTCCAGGAGCTCCGGAATAACACTGACTGTTGCAATATATATGAAACCGCCAGCTGTGAAAGGAAGGATCCAAGGAGAGGAATCTTCTGAAGCTCCCAGGAGGGCTAAAACATTTCCAGCCACAGCTCCAACCGCTGTTGTTAGTTGAAGGAACATTGCTTTCTTTTTCGAACATCCTGATTTAATAAGAATTGCAAAATCACCGATCTCATGCGGAACTTCATGAAGTAAAATCGTTATTGTCGTAACAACTCCAACACTATTTCCAGCTAAATATGAAGCTCCAATTGCAAGACCATCTGTGAAATTGTGAGTAAAATCAGCAGCAAGATTTAAATATCCAGCAACTTCCATGCTTGGTTTCTTTTCTTCGTCGGTTTTCTTTGTTTCTTTCTCTTTTTTCTTGTTTAATTCTTTCTTTTCTGACTCTTTCTTTTCTGGTCCTCCATGAACATGACCATGACTATGATCATGTCCAATCTTTAAAAGTCGCACAATCTTTTCTACAGCAAGAAATGTTATAATACCTCCAAGCACCCACAATCCAACCCACATATCATGATGATGACCTCCCTCGCCATTATCATCATGAGAATGAGTATGGGAATGTGAATGAGCTGCATGACTATGCGGTGCAACTGAATGAGGAATTAAATGTAGAAAGGCATCGCCAAGTAAACCTCCTGAAGCAAAAGCCAAAAGAGTTTTTAAACGTGGCTGCATACTTTCAGTATTGTCTAATGGAACAAGATATAAAATAAAGAAAGGAGCGGCACTTATTAGTAGTGTAGAACCGATTGAGTGTAGCCATAAGTTGTAGATATCTGGAAAAATGAAGTTTGATAAGCAAAACGACGACAAGTAACACGGTTTTTTTGGGAGTAAGAGATAAGGAATTACAGACCTGTTGGAACTTCCTTTGTTTCCATTTTCTCATGATGATGTTCATTGTGATCATGACTATGACCATGATGATTATGAGTTTCTGGTTTTTGCTTAGTTTTAATTTGTTCATTTGCTTGTTTAGAATATTTATAACTTGGTTTTACGTCTTCATATTCTTCATGAGAATGATGATCATGATCTCCATCATGTGAATGTTGGTGTGATGTCGCAAACGTTGCACAATTTGCAAGTAGAACAACCGAGCAACAAAATAGCTTAAGATTCATAATATAATATTACTCTACTTTAACGAATACGGTTTATCTGGTCATTTACTGGAGAAAGTTAAAGAAAACTAAAATCACAAAGAGAGTATACGTATCAAGGGCTGATGATTTGTAACGTCACAAGCCGGTTATTTTACAGTTACTTATGTCTCTTACTTCTATTAATTTTTTTTTGTTATAAGAACATATTCAATAAAACACATTTTTTATAAGACTACGGTATTCTCTCAAGAATTACAATAGGTATCGTTTCATTTTTTTCTCATAGAAAACTAGGTAGGTTTTATATTTTCTGTGTCGTCATTTTTATTCTATTTTAGTTCGAATAACATAAAGCGGGAAAATTCAAATTTACTTATATTTACACAAACTAAGATGCAGGCTTAGATTATATACAAATTGATAAGATTTAAAAACCCTCTTCAAGCTATTATTTTCGGACATGAATGACTTAAAAATTTAAATGAAGGAGGATGGATAAACATTTTGTAGAAAAAATAAACACAGTGGAAATTGCTAACGATAGAAATAAGAAAGAGCCGCAAACCAAAGAAACCTTCAGCGATTTGCTTCCACAGCTCTTTGCAAGTTGTATAATGTATTTGCTTGTTATTCAAGCTGGAATCAGTATGCCTTTCTCTTCTGTATTGATACCACGAATAGCTGATAATAGAGAAATAGAACTGAACACAAATCTGTCGTCTGGATTTTTCATGGATAGGCTAGGACGAAGAAAAACGGGACTTTTTATTTACTTTCCATTCACGATTTCATGGCTCATAATGAGTTTCGTTGAGAATGTAACAATGATTTATTTAGCGAGAATTATTTCTGGAATTACTGCCGGTCTAACGACCTGTTCAGTAGTTTATGTTGCTGAAATCAGTTCAAAAACTACCAGAAGTGCTCTTCTTTGTATGAACTCAGTTTGGGTATCCTTTGGAATTTTTATAACATATTTCTTGAATTATTTTGATCTTCATTGGAGAACGATTGGGTATGCGTACGCTGTGCTATCATCACTTTGCATTCTAGCTATTCTTATTGTACCAGAATCATCCCAATGGCTGCTTGTTTTTAATAAAAAAGTAAATGATGAAAGAAAAGGGATCAAGTCAAGTCAACATTCTCTTGACTTTACAGAAATCAGCAAGTGAGTGTCAATATTTTTTAAAATATGTATTTAGAAGAGTAAAAAAATCATTCATTTTTTTGATTAGATTTCTGAAGTTTACTACAAATGACTTAATAAGATCTAATGATAAGAGAATCATGGGAACATTTGACGACAATGATACTTGTTTTTTTAAAAAATATCAAACGACCTCAGGTGTACAAGCCTTTAGCGATTTTGTTCTTCTTGTTCCTATTACAACAATTGTCTGGTGGATACGTATTAATCTTTTTTACTTTAAACATATTCCGAAACCTTGGAGCAAAGTTCTTGAATAGTATAGATGAAAGAATAGCTTTAGCACTTCTTGGATCTATTCGGCTAGTAATGGCCATAATAGCTGCAGCAATCGCGCAAAAGTGTAATCGAAAAGTTTTGCTTTACACATCTGCAATAGGAATGGGGGTTTTTGCATTTATTGCATCGTCCCAAATGTTAAATGTTGAAGACTCATTGTTTCTATGTCATGACAACAATTTAACATCTGATTCTTTATCTTCATCGCCACACAACAGTTAGTAATTAAATTTTGCTGTTTTGCGTTGTAGGCTACATGTTATTTGCATGAATTTATTTATCGATTGACTGAAAAAAATAACATTAAATTTTGTTGGCATGTTTATTTTTTTAATAATTATTCACATTTAGATAGTTATTAGTTATTATGTTTCATAAGAATGAAGTCTTTTAGATATTCGCTTGAAAACAAAACTTTATTGTTTACTCTTATTGTTATTAAGTTATAACTTAATATTTTCTTAAGATAAATATTCTAATTTAAACCTGTTGAATCTTAAATCTAGATACTTCATAACTATATTTTCAAAAGTGATTGTTTAATTGCATTGCAAGATTTGCTTTTGTCAAAGTAATAAAAAATTAGAAACCACCTTCATATTATTTCCATCTTTATCAGAAACTTTCCGGCAGATTTACTGCAGATAAATATTTATAAATTTACTTCTCGATTCGTACAAAATCTAAGTACAAAAATCATATGTAGGTAAATAGAAAATTTCATGAAATGGTCAACAAACTCTTCTAGTATCTACTGAAATATTGTAGAAACTAAAGTGTCATAACATAAACATATTGTCTTATTTTAATATTTTTTCTTCTAATCTATCAAGGCAGAAATATTTAGTCACAAATATTGCTTGATGATTTATTATAAATTTATTTTTTAATTATCCGTGAATATCGATTAAGCTTGACTCAAGCTGCTTGAGCCTGTTCTTATAAACATTAAAAAGCTTCAAGCTTTTCTCAACTTTATTTATTTTCTTTTAGATATTTTTGAATTGATCATTCACTTCTTTTTGGGAATTCAAATTTTAAAAGGACGGCAATCGAATTCAATCAATTATTTATGTACGAAAAATTTGATTAAATAATTCTGGAAGGAGTTTCAAGTAGGGTACGTATTTATTCGTGTTTTTCATCGTACCGAATATTCGCCGAATTTTTTTTTTACTTATTGGTAAAGATTTCAATACCCTTTGAATACCCAGACAATTTATGAACCCAGAATTAATACAAGAAATCTTATCAATACATTTGGATAATTAAAATACATAATACTATAGCTTCATATAGTTAAGTCATCCTCATATTAAGAATCATTTTACTTGTTCTCAACATTAGAAACGTCTATATAAAACTTCAAAATGTTAGTAACATTATACATATATTCATATATCTAAATAATATTTAAACAAAAAATATGTTGTTTAGATGAGACAAATAAAAAGTTGTCAGAAATTGAAAGCCATCTTCAGAAGATTGCAACTCTCCGTTGGCATCGTTAAAAAAACTCCAAATTGTATTTCTATTGCTACAAAATTATTTTCCTAATTAGATGATATATAGTCACAACTCTAAAGAATTTTTAAAAATTTTCTTCCTCAACATTATGAAAATTTATATTTATAAAAAAGGCACTTTGATTAATATGTTCGCTATATTTTAGTAATTTTCCAATAATATATCGTTAAATTATTATCAAACATAAACTTATATATTTTGAAAAATAAAATTCATTTTTTTTTAAGGATAAGCAACTTTATAAATTTTGTTATTATTTAGAATCTAATTCCGTGGGCAATTCATTGATTTTTTATTCTTTTTGTCCAATCTTTTAGAATTTGGACTTGACACATAATCAGAAAATTGAAAGTTAAAGTATTCAAATGTAAGAGGCTTACTGATACCAACTAAGTATCTGAACAATGTAAACGTTCATATTTATCATACATAAATCCTTTTAAATGCAAATTAGTTTTAATAGTTTTTACAAATATTTTTAAAGCATTATTCTTAATATTTATGAAAGATAAAGAATTTATGTAAGAAAACATTAAGGCACTTTACATCACACAATGTTGATGATTTTCACAGTTTCTCACATCATATCAGCTCATCGATCTTATCCAAAAGAAGAGGGTCATTTAACTAAAAGAAAATGTATTCTAAAAGGAGGTTGCGTAAACTTAAATTTATTAAATTTATTATGTTTATTTACCATGAATTCGTCAGGTGTTTCCATGGCCTCATTGAACGTTATTGTGTCCATAGAGTCATTAACGGTAGAACTTAAACCATCCATACTGTCATCGATTGTTGAAAGAAAATCTGGGGTATGTGACAATGAGACACTGAGACCACTATCGCTACTTTCCTGTCTTGCATGATCTGTCATTCCAGAAAGAAAAGGATCTTCACCAATCTTTAAAATAAAAAAAAATCAAAAGTAATCAAATGAGACATCGATAAACGAAATGCTTACATTCAATTTTGCAATTTCTTGTTGCCTTCTCTTTAAACGTTCACGTTCAAGATGGAGATTGAAAATACGTACTGATTGTTCTTGATCCGCCCAATCTTGGTTTGCTAAAAATTAGATAAGAAAATAAATTATATTCCAAGTTCTACATTAAACATGATTGAAAAAAAAAATCTTGAAACGTACATAGTCTCGGATCACGCCACGTGGTCGTTCGAGTGATATGGTTTATGTAATAGCGCTCACCATTTTCCGTGACACCTTCTTCCCAAGGCCATTCTAATGGTCCTAAGTTAGTAGTGTTATTTCCTAAAGGGACTGACGGCGCAGTGATGGCGGCAGTTTGTGTTTGAGACTGTGTATCAGTTACTAAAACGACACAGAATTTTTTTTTTCTTTTGAAATTTCAGATAACGATCTTTACCATAAATGTGAAGAAAGGATAAAGTTAAGACCAGAAAAGGTGTGTTAGAAATGGTTATTTCTTAAAAAAGTTATTATTTTCGAAATTCTCATTATTAGAATTTTGAGTTTATGATCGTTTTTCTGTAAGGCTCTCAGTAAAGTTTATTTAAAAGATTTTAAGCAGAATAATTTTTGATTCACGCGTTAAGAAATTATTTTTGTTTCATGTTAAACCCCGTTTCAAGGTTCGGTAAAAAAGGAAAATTCCGTTTAATTTCCTTACCGTTTTGTGTTGATCCCAATGAGCTTAGATGAGTGGGAGAACTGAATAAAGTTTCTACACTTGAGTGTTCAGATGAAGAAAAAAGATTGCCATTTGACAATGCTGTAGTGGCCGCTTGTATTCTTGGGTCTTCCCATTGAGTTGTACGAGTATTGTGACTGTAAAAGAAAAGAAATAGAAAAATTTAATTAACACTGCCAATAACTGATTTAACTAGATACTGAGCAGAAAATTCACCTACGCACTCACGCGCTATCGAATAATTTTTCATGAAGTTGAAGTGTCTAAAAATAATCGACGTTAACATATTTCCCTGTGAGAAAATTTCCGGAGCTCGTACAAACTTCCGGATTAATAAACAGATTTACTTTCTTCGAAATTCATCCCTTCTTGAGTGAGTTAAATTGCCAAAAGGAACTGTCTATCAAGAGTTTTATTTCTTTTTATGGGTTCTTATAACTTTATAGATATCTAATTAAATTTTAAACTCATTTTCCGTTTAAATTGAATGCGAGAAATTAATTTCAGTAACACACGTATGCATCTAAATGATAAAACTATGATATGGAAGCTAAAATATGATTTTGCAACGTGCTTTTTTAAATCATGTGCAATTTTGTTTTTGTTAGATATTACAAATGAATCGTTTAGATTGATAAATTTTGAAGCGGAGACTTTTTTGCTTTCAAATGTCTGTTTTGATGCAAAACAAGAAGTTCATTTCATTAATATTTTCTGGAAGTCCTGTTTTAGTTATAATCATTTTTGAAATATCCAACAATATAATCAAGTGTAAAACAGAACAGTTAGTCATAATGAGGTAATGAGCTTAATAACATTATAAGAAAATTGTAATAGTTTGTGGACAAAATATTTTTTAATAGAATGATTCAGTTTCCATATGTTTTAGCAAGCAAGAAAGTAAAGAAGCATATACAGTAAAACTCTTTTTTTCTTTTTCTAAACCAGTTTCAGTTTCTTCTCCCTTACAAATGTTTTCAAAGATGTTACTAAGTAAAGTGAGTCAGAAAGAAAGTCAAAAGTATTTTTCAAAATACTCGTAAAGATGAGAATATTTGAGTTAATTAAATAATTCATTTTATTTTTATTGACTAAAATCAATGCATAAAAATGTAAACGAAGGGCAAAGTCCATTGGAAGAAATGACCATTCAAACGCCTTTACAAATATATCAAAAATGGCTTCTTAACCATACTGCATTTGTGTATAAAAATTTAAACACCTATACTAGGCTCATACATATAAATTATAGAGCTTGCTTTAGAAGAGAGCAGTCTAACAAAAAGCAAATATGGCAACATGCATTTTCACCTGTTGAAAGTATTTTTTCTGACTTAACATACAACCTCACAGATCTCAGATTCTAAACTCTTATGTATTGGTATTCAATAAATGTTTGAATGAATGTAAGTTTTGAATGAATAAGATAAAAATTGTAAGTTGTAATAAAGATAAGTTTCTTAAAATTTAAAAAGATTTTGTGACTACTACAAAGTGGCAAGACTGTTTAAAAAAATACCAGTTAATAAACTGCAACTCATGGATAAAAGCATGTGTATTTAAAAATTAAAAAAAAAATAATAAGTAGGTATTGCATATCTAAATCTTGTGTGGTTTAAGTTTAGTAATCTCTGTCTTACACGATTCAATTGAAAATGTATCTTAATTTTTCTAAAATTACAACAGCCAATTAGTTAATTTAATCCTTATAGAGACATTTGAAAAATTAATAACACTTTCATCATAACCATTTATTAACTTAGTATTATTAAGAAGGGTTAACTTGGCTCACAAAACATGCTAGTACTAAAATTAACCTTTGACATTTGTTTTTACTTGATTGATGCATCACAGAGTCTGTGACTTGATTGCTTTTCAACAGCATTAACGTATAATATGATTCTTAATAATAATATTTGATAATTAAGTGATGATAATATAAATTTATATTATCTTCCATTCTTCAACTTTAAAATGTTTGAGATGTTTCTTAGTTTTTTCCTTCTGATTTAGAGAATAATATGAATAAAAAATACTGATTAAAAGATTTTAAGGAAATATGCAGAGTAAATTATATCATTCTTATAATTGACTAACATACATTAAGATGATTTTAGAGAAGACAAGAGTAGTCATGTATCATAATGGCTGCAGAAAACGTTCAGCTCACACTCAAAGGAGAATCAAAATAACATGTGTGCTAGGAGATTTTAGTCAGATTTGTAACAAAATCTTTTCAACAAAATATTATTTTTAGCACAATTTTCTTTTTCTCTTACATCGTCAATAGACAAAGTTGATTTGGATTTGTGTTTTGTATGTGAAAATTTTTATTTAAATCGATCGGCCTACACAAGCTCCAAAAACTTATTTGAGGGAATTTTTTTGATTCTAAGGTATAGGAAGTTGAAAGCTGGTGGCGCTTTCAGTATAAATAATATATTTACAGATATGTATGACTCAAGCTGACAAAAGTAATTAAATAAAATATTCATGTAGGAAAATCACAAATTTGATCAATTTTGAGAAACGATTTGGCTCAGTTTTAAAATGAATTAAATATCAGAGATAAATTTCTACTTACTTAATGTAGTATATCTTTCCTTCATGAGTCTTTGCCTGTTCCCAACCAGTTGGTAACTCTCCAAAATGTATTTGATGCTGCAAGCTTGGGATATCGTAGCTTCGTCCACGACTGTGTATATGCTGTAATGTTTTGTCCAAGATATTGTGCGGCAAATTATTGTTAGTGCTCTGATTACTTCCTGTGCCATTGTTATTTAATAAATTGTTGTTAGTATTGTTTGTCGAGTTGGTGCTATTGCTTGCAATATTAACAGAGATACCACTTTGTTGCTGTTTACTGGAATTATTTGAGCTAATGCTGCTTATATTGCTACTCGAATGATTGGGGCTGGGACTACTATTTGTAGGCGTCACAGAACCAAGATTTAAGGCACTTAAATTCAAATTAATGTTCAAAGGCAACTTTCCCAAACTTGCAGGACTGCTATGAGCTCTTGAGTGATGAATTGTTAAGCCACTGGGAATTGCTGATGGTGCAACAACAGGAGTAGCCGTACTCTGTACACCAGCGCCAATTGTTGTTCCTGATCCGAAAGCGGAATCAGCAGAATTTTCTCGCGAATGTGAAACTGATGGAGATTTTGAGCCTGATGAAGGAGGTTTAAAGAATGACGCAGGTAAATTGCGCATGTGATAAGGCACTTGAAGAGGCAACTTATTGCTCAGAGTTTTATCAAAAAGCTCATCCAATTTATCATTCGAGTCTTTTTCTACCAAAATTATGAGATTATTCTTTTTCTGCTGTTGTTGCTGCTGCAAATTTGTTTCATCTTCGTTAGTAGCTGATAATTGGGTTGATTGTCGAGTTTGAGAAGAGTTATTGAATGCCATTTTTAAACGCAGCAATGTAGGTTTTAAAGGTGATAATTACGATAAAATTGTTGATGATGTTGATAACAAGTCGGAAACAATGATATTTTAGCTAGTTATACTTCTTCTTTTTTTTACTTTTTCAGCTTTATGTTTTTTTTCTTTCTCCTTGTTCAAAACTCACAAGATGAAAATAAACGAAGAAAAGAAGAAAAAAACTAGTTCGTCACTTATATCTCTGAGGTTTCAAGTGTAGCACAAATTATGTATTTCAAGTTTTGTATGTGTTTTTTTTTTGTTTCTTTAAGAAAAAATGTTTACTAACACTTTCATACTTGTTTGGTTGAGGAAGAACGAATAAACTTCACATGTATTATTATTAATAAGTATACGAGGCTGACTCATATAATTTTTCTCTATTGCAAATATATTTATATTCTCATATTAATTGCTGCTGTGTCTATCTTTTTTGTTTCTTTATGTCAAAGAATTCACAAATACAATAAATGAATTTTTCACTTTTTATAAAAAGTTATTTTTTATTTGCAACTTTAAAATAACACAAAGATGTAGCACAATTTTTCAATTCTAAATCTAAAATTTTTAATAATGTTCACTTAAAAATTAACCTAACAAAATTATAAGCTGCAGATCTAGACACGTTGACAGTCATCTCTAAACTAACTGACTTTTTAACTTTCGGTATTCAGTCTTAAAGAATTGAGGAGAAAAAATATTGCTATACATAGGCGTAGAGGAATATTTTGGTTGTGTGAATATTGCTCTCACAACAAATAATTCACCGACTATCACTGCGTAGGTAGAGATGGCAATATAAATGACATTAGTCTCTCTACACTTCACATAAAATTGTTCTTCTCAGAAAAATTTAAAATTTGAACTGTTATTTGGAATTAATTAAAAATTCTCAATACAATTTTTGATTTCTAAAGTTGTTTTCTGAAAACATCATGAGATAAATAAGTTTTTTTAAATTCCATATTACCTAAATGTAAATTGTCGTACAAATTTGCACATGATTTCTTCATATCGATTTTATTTTTTTATCTATTTACGTTATTTTTAAATGTATAAACTTCTTATATCTTCTGGATGCTTTAGATGGGATGTCACTATCAGTTATGTTTAAACTAAAAAATTATAGGTAGATACTAGGTACCTGAATAAAACCATAACTGTTATTATTGCTTACCTAGCAGAGCAAAATTTTTAAAGCTTTTGACAGTCGGACCTAAATATTCTTCCAATTCTTTCTTATTTGAATTCGCATTCTGATTGAAGAATAAAAGAAAAACTTGACGAAAAAGTTTCACCAAATTTTGTTTATTTTACAAATTTTATACTGAAATTTAATTTTTATTTCAAAGCTTAAGTAAGATCATTCTGATCTGAAATTAAATTAAATCAAAACCAAACAGAATTTTCAATCTAAGCAATAATTTTCTATGCGGTATAGTTTATTGTGACTTCAGTTTCTGAATAATTCGGAGCAATGTCAAATCTTAATAACCACAATAATAATAAAAGGTAAGAAATACATCTATTCATATTAATTGACATGATCATATGCGTATCTAATTAATATTTTTAACTAATTTGTGAGAATATAAACTAATTATTATTTTTCATTTCTTTACTTCAATGTAGTGAACTAGAGAAATTGTCAGAAGAATCACTTACCAGACAACCAGAAGAAGTTTTTGACGTCATATGTAAGCTAGGAGAAGGTAGTTATGGTTCTGTTTACAAAGCTAAGCATAAAGAAAGTGATCAGGTAAGTTATTTAGTAGACTATTGTGTAAATAATATCAGAGGAACATTTAATAAATTATGTTATTATGAGTACAGATTGTGGCCATCAAGCAGGTTCCTGTGGACACAGATCTTCAAGAAATTATTAAAGAAATCTCGATAATGCAACAATGTGATTCACCTTATGTTGTGAAATATTATGGTTCGTACTTCAAAAACACTGACCTATGGGTAAATATTTAACTTATTTTATACATAGACATATGAATAGGTGATAATGCTAAACTATTATGAATCAAATAATTTTAGATTATCATGGAATATTGTGGAGCTGGGTCTGTGTCAGATATCATGCGATTACGGAAGAAAACACTAACTGAAGATGAAATTTCAACGATTTTAAGCGACACTTTAAAAGGATTGGAATATCTTCACTTAAGGTGAGAGAAAATTATTTGTTTTAGACATTTTTTAAACATTTCATCAGGTATTAAAAGATCTTCAGTACCTATATTTGCATAATTAGAATAATTTGTTACAAATGTTTGACATTTCCAATTTATTAATAAAATTTATCATTAAAATTAAAAAACAGGAGGAAGATTCATCGAGATATTAAAGCAGGAAATATTCTTTTAAACTCTGAAGGACATGCAAAGCTGGCAGATTTCGGTGTTGCTGGTCAATTGACTGACACAATGGCGAAAAGAAATACAGTAATTGGTACCCCATGTGAGTGAATTCCTTAAAATAAAAATCATTTTTATTAAAGTAACAAAAAAAACTTATTCTCTGTAAAAAAATTGTAGTTTGGATGGCACCTGAAGTTATAGAAGAAATTGGTTATGACTGTGGAGCTGATATTTGGTCATTAGGAATCACTGCTTTAGAAATGGCGGAAGGAAAACCTCCATATGGAGATATTCATCCAATGCGAGCTATTTTTATGATTCCCACAAAGGCATCTATATTTCATTTTTTATAATTTTTATTTTACTTTATTCACTCTTTGCAGCCTCCACCATCCTTTCGAGAAATCGATCGCTGGTCACCTGAATTCATAGAATTTGTTAGCCTTTGTTTGGTGAAAAATCCGGATGAAAGAGCAAGTGCAACAAGTTTACTCAAGCATGAATTTGTTTTAAATGCTCGGCCTAATAGTATTCTGTCACATATGATTGCTGAAGCCAAAGAAATTCGTGAGAATCAAAGCTATTCGAGACCAAGTGTCATTCTACAAGTAAACAAGCAATTACAAAACCAAATGGAAGAATCAGATGACGAACAAAACAATGGAATATCCAAAGAATTTCCAGATTGTAAAACGTTAGTTCCCTTTAAAGATGATGAAGGTGAATTAACTATGATAGCTCACACAGATTGCAACACACTAATCCCTGACACTGGCACGATGGTTGAATTACAATCAAACTTAGGCACGATGGTTATTAATTCAGATTCGGAAGAATTGACAATGAAACGCCATGACACAAACCCTGATAAGCCGAAATATCGACCATTATTCTTAGAACACTTCGATAAAAAAGAAGCTGAAAGCTGCATACTCAGCGGTGGAAACAGCAATTTCATGAATGAAGAGAAGGAAATCTTACAAGAAGTGCCGAAAATGAAAGTTCCAGCTAAAAATAATTCGCAACAAGTTCAATTGCTTTTACAAAATGCACCACCACCAGCAATGGTGGGATTAGAAGAGTCTCCACAGCTACATGATCAATATCTACAAGCAAGATTAGATTTTCATTTGAATCAAATTCAGCAATCAGCGATTCAACCAAATATCATTCATAAAGTGCCAGTAACGACTTCCTCATTGATGCCAGAAAGCAATGAAAATATTCAGAATTTAAACCAACAAAACTTTCAAAAGCAACAGGCAGAGAATTTAATAAAATTCCAGCGGTTGAACACTTTAGAGAGCGAATATGAGTTTGTAAGTTAACAAATTGTTTTGAAAGTAAAAATTGATCGAATGAAAAAATTTATTTCAGTTAAAATTCTTAAGTTACGAAGAGCTAGAGCAACGGCTTGCTAGTCTAGATAAAGAAATGGACAAGGAGTTTGAGGAAACTAAGAAACGTTATAAAGTTAAACGAAAACCAATTATTGAAGCCATTGAAGCAAAACAACAGAAAAGAAAACAAAAAATCGAAGAATTTTAATTCTTTCTTCATGTCGTTGTTTCTCCATTTCTTCTGTCTCATTATTATTGATTATGGAAAAATAGAAATCATTTTTAAAAGTGAACCTTAAAAAATATTTAATATCAAATCAGTAATTAATTTAGCAATAGAAGACTTGATGCTTTTTAGAATTGAATTTAAAAGACTTCAAAGAAATATAATCATATCTTGAAATTAAAAAGAAAGTTATGCTAACATCGAGAATGATTTTTTCTTCTGTTGATCCAAAATTATGTTCCCATTTCTAGGCAGTGTCAACAAATTATTAAATTAATAAGAATTTTCTGTAAATATATTTTTATAACATCATATCTACATACATAAGTAAAAACTGAGTAAAGAACTTTGAAACATTAAATATAAATGTTTTATTAGGAACATTAATTATTTCCATACATATTTCATGCTTATGAAAGGAATGAATGTTTAAAAGAAATCTCCTTGACGATAAACGGTAAGAGCTGTGCCAGCATTTAAAGATGAAGTTAGAAGTAGGTGATGACGCTTCAGATATTCGTAAGATTTAATACTATTGATATTTGAGAAATGTCCACATTGTTTCACCTTCCAGTTTTCTATACCTCGCCATTCATACAAACAAAAGTCACCAGTGACAAAACTAACAATGAAAAACGGATTTTCATTGTTGATGTACAAGACGACAATTTCTAAAATTTCACTTTCAAATAGAAATTTTCTTTGAAAAATGAACTCGTTTGAAGACATTTTGAGGCGATAAATGAAAAATATTTTGCTCTTTTCGCGAGATAGAAGTAGAAAAGTAGTTGTTCTTTGCACGAATATTTTTGGAGCAACATTTATACTTAAAAGTATGTCAAATTTATCTCCCTCAATGTCTTTCTGACCCTTAACGAACTTATTTAATTTATCGTTAAAAAGGTAAATGGATACAAAATCGGATATTGTAGTTCCATTAAAAGATGAAACCACAAGGAATTGTTGCTGAGGTAGAGACACAATTAATGAGTATGTAACATAATTAAGTCCTATAAGTCTCCCTTGACTTTCGTACCAATCGTTCTCATTTATGGCGAGTTGTAATACAAAAATTTCTGATGTTAAATCGATATCGTTTTGCATTGTGAGAATCATGAAGATATTTGTTTTGTTATGTTCAAGAAACTTAATATCAGAGATATCGTTGGAAAATGAAAAATTTCTCATGATGGTGGCGTTAGGATTTACTTTGTAAGTCCACCAAAGTTCAATTTCCTTGCTATGTACCATGGTGTGACGACATTTAAGATTGGGTTTTACAGTGATTGACATTGAAGGAATCTCTACGATCATCTCCGAATCACGTTTTTCTCTTAAAACAGCAGTTTTAAATTTAATTGGATAAATGACATTTCCTGAGCATCGATTGCCATATCGCTGTGGATTTTCATATGATATAGAAACTTCAGGGTCATAATCGATGTAAAGCAAGCGTTTGGCCTTCACCGAACCTAAATTTTCATTGTTATTCAAATCACTGATTTGACTCATGAGAGTAACAAGATTATCCAGCTTTGGAACATGAAAGTCAGATGTCAAGAGCTCTTCAATGTGATGACCATTTAAATATCGCTTCACATGTAGTCCTTCTCTTAGCTCAGTTGATGGAAGCTTCACTGATTCAATTGTCCGTTTTTGATGCTTCGAAATTGTCTTCTTTAGGAAGTCAGTGAAATCTACGTTGTTAATACTTTTGATAATGGAAGGGCCAATCAATTTAATCACTCTGACAGTTTTATGACCGGTTACATCTTGCAAATGATCAGACTGATCAAATATCATGTCTTCGATCATAACACCATTTATTGAGCTCATCATAATATCATCTGTTAGATCAAGTGATGTAAATGTCAGTAGCCCAGAAACTTCTTGCTCCATACCATCAAATTTTCTCATTCGATCTTGGAGAAAATGAGGTAAAGAGTACTCATTAAAAGTATAAGTCTTCAAATTGAACACTTCTAAGCTAGTCAACCAAAGCTTTGACAATAGTTGTTGAACATTTGCAAGAGGAAAAAATGACGAAAGTGGAAGTCCATTTAAATTATCTGAAATCACAATATTCTCAACTTTTAAACTTAAAAATGTCTTTGTAACGGTGATAACATCAATTGGACGTAAAATTGTGTTGTTAAGATAAACAATGTCCAAGTTGTTGACTCTTTTTGATATGAGAAAAGAAGATTTTCCGATGACAGCATAATCAGCGTAGAATGGAACCAGAAATGTTTTGATCCCAATCAATATTTGAGGATCTTGTGTGTTAGTTTTAACTGAATCGTGATAAAGTTTAATTAAATTGATTGGATTTTGATTTGAAATCAAAAAGTTGTCAGTCTTGACAAGTTTCTTTATATAAAATTTGTGAGAATTAACTTGAAAGCTTCCAGTTATGATTTGTGTTTCATCAAACTTATTCACGGCTATCGTCATCAATCGATCCAAAAACGTTGATTTCTGTATTGAAACTTTCACCATTTCTGTTGACTCAATCGAGTTCCAAGAATTTCTCATCGGAAAATGAAAAAGTTTCATCAGTTGTTGAATTGCAAACGACGAAGTTCGACTCTTTATGTGAGTAGAATTCAGGAATTTCACACGAATATTCGCTCTTATTGGATTATGAAGTATCATTCTGTCAATAATTTGATTATAATCAACATTATTTACAATAGCAGCATCTACGTTTTTTATCGAGAGTCTCTTAGCAAAAACATTTCCTTCTATAGCTTGAGGTTTACTTCGTGATAAAGTATGATAAAGCACACGATCAATGACCAATTCATTTGCCTGTTTACTTTTAATACCATCAATAACCACAAGATTATCTCTAAAACTTTTATTTCCTTTCACATCCAAAGCAGTTTGATTTTTCCTAACAACATGATGCAACATGTCATTAAAATTAATTTTTTCGTTAATAGAATCGAGGAAAACATTTTCAAGATATTCAATTTCGCCAGATATCTTGACATTTTTGACTTGCTTATCTAAACCTTTGAACTTCTTTGTAAGTTCTTCAATAAAATCATGAAATAAGAAATCCTCAAAGAAAACAACTGACATATTTACAGCTTCAAATGCTGAAAGATGTTGCGATTCTAGATCGATTGGTTCATCAATTTTTGCCATTCTCTCAGAAGTCATTTGAAGATTTGCGTTGTTGAAAGTAGAAGCATTTAAATGGTCTTCCACTTTTAAAACTGTTACGTGCATATTTCCAACATTTTGAAGCGCTTCAAATTTTATTCTTGAGTGAGACTTATCAACAAGATTTTGATTTATAATTCCATTGATGTCATTTGTTGTCAAATGTCTGATCTTAGCATTTCCTTTAAATTCAATTGGACTTATAATGAACTCAGAGTTTCTGTTACGAATTCGTGCGATTGTTTGGTTGAGAGAATAAGGAATCGAAACAAGAAAATTATCGGCATGACCAAACAAGTTTTCTTTCGAATAGACATCTTCAAATCTTAAATTAACAGATCGAGGCAAATCTTTAGCATTTAATAAAATTAAATCTTTTACAAAATGCTGATTTAGAAGAAGTGTCATGACATTTCTGGTTTTAATTCTTTCGCTTGTTATTAAAAAGCGATCAACAGGAATATCTTGGTTTATGTTTATCATCCAATAATTTTCTGGGATGCTTCTAGGTATTTCAATTGAATTCATTAATATTCTTGTTTTGAGGGAAAAAGTATCTGCATCTTTGATGTTTACAGTTCCGCGTATTATCACTCGACCATTATAGATTTGAGATAGATCTGAAGTTTTCGTTCCAATCACATGACGTTTCATATTTTCGATCACTTCAAGAATCTCTGCATGATTACGTTCATCATTGGTCTCACTGTCTTCTATATTAAGATTTCTCAATATGTTAATCTTGTTAAATTGAGTTGGAACTGTAAATAAAATAAATATACATACCAATCATAGCAATTTTAACTTTAATCCTTTACCTTCTACTTTGTTAAAAACATTTGCTAAAGCAACAGTTTCATGAAGATTTTCATTATTTATCTTATCTGCTTGAAGATTTGTTGAAAATATTTTGTTGATAAACAAATCTGTATGAAGTAGTTGATCAGTAGAAGTTGTCATAAGGTGGGCAACATTTGAGCTTCCAATACGTTCCGCATAAAGTTTATTAACATTGGTGATATTTTGAAGTAAAAGAATTCCTTTTATGACGTTTCTATCATTTACTACAAAATTATTATCGAGCAAAGCAGATAGATTAAATCCATTTAAGAATGTCACGTTGAGATTTTTCACTGTAATGTCGCCTTTAAATTCGATTCCTTTCACCAATTGCTTGATCTCTTGAGAATTAGAAGAAGGGAGCCTCAGAAAATCTACCGGCAAATTATTAAATGCTTTCGAAACTTTCAATCTATCAGCTTTAAGATTCTTTATGACTTTAAGGCCACCAATAATGTTCGGCGAACTTGCTAATACGATTAGTTTTAATTTGATCGAGTTAATTTGATCGGATTTTACATTTATTTCCTTAGCCGCAATAGTATTAAGCTTTATGTCATCTTCAAACATTATTTTAGGATGGTTTCTGAACATATTATCTAAAAAGAGAATTAAAATCAAATTTGTTATTAATTTTTTTCTATTAATTCGTACTTTGGAACATTGTATTCTTCCCCTTATATTCTAAGCTTTCTATTGCGATAGTTTGTAAGCCGTCCTTCTCATTCGCTCTGTCATCGATCGTTGAGTGCTCTTTTAGAAGTTTACGTGCCAGTTCAGTTTCTATATTTGTGTTGATAACTTCCATTTCAAGCTTCTTTGCTGACAAATTTACATGATAAGGCATTTGCACGATTCCTACTTTCACATCCTTTATATTTATTAAATTAGCGATTATTTTACGTATTTTATCCAATTGTAACGATTTATTTTGATTTGCTAATTTCTGACCCTGACAATTAAATAGTATAGATAAAGGTTGAAATAATAATAATAGATAAAAATAAGTTTCACTCTACTTACAGATGATTTCACTGACTGAACCATAAGTATGCGATTTTTAAGAATTGTTTTCAGATTCGTGACACATTTCAGAGGTTTAGGTGATGATGCCGAATTACTTCTTTCTGAAGAAATTGCTTTAGAATGTTCTTCAGAAACATCATAAAAATTAATCTCAAACGAAGTTTTGTTAAACAAAAAATCTACAAAATACAAATTTTGTGAAGTTGACATCTTAAATAATGTAAAATCGAAATGATCAAGAGAGTTTACTCTTGATAAAGCAGAACGAAGTCCGATAAAATCCGGAGATGTGTAGAACGACATCATTCTTTCATTATTTTCCATGACAATAATATCATGTCCAAATTTAATGTCTTTAATCTTTTCTTGAATTTGGCTGCTGAGCTTTTGATATCTTCGAAATTGTGAGTTGGTCCACTTATAAATTGCACAGTAAGTTTCAGTAGAACAACCGATCATATAAAGATTGCCTTTGTTCACAATACATTTTATAAAGCTTCGTTTAAATTGCATTCTTTGAAGTTTCTTCCATTTGTTCCTTTTATGAAGGATTTTGAGAACAATTATTTGATTTATCTCTCCAATTCCTATCAATATGACTAAAGGTTCCGTTGTATTTGTATTATAAACAAATAAATCGCTTTTGCTTGGAAGATCAGCACTCTCTTCAGATTCATTAGTGAAAAATGTTGCTCTCCATTTGTAAAGGCTAGACACGATACTGTTAATTATATTTTGAACAAATTTATAGAAGAAAAATACTTACATTAACTTATTCGCTGAGTCTGTTCTGATCTCATAAGTAACCATAAATAAATCTTCTCCATTTCTAAACAAAACATATTTATTTGAGGTTGGTACATTAATATTAATTTTCTGAACGGTTTCCAAATTTGCCACTGTTTTGAAATCACTACTGGTAAGATATACTTGTAGCGATGTGCTTGTTCTCATAACAACAACGATTTTATTTCGCCAATTTTGAACCTGAAATTCAATCGCTGCTTCGCTCATATGAAGGAATGTTCCAACGAACAAAAACCTTGCTTCTTTTTCATTAATATCAATTGCCATTAACTCGTTCTCGCTTAGCATGTAAATATAATCTTCCGCATGCTTATATATTATGATTCTATCTGCGTTTGTTTGATTGCAATATATCGATTTTATTGGCCCTGTTAGCTTTAGAACTCCTAAGTAGGAATTATCATTTCTTATCATTTTTTTTTGAAAAATATGAAAATAATAAAACATTTACTTTTATCAACCATTTCAATGGTTGCATTACTCATGGTTTCTATCCTGGAACTAAGGAATTCACCAATCTTTCCTTCATTACACTTTTGATAAGAAAGAAATTCTTCAATTAAAGTAATTCTGCTACAAAAATACGAAGGAAAAAACGTGATCATTTACCTCTGAAACAATTATACATAATGAAATAACAATGCAGATTATAAAACTTTTAAACTTTTCCTTTAACATTCTTATTTATAAATGTTTTGGTAGATAAGCTAAGTGGAAAATAAATAAATTTTTATTTAAAATTGTAGAAATTCACCGACACGCTGTTTTTTCAACAATCAAATTAGGATCAAAATAAGATTAATTCATCAATGAGTTCACAACAGCTTTCACTACAAATAAAATTCAAATTGGTCTAGGTAGGGATGTTCGTTACACTTTTGGTGATTTGAGAAAAATTATTTTTGAATGTTATTGCTTTCATACAGTTAATTTTCATTAGTGACGAGAAAAATGAAGATTTGAATTTAAGTATAGCATTTATCATACATATTCACTTGCTTAAATATTCATTTGCATATTTACAAATTGTATATAAATTTATGGATTGCTTCAACTTCTTACATATATCTAGATACATATTGGATAAGTATTTTTAAAATGACTTTTTTAAATTTTAATATAAAAAAGGAATTGAAGATACGCTCAACAACAGAAATTATCCGAGGACTAGGGAAAAGAGAACAACAATGAAACATATAAAGTCATACACATTTCTAATGAAATTATATCATGGTTTTCACGCCCTATACAAAATAATAAAATATCCCTCTACAAAACAAAAAAAATGTTTTGTTGTTACTTACAATTTCATTTTTCATATTTATGTTATCTTGAGAGTCAGGCGAGTTGTGAATGATTGATAAAAAATATCTCTCGAGAAAATTTTAAAGTACACTTCTGCAATTTTAAACACTCCTTTATAATTCGGTCCATTCGATATGGTTTTTGTATTTCCTGAAAAATTGAAGAATAAATGTTGTTCATGATAAATGCAGTTTAAAATGAAAAAAAATTAGGCATTAAGAATTTTCTGAAATAATCATACAAAAATTTGAGAGAGAAGAAAAATGTTTATTTTATGTGATATGTAAAAGGGTAGAACTTTTGTGTTATCATAACAGTAAGAATTCATTTCATTCCTTTATTTTCTGGGTTGAATAGGTACATAAGTAAGTGCTAGTTTTATGTTTGACCAATATTCATAATTAATTTAACATAATGTAAAGGGAGATAAAAATTACATTTCAGTATCATTTAGAACACTAGTTCAAGTTCTAACTTAAGATGCTTGATGTTACATAGTCAACCATAACTAACAATAGCATAACGGAAATTAAAAAACCCTCTTAGAGATTTTTTAATGTCAACTATATAGATACACCAATATTCACTTAAATCCATTTAAATTTCAGAAATTCATAGATAATTTTCCAAATATTAAGATTAAAGCTTTAGGAAAAATAGCTGGTGCTTAAATCCAAATTCAATTGAAACTTTTTACCAAAGAGTTATATATAATACCTAAAATAAAAATATCTTTTCTCTCATAGATAATTTTCCTGAAAAAATATTAGTTTATTGGAAAAGTTATAGTTTTTATATTCACATAGAAAATTGTAATTATAAATGAAAATTCATTGGCACTGTGAAATTGATGATCAAATTTATTTCAACAATCGTAATGTTATCCTGAATATTTCCACGGCACATTAGAAGCCAATGCTTCAATGTTTTCGAGAGAGCGGAAGCGAATGAGACTTGCAAGAAGGGGAAATATCAAAACTTTGTGCATTTCAGAAGGTCGACCAATTTATTAGAACTTATGTAGTGTTAGAATTCAGTTGAATATTTTTCTTTCTTCATAATTTTTCGTTTAATTTATATCAAGTGCATAATTATTAATTCCACATTAATTTTCTGAGAAACATGAAGTTAAAATAATGTTAAAAAATAATCTAAAATCAAGTTATCTAGTGTTTAGAAACAAAAAATAAATATTTTGATAATTCTATTCGAAGCAACAAAAAGCAAACATTAATTTTTCATTATTTTCATTTCTTGATTTTTTCATGATAATTAAAATGCTTGAGTTTTTTAATGATACCAAGAACACTGTTTTGAAGGTAAAGCTTAATTTTCTTTTGTTTTTCTTATCGATTTTATATTTTCGTTGCTGAGAGAAGCTTTGAGGAAAACCTACAAAAAAAAGAGAATTCTATCGATTTGTACGCGAAAGCAAAAAGTTTCACTGATATGCATGTTGAAGAACCATGAAATTATAAATATCTAAAGAAGTTTATTAGATCAGTTGGCAGCAATTTCTTCAGATTTTAGTAAATTATATAAGTTATGGGATTCTCTAAGAAAACATTCATAATGAAAACCAAATTTACAATACGAAAATATGTTCAGAAAAGAAAAGATTCTTAACCAAATTAAGTTTCAATAGAAATACCAATAAATTCCACATAGGTAGACTTTAAAGGTCGTGAAATTCCATTTTTTATTTAATTCTTCAAAACTCACAAAAACATATATGTATTTCAGTTGGTCGTAGATTATTATTATTCGTCCAGAAGACGTTAATTAGATTGAAAAGAAATGGAAGGTCTGGGGATAACGTTTGATTAAATCGCTGCTTTTGTAAATGTGCAAACATCATTTTTTACTGACCTTCTTCATACCTTTATGATATTTCTTAAATTGCTATAGTTTAACTTGCATATGAAATGTTTTTAATCAGGCTTCAATGACGAAAATTTTATGTCATTTTATATAATGTTATTATTAATTTTCAACATTTCTTGTCTAATTTATTTTTTAAAGCTTTTCAGGAAGTTTTCGAACTCTAATATAAAATCGCCTGAGAAAAATGAAAACAAAGCTACACAGAGCAAGGCGCAAAAGCATCGCTCCATTAAAATATCGCATGTGAAGGATATTAATAATATAAAAAGGAATCCATTTGATGATATTGATAATGACTTCCCCTCGAGTCAACATCGAAGACGCCTTATATTAAAAAACTGCATAAGGAAACGATTGTATAACAATTATGAGAAGCAAGTGAATTGTCCCCATGATGATGGCATGATTTTCACAGACAACAAGATTTATGTAAGTCTAGCAGCACGAAAGTCATCAGTAACTTCGTCTATTGTTGACAGAAATTTCTTGGAAAATCTTTCTGCACGAATAATTTATCCCTCAAGTCAAGAGCACAAAATGAATGGGTTCTTGAAAAACTACGATTTCAACTATGAATCCCCTAAAAGGACAATTGAACGCTTTAAGCATCAAACATTGGAATATAAAATGATGGCTGAATCTCTGTCAGGTATTTTTGAAAAAGTCAAAATTCCTTCCACTAGAATATCATCAAATGATCATCAACATACGTCCCATCGAGTTGAAAAATTTTCATCATTTGGTTCAAAATACCATTCACCTGCTATCATTGATTGTACTCAGGGTGATTTTGACGATGAAGAATGGGAAAACTTCCTAAAGCTACGAAAATTTGAAAAAGAAGGACCCTCAAGTAAAAATAACTCAATTTCTCTTTCTGATATTGAAAATTTGAATCGCTTAAAGAAATTAATTCAATCTGATACAAAAAATGAATATGAATCACAATTTAATGAGGAAAAATATGATAACTCGTTCAATGAACAACTTGAACAAAACACCTACGCAATATTTTCAACTAAATATTTACAAGCAGAACTCTAATGATGCCTTTTAATATGTGAACATCCAACTATAACATACTGACTCACAAACGCATTAGAAAAAAGTTATAAAATTGATTTTTTATAGATCAATACTAATTTATTTATTTTAATTTATTATAAATCACTTCAAATATCTATAAATAAAACTATGCTTATCGTTTTATAAATTGCCTCATCAATAGTAAGCTAACTAGTCAAGAATTTCTTGCTTTCGTATTAGATATCTGCGTATAAATTTAAATTCACTTAGGCTTTAAATAGATAATTTAAATGTATTGACGATTTGCAAATATTTAAAAAAATAAAACTTTAAAAAGAAATCTGAGCTGATATTTATTAAAACTTGATAATAGGTACTATTAACTATTTTTATACTTCTTTAAATAGTAAAATTGATTGATGAAATTTTATGGAAATTCTCGAAAACTGAACTATAAAAGATAATGTGAAATTTGAAATAGAATTTAAAAGCAATACCAAAGAGCATGAAAGGAAATTAATTTATGATAATTAAATTATAGTTTATTTCACACCGACAAGGAGAAGTTAATCCTCACTTTTAAATAATAATGATCGCAAAAATTGGAAGGATAGACGATAACAATATTACACCCCTAATGTTTTATTAAATTCTCACGTTCCTAAAATAAACATTTATTGTGACTATTCGAATAAAAATATATGGGAACTGAATCTATCCCACGCTTATAGAACAACCCTACTTTAAAACTCAATGCGGTATTATATTCTATGAGAATATTTTTGACTTCACCCTGATCTTCTTCTTTCTCACTCGTTTATCGTAACTTTTCTCATTGAAATAAAAAAACCAAAATTCATCACACCTGTCGTGTATTTTCATATTTGACGACTTCTTATTTCTTTCTTCTTTTTCTCATTTTTGAATATCTCGAAAGGTAGAAAAAGGAAGTAAAAAAAACTTCTTTATGAAGGTTAAATTTGAATTTTTTTTTTCCGAGTGTTTGATCATATGAATTGATTTTTACCTGCCCCTATATGCTGATCAGAACAAGTAGATATTTATTATTGAAGACGTAAGTATATTCCATGATTTTCATTTCATGACCCTTTAAGTGAATGGCCAACAGGACACGTTCGATGGAACATTTCATCTTGTTTGTATTTAAATCTAATCAGACAACATGTATTGAAGTGGAAAGTGATGGTCAATAGTTTTTAATGATGTCATTATGAATCTATATATTCTTTAAAAAAAAGGATTAAGAAAATGTGTAAAATCTCATTTTATGCAAATAGACAATTATTAAACATTTTTCAATAGAACCACAATCCAATTTTATTCTTCATAATTATTAAGTCATTTTGTCGATACTTAAATCAAATAAATTTATTTTTCTTACAGCATTTTTCATAAAATATTTTGTTACTTACTAACTAATAACTATAAATGAATCTGAATTAGAGCAATAAACGAACTCATTCAGATCGTTCTCCTATAAATTTTATTATCTTTAAAGAGAGAAAAGAAAATTCAAAATTCAATCAAACTCAAATCAATCCTAGATATGAAATTGTTCAAAAGTTCTATAAAAATATTTGCTTAAAGCTGCATACTTATTGTAATAATTAAAACTAGTGACTAAAATTGTTTCTTTTTTATAAATTTTGTATCTTTGTAAATAAATACTTTGACGAAATATTTTCAATAGGCCATTTCGGGATGCCAAGGGCGATAGGGCTTAGTGTTGTTAGTGTTGTTATTGTTATTAAAGATATGATTGTTAATTCCTCCATACACGTGATTTCCATAGTTATTAAAATTTCCACTTGAGTTAAGTAATCGATCATTAGAGTTAGTTAAATCTGTGTAAATTGGTTGCTGATTTTCTGTTTGTTGCTGCTGTTCATTTGATGGTGTTTGAGTTGGTGTTGGGGAACTCGTAATTGTGTTATTATTTGAAGAAACATTTTCTGCTGTTGAAATAGAAGTGTTACCTGCTGTTTCATATCCTGATGATGTATAATCAACAGAGTGAGGAGTTACCGTTGAGCTTAAATAAATTGGAGAAGCCCCTGTTAGTGGCATGTAAGACGAATTAAAGTTTTGATTGCTTGCAGGTTGGTGTTGTGTGCTAGGAGTCATTCCTAGATACGATTGGTAACTTTGAGAAGGATAATTTGATTGATATGAGTTTGGAATCGAAGACCAATTTGCATTTTGAACACTTGCAGTTGTTGATTTAGCACTTAACTCACGTTGAGCCACATAGCATTGTAAATGTGACAGTAAACGTAGCCTCAATGGATCTTGAATGTCCATACCCTCTATTGCTATTAAATACCGTGCTACTTCTGATGCACATTCCCTAAATCCAATTATATGATAGTCCATAGCGAATCTTTGTGGGTCAAAACCGATCGAATCAATGCCTATAAAAAACCATAATTGGGTTAGTATTTTATTTAAATAAATAATTATTACAGTTTAAATATCTTTCCAGTATATTTAATCGCTTTTATGATTTATCAATTTTCATTGATATAAAAATATTCCCAGGGCGATAAAAGACCCTCCACCAACAAGTACGATTAATATTTCAACCCTCTTTCTCATGGTTTTCTACTCTCTCAGTTTACAAATCTTTAATATCGTTGAGCATGAGAAACAGAGAAAAAGCATTAAATACTGGTTGTTCATTGGTATAAATCGCGATCAATTTTTGTTGAGTGTTTAATGTTAGGGCTGAATTTCTAAGGGAAAATTTTCTTTTCCTTCTTTCTCTCAACTACATATCTATAATTCCTATTACATATGATAAATGCCACAATGAAAAGGGTCCTTTTTGCTTTATGTTCATTATGTTTTCTTATATGTACATTGTTTTGTTATGAATCGTGGGAAAGTAAATTTCGTATGTTTCACGCATGAAACATTGACTGCGAAAAAGAAACAACTTTGCATTTCCTAAGTATAAAGGAGGTAATTTCTTTCCTTGATTTTTCAAACTTAGCAGGAAGAATTTAGTCGCTTATTTTTAATTATTTTTATATCAATGAGATTAAAATAAATAATTGCCAAAAGACGAATCCATAACGAGTTGATAACTCTTACCTTTGGAATGCAAAGTCTTTAGATGATCAACGGTTAGCTGAAGAATCTCAGCCTTTTCTAACTTTGCCGATCCTTGCTTTTCAAAAGCTGATGGAACCAAACGTTTTAATTCTGAGAGTGACGAATTTATTCTATCTCTTCTTTTCTTTTCAATGACACCTCTGCGTTTTTTTCGACTCATCAACTGGCAACTGTCGTTTTCTAGAGAAGATGGTCTAAGTAAATTATAAAAAATTATTAATTATATTTTTTTATCATTGAAATTATGAATTAAGATACTCACTGGTCTTTTGATGATTCTTCGGAATAAATATCATCACATTCACTTTCCGATATTGTTCGCTTTATACTTCTTGTTGTTACCGGTGACCAAGAGTTATTGTTATTACTGGTGGCTAAATTAGTTTCACTTATTGGAGTTGATGTTATAGGAGCAGACAAATTAGAACTTGATGGTGAAGCATATATCCAATGGCTTTGAGGATTTTGTAAACTTTGATGATGATGGTGATGATGATGATGATTATGTTGCATTGAATGGTGTTCCATATTTTTGTTATTATAAATATTTTATTTTCCGTTACTTATTTTTTGAGATGATACGAATGCACTTTATACATTTATTTCTAATTTTCTTTTCTTAAATAAAAGATCATACGAAAGCAAACTTTTACTTATTTCGTATTTACACTTGTTTGCCTTTCTCCAAGAAAATATATTTAATAATAAAAATTATGTCTATGAAAATATATTCCAGACTCGGAATCACGTGTGTACTTTACATTGAACGACGTTCAAATAAATTTTTAAAGGACTGTCTGATACCAACCGCCGTTTGTACACACGTAGTGCATGATGTCAGTTAAAAATTTAGTATTTCATCCCCACTCCTTCTTCGACAACATTAACTTCAATTTTGTTTAACTCTGGATGAGATTTCTCTTGCTCTTTGCCTTCCTGTTGCAACAGACAAGGGGACTTTAACATAATGTCGAAAGCATTTCTTGTTGTATTCAACATTATAGCTCTCCCAAATTTTGTTATTCAGCATTGAAACATTGAGCATTGTAAAAAGTGCATGAAACGCAACTTCTTGTACAATAATTTTTTAATCTAATATGAATTATATTCGCTAATAAGAGTTTTCTAGTTTAAAAAAAGAAAATACACAACGACTTTTCCATTGACTGTAAAATATTTAAACAAAATTTATTAGCCAAAAAGAAACTGATCGTTTAGGTTCAAGTTAAATTTGTCTACAGATTTTCTACTCTCAATCTCATAGTGATTGGACATAGTGATACAAACCCTCTTTTAAAAATGAAAAATCAATTTCTGATGGTCAATTCACTTTGCGACTCCGACATTTTAATTAGATATTTCTTTTATTTAATCTATTTATTGTTTGCTTGTCTTCCTTGATTTTCCCATTAACAGGCCTCTTCAAACAATTAAAAATTATTGGGTCGTTAGCTTTCTCTGCATGCTAAAACCATTGAAACAAATCATTTGAAGTTTCACATTAATCCTTCAATTTTCTTTTCAAAATTATTTTGATATAAAATCTTGTTTAATCCTGAAACATCACGTTCTATTTATTAGAAAAATTGATGAACTTTGCATAATTTACAAAGTTAACGATTTGTTTGATTCTAATACATGTCCCTTCAATTATGAAAATTTACGATTAACAATATTGTGATTAAGTTTCAATGTTTAAATATTTATAATGAATATTGAAAATTTTATGATTCAAATTGAATTTAACAATAGGATGAAATTATTTATTCCTGCTATCCATCACCTATCGACCGTGACATTAACTTTTTCTCTAATTTTTTGTCTCAAATCAACAGATTATTGTTAGTTTTCAATGACTTTCCTTTTTATGATTTATTTTTTGATATATCTCTAAGGGCTTTCAAAGAAAGGGTTCGCTTGTATAGAATCGATCGAATAATGATAGATCACTTTCAATGTACTATCAAAAACTTTTTAAGCAGAAGTAAAGCATGACAAGATAATAATTTTTTTATATTGGCACAAAGATAAATATAAATATCAAATATTTCTGAGATCAGTTTACAAAAACTGAAGAATCTAACAATTATCGATGTTACAGAGTATCTACCTAATTGATAATGAATTTTTTACAGCGATATGCGAATAGAACAAAAAGTGTCTTTCGTGTCTTTGAATCTTTAAAAACTATCGCTTACATAAAGGAGAACTTCAATTATCGTCTGATCGAATTTATGAGTGTAACAATTTCCTCGAGTTGAGTAAGATTCATTTAAAAATTCAAAATTTAACACTTTTATACAGTAAGGAAAAATTCTACCAGAAATTTTCATTCAAATGAACCGAAACTTCCGGAAACTCATACAGAAATCCCTCGATAAGTGTTATTAATACAATCATTTAAGGCTTTCCCTTGAGTCATTAGAGAATTACGCAGAAGGTATTTTGTTCATCAGTGAAAACGTAAGACATGAGAAATTCAAGCAGCTCATTGAAAATCGCTTCTCATAATTCTATATGTTTGTCATTTCGAGTGAATGGTGTTATCATTTTTGGCTGAAGCACGCAATAATTATCTGTAACATTATCAATAATCATGACAACTCAACTCATATGAGTCTTGATTTCGTTATGTGTGAAATTCAAGATAAAATGATGAAAAATATTATTCCTGAGCGCAGTAAGCAGACTGAAATTTTAGTCCATATGAACTCGATAGTTTATGTCAATTTATATTTTCTCTATCGATCCTGAAGAATATTTGTAATTCAGGAGCCGTTTACGAGATATTTATGAAAAGGAGTTTACTCGCGTTTTTCAGAAGAAAACACGGGTCAAGAAAACATGGCTTTAATTAATCTGGGTTAAAGAATATTAGATTTAATGCTAAATGGAATTGGGCTTAGACTAACGAGATGTTGGATTAAGATCTCAAGAGGTCGTACTTTGACACCCTTTAACAAATAATTTGAAATTGCCGAGCAGACCGAATTCTGTTTACATCATTTATAAACAGTATGTTGACAACTCGTCAAACGTAAATTCAATTTAAAACAAAATACCAAAATGTCATCTGAGGAAAAAATATTAAAACTTATAAATTTCGAAGCAACACCAGAGACAAAAGCAGAGGCGATAAATTATTTGCAATCCTTGAGAAGATTTAAAAAAGAAGTTCTAAAAAAGAACTCGTCTCAACTCGAAAATGAATTCAACAATTTGGAACAGGTGTTTTGTCAAATTCTGATAATTCATCGATAAAATATTTATGTCCACGTATCTTTATTTCTAGGAAACAATTCAACTCGCTTACGGAAACTATGCAACGTTTATAAAAACGGCAGAAAGCTCCCGGCAAGTGTTAAAGGGTTGGAATGAGACGTCAAAAAATTTAGATTGTCTAATCGAAGAATTACCCACTTTCTCAGAGAAATGTGATGTATTTATAAAGTCCACTTTATCTATTCAATCTTCATCTCGTTTGAATTCTCTAACTTTGAAAAAATATCAAGAGATTCTCGAAATATTGGAATTACCTCAACTTATGGAATCATCATTAAGGGACGAAAAGTACGAGGATGCGTTGGAGTTAGCATCTTACGTACAAATGTTGGGAATGAAGCATAAAAGTATTCCAGTTGTTAATGTGAGTTTATTAAAATATTAGATTATTGTTTGAACTTTCCTAATTATAAATTTTTTACATGCAGAACATTGTCAAAATTATTGAATCGTCATGGCAAGTGATGATTTCTCAACTGCTATCAGAATTAAAAAACGACTTGACCTTACCAAAGTGCCTTCAAATTGTTGGATATTTAAGTAAGTTTTTGTCTATTTTACTAAATATCAGATAACTTTAATACTCTATTTAATTTATATTTTTCAAATAGAGAGAATGCAAGCATTTTCACCAACAGAATTAAAATTGAAGTTCCTTCAAACTCGAGACTGTTGGCTCAAATCCATTTTACCAGTCACAAAAACAGATAGTAAGATAAATTAATATAATTACTTAAAATTGAAAAAAAATTAAGTATTTATGTATTTCCAGATTATCAGTATTTAGCAAAGACTATCGAGTTAACAAGAGTGAATTTATTCAATATTGTGACACAATATAAAGCATTATTTGAAGACGATTTGAGTAAAGAGAGTTACTCAAAGACAAGCCTGATTTTCTACAGTTGGATTAATGAAAAAATAGACGATTTTTTGCGGATGTTAGAAAATCAACTTAATAATTTAAATGCAACTTTAGTCGACATCAGCTCAATATTAGGACAGTGCATGTACTTTGGCGTATCGTTTTCTCGAATTGGTGTGGATTTTCGAGCGCAATTAACTCACATTTTCATGAAAACGATTACAAAATATCTAAATGGATCAGTCATTGAAGCAACGAAGCAATTTGAAAGGGGCATGGAACAATTTACTTTGATTAACAAAGATGTTTCAGGATTTAGGAAACATAGTAATGAGAGCGGATCTAACACAAACATGGAAAAAGACAAAGCAACAATTATACCACCTGAAAAGTTGTTGGATTTCCATCCTCTCGCCGCTTATTGTAATGCTTTGCTAAACATCTTCAATGAGTTAAGAGTTTTTGTTCCAGTTTCGCTTTTAAACCCTTTTGTTTTATCGTTGGAAGTTTCTTTAGAGAATGTAAGTCGAGCCATTCTTTCTTTCTATAAAAGTGAACAGCAAGCATTAGGTAAGAACGAAAGAGAATGTTTTCTGAAAATGTGTTCATGTTTTGTATTTGAATTGGTTCCATACATCCAAAATTGTGTAAATTTAATATTTGCAAACAATAGATTAAATCTTAATGTTGAAAGCTTAACTATATTTAAAAGTGAGAATATTTTTGAGCCACTTAAGCATTTACCTGATCAGTTTGTGTTACTACCAGCAAAACAATAAATTGTATAAGTGAATGAATAATGAAATGAATATAAAATACGTAAATAAAGATATTATTAGATAAATAATTGAGATATTGAATAATTCTCAAAGAAAATCTCTGCGACTTCTTTCACCTTTTTTGATATTGTTTTTTCTAAAGTAGGTCGTAGCTCTGCTGTCACCATTCGCCAGTTTTCATTTATAAATTTATTCATTGAATTTGTTAATTCTTGTTCTCCATTAAATAGATTTTCCAGGAATATGTTACCCGACCCAATGTTAAATTCAGAAGAAATGAAATCGATTTGATAATATTGTTGAGAGTTCCTTTCTACACGATTAATTTTCATTGATAAAACTCCATCAATATCCGTAAAATTACTGAAATGTTGCATTAATTAAAACGATTTTCTCATGAATCATGATCTAAGAAAAGATAAAAAAATTACCCGAAACAAGCACCTTTTCCATTAAGAGGCATCATTAAAAGTTTCCCACGAAGCTCATAAGTTGCATTCAAAACCAAATTGGGAAACCAAACTTTCATTCTGAATTTACCTGTAGTTATGTTAGTTCTCACACTTCGCAACCTAAATCTCGTTACACCTGATAATGATATATTTTTAAAAGCAGCTGACAATTCCATTCCATTTCCGGTTTGTTCAATTTTAATCTCATCAACAAATAAAGGTTCTAATGATGGTACGTTGAGTTCGGGAATGCCTCTGTTCAAATATGGTCTCAAAGTTATGATTGAATTTCGAATGCAATTGCCAAGTTGTGGATCCGTTTGATTGCAAATTTTTATGAAGGAAGCTGTAGAAATATTATGTAATTCATCAAACCAACATCTATCAAGAAAAAATAAATAAAAACTTTACGAATATTTATTGCTGATGTGTCGCTTTTTGAAGCAAAAATCACTGTAATTGTGGAGAAACAAATGATGGCAATGTTCGTGTTACTCTTCATGATGAAGAACTAAATGACTTCAATAATAAAAATAAAAATCGGAACAGCCTTTTCGAATTCATTGTTCTAGGTAGCATTCATATTTTTAAAAGCTTGCAAAAAATGTATTCAACAAACTTAGACTTCCGAGTTTCGAAATGCGTTTGCAATAACAATACTTAAAATGATGACTGTTCTTGTTCATAAGTTGTCTTACACGGAAGTCGTAATAAATCGACAAAAAGATCGTTTTACAATGCTCTTCTTTCTGAGAACTTTTCTACGACTAAATCGATAGATTTATTCAGTTTTTATTCTAATAAAATATGATTGATGTTATAAATTTCATTAATTTAATAATTCATGCTAAACCTTTTAATCTCAATCAATGTTCAGCTAAATACGAAAATTTTCAATTTGTTGTTCATATTAAGCAACTTTTTTTTCTTTCAACTTTTCGATAATTTTGTAGGATGCTGAAAAGGTTGATAAAACTTTTTCTAACTAGACCGGCTAAATATTTTCCCCTAATTTCGACTTTAAACTTCAAAGAATTGTCCACTTAAACATTCGATCGATTTACATAATCAAAATCACTTGAATTCATCCAGAATTGATTGTTTTGATACCAAGATGGATATGTCATTGTGGGTAGAAGCAAAATCCATCCAACTAGTCCAAGAATGTAAAGTAAACAAAAGATGCAACGTTTCGGTTCTGTTTGATTAATAAGATCGGGGATGTCAGGAAATCCCATATGATTACAAAATGCATGAACAATAAATGGAGCAACAAAATGACCCGTTCGCATAAAGAGATAAGCTGAATAAATTCCGAAGATTGAAGTGTAAAAGAATTGAAAGAACGATATCACAATTGCTGTTTTTTTATCCATTCCCGTTCGAAGTCGTTCGATCATATGATGCAAATGTGCTGTAAGTAAATGAACATCAAAACAAGTTCAAAAATATTAATTTAACTAACATCCATACCAACTCCAAAAAACATTGGTGTGATAAAAATCGATGTGATTGGTGTGAAGCTTTGCAATAAAAGCGGTAACATGCAGGCACGAAATGTAAATTCCTCAGAAAGTGGAGCAACAATATGATTTCTTATCCAAAGTAAATTTTGGCAGTGATTCAACCAGAACATTGGTTCTAAAATTAGAAAAACAGAATGTTTCATGTCAAACTTTTCAAATTTAATAACGCAAATAGCAAACCTGAGTAAATTTTCCAAATTCCATTTGTTAATTGAACGCTCAACGGTCCTAAGAAAAGAATCATTGTGAGTAACAAAGGAATAAAAACAGCTGACATAAGCCCTTTCGTCCGTAATCCCATCACTTCCCATATGGTGTAATAATTGAACATATTTGGTGATGAGAAGAGGTATACAAAGAATGGCGATATTAACATCACAACAAACACGCTGAAGAAACGCTTTTTTACAGTCGATGGGTGATCACTGAATAAGTATAAAAAATTGCTTTGTTTTGTTTGCAAACTTTAAATGATAAATTAATGATTTACCGATTTTCTTCGGAGCTCCATACATACAAACTGCAATAAATATTCACAATTAACAATCTGCACAAGTCACTCTATAAAATATTCACTCACCTTGAAACATATAAAATAGACAAAGCTAAACAACTCCCTAAAGAAGTATAAACAGAGATCTGAAAATCCATGACGATCGTAAAATTGTCGATTTGCACAATTATAAGTCACTCTATGTTCAACATTTTAAAAATTAAATAACATTTGTGTTTTGAAAACAAATCTAGAGATATCGAAATGATTGCGAAAACCGAGATAAAAATTTCTTTTGCATGCAATGTTTTGATTTTTAGGGATTAATGAAAGTTGTGTCATTGAAATCATGTTAGAAAAACTTAGTTTGAAACCCCGTGCTAGTACAATACTTTATCCAATACACAAACACTGAAGTAGATCAAATTTAAATTTGGGCGCAAAAGTAGTTGAAACTTTCTATAAAAAAATTGAAACTAAGTTGTATACTCAGATCGTTGTTTGTGAATAAATTAAATGATTTTTTTCTTTGTATGATTTGTGTTGTGCGTTTTGTAGTTTATAATCAATTTGTCTCCATTATACGAGGAATCAACCTGGTTCAACTAACTTTTACCGGTCATTGCATGACTCCGGTTATTTGAGTTATGTGAAAAATAACTAATGTCAATTGGCATCACGTATTTCATTATTGTCTATATTAAGCAATCACATCTTTTTTTTTGTTTATGATGTAGCTTGAGAATTTGGAACAGGAATTAAAAATAGTTCCACAGATTTTTTACAACAGAATTATTCGTTTCTCACTAAATTAAATGCATGATGTCTTTGATGAAATATAAGAATAATATTTAATTTTTTTTCACTTGCACTTTCCGTTATTATCTTATGTATCGATATGGACAATGTTGCACAAAAGTTGATATTGAGCACTTATTCTTGCAGCAATGCTCAATTAAATTTCCACCACACCTTGAGGGCTTTTGAAAGTTTCTTGGCGGTTCTTTCTTTTTATAAGCCACAATATATTGTTCACGACAAAAAGCTCTCACAGCACGATGAAGTTGTATTCCACAATAAGATCGAAGCTCTTCAGTCGGTTCAAGTGAATTTCTTTCGCCAGCTGATTGTGATGATTGTGTCGCTGATTTGATTACTAAACAAAGAATCACAAAACCTGCAGCAGTTTGAATACATTTCTGTGAAATCATTTTTTTAAAGGAATTCACAAGGTTTATTATTGAGCGATCGCAACGCAATGATATCACAAAACATAAATAATGCTTAAATTTAAAAATAGCTTTTATTGCACAATTTTCTTCTTATTATTCAAACTATTTTGAAATCCCGTCAATGAAAACGGAATTTGACATACACATGGTTCAGCGCAAAATTGTAAAAATTGACTTCTGCTTTGTTGAAAAAATTTACCCACAATGAAATTTATCGTCGTCTATCGGCGCAGGAAATATTCAATTTGCAATTAACATCGAGTGGGGAATTTAGAGAGTCAAATCAATGAATTGTATTAATGAAAATTTGCAAGATATTATAATGAGTTGAATATTGAATTAGATTCATCATAATTCTATTTTTAACGTTTTACATTTTATGAGTCATAATTTTAATTCATTTGTTTTTCTTTTGTGATGTTTATGTAAGAATAACGTTTTTCTTGGAATTCATTAAATATACAGAAGTATTTCAAGCTACTTATATTTGGCCACGAGACGTTTTTTTTTGTTAAGTTACAAGTACATATTAGAAAAAATTAATGATCATCGCTTAACACATTATCAGCATAATAGCGCCATCTATTGACGATGTTTCATCGTCCCGGACACGAATTGTCCGTGATAAGCAAAATCTATAAAATTTCAGTGTTTTGGTAGAACTTTTTGTTGATGTTCTTTAAGAAATTAGACCGAAAACTCTTTCATTTGTTTCAAGTTAAATTTATAAACTAACAACATGCTTCAAGTCGACGAAAAAAAGGTAAGAAAGTGAATAATTGTGGAATGTATTAAAAAACATCAAAAGAGTGGAATTATTTGAGAGTCAAAGAAATAGGATAAGATAAAAAATTTGTTTTCGTTAACCTTGAAAATGCCCTTCAGCATAGGTAGTCGAGTCCTACAAATGTATAATCATTTAAAATGCATATTATCGTGCCAAAGAAAACTCATAAAAATTATTTTATTTTTCGTTTGAATGTAAAATATTTCATCACTTGCTTTTTAAAACTGCAACTTATGCAACGTTTTATCCTTGTAGGATGTTGATGGTTAAGATAAAAATTGATAAAGCAATGTCAATGCATCACACGAATTTTAATTTCGGACATAAATGTATAAGTGTCAACATCTCTATCAACACTAACCTTTGATATTTTAAAAAGAAATCTTTCACATAGAAACAAATGATTTTATTTAATGCAAAAAAAAATCCTCGCAAAGAGAAAATTTTCTGAACGAAGCACTTGAAATCGGCTATTTTATTTTCACAAAAATTGTTTTCAAATTTTCTTTAACATATAGTCAAAATTTATTTTTTAAGCTTGACGTTGATATCTTTTGATTAAAAGCTTATCATAGCAAAACAAAATTGAATAATCATTTATCAAGATTTCTTTAAGTTAGCGCATTTGAAATCTGCTGGCTGTGCACGTGTGGATTTTAAAACAAAAAAAAATTGATAAGAAAATATTCCAGATCAAAAGCAACCACATCTTTAAAATTCTCTCGCTGTTTCTAATTTGATGAAGATTTGAACATAGTTAGTATTATTCCTTTAAGTGAGTCGCTCAATTATCAATACAGCTGGAAACATTCTATCAAAAAATGATAAGAAAAATTTGTCTCTCAAACGATAACAGCTCTGAGAAACTCAAAACAAAGTTCTACGCCTTCTATTAAATTCTCCAGTCGCTGTCTGACAATATAACGTTAAGTGTCGTGTCATTTGATTGCTTAATTCTAAATCATAAAACTTGAATTATTTTTCAAGTTTTAAAAACAAATTAAGTATTTTTTACTATGGAAAATAAAGGAGCGATTGAACTTCTTCTTAAAGTAAGTTTGATGTTATCATGAGTAACGAAATTAAAGAGCAGGATTAATTTACACGCGTTGATGGAAACTTGGAAGAAAAAGCAAACTTTACTACGTGTTTTGTCTTTGCGCAATCTTGACGTAGATTAAATATGATGGCTGTTCAATAATCAAACTGATCTCGGTCAATTAACAACAAAAGTAAACGAGACGATAACGAAAACCTTCCAAGTCCTATTTATAATTTAAATAGAAAATAGATTAAATATGTCGTCGGTTCTCATTATTTTTTTCTGATAAGAAAAGTGAAATATTTTATGTAATATTTTCTCTTCTGCTTGCCCTTTACAACAATTTATTTCCTTATGTTCAACCTAATCAGTAAATATGCTAAAAATAGTTCTGTTCATATTCAAAAACAACTAATCGAATGGTATTGATGCATTTGAAACGTTCGTTAATAACATATCAGAAGTGTAATTAAAATTTTAAAACATTCATTAATTTTTGTCACGTAGTAAGTCAACATTTATTTGAAAATGCAAGCAGTTATTGACAATTGAATGTGGCAAAAATAATTTCTTATTACTGTCAGCCAAATCTACACAGAGGGCATGTTTTTTTAATTAAGTCAACAAAAATTGATCATAATTGAATGCCTTTTCGCAAGTGTTCTCTTATTTGAGTTTAATGTCTGCGAAGAACTTCTTAATGTCAAACTTTCAACTCAATCGTTGTTATAGAAAACGAAGAAAATCAATTAGTGTTGAACATTTATTAAATAAGGTTTGATTTAAAGTCACAAGAATTTGCTGCTTATTTAAAAATATTCTTTAAAATATTTGCGACACTTTGTCTGCATTTTTTTCTTATTACGTAATAACGAGAATTGACAAAGTGATTGCTTAACAAAGCAGTTATCTTCTAAAATTGTTGTTTCACTGCTCATTTAATTCAATTTACAAATTTACGCTCACACTGTGAGACTCTGAAAATCCCTGGTTTTCGGGAAAGCAGGGATCAGGGAAAAGGGAAAGAGATCAGGGAAAACAGGGATATTTTACTGTGTAAAAATAAAAGATTAATTTTATTTGTTCGTTAAGAAAAATCTTTTAAATAATAATATTGATTTTTAAAACATATTTCCAAATTCTCGACTTCTTTTTTTCAAATTTTATGTTATAACTTTGGGTTTAACACTTTTAGCGCACTTTTATTTTTTTGAAAAATCTAAATGTTTGCTTGGAAATTTGGATAGGGATCCCTTATTCAAAAAAGCAGGGAAACAGGGAAAAGGGATTTTCATTAAAAATCCCTTGGTTTTTTCCCTTAGGGAGGGATCCCTCAGAGTCCCTAGCTCACAGCAACAATTCGTGAATCAAAAGAGATTTCTCGTCATCATTAAAAAAAAGCAAAAATATGAAATTAAACGTGCATGAAGAGCATGCAAGTTGAAGAAGATATTCAAGAGAAAAGTAATTAAAACTTACTTAATCTAACTTCAAATTTTCAATTTCGTCTTCACAAAAGTTAATAAAAAAGCACTGAACCCATGCAAGCTTATATGAGACAAGATTTTCATTCAACGGTGATTGTTGATTCAATTAAACAACTAGAGATTTTGACGTTACACAAATTTATTGCTCATGTTTTCAGATTGGATGGTAAACCCTCAGTTTATTATCATAAATCGCCTTCAAGCAATTATTTACTCACAAAAAAAAAAGAAGTTGAAGCAACAGCAGCTATCAGTCGGCATTTGATATTGAAAGGGAAGGTTAAATCCATAATTTTCAAGTGTTAACAATCTTCCATTATGCAAAGCATAATTGCATTGTGGCGCCACGAAGTCATCCTCTCATTTTTCTAACTCTCTGTTTTAACAAAATTCTAAACACGAGTTCTTCAATAGTTAATTATGGTTCAAAGTTCTCATTCGTAGGCTGATCGTAAATATAGTCATAAATAAATTTGACGATACAACGCAGAAAATAAATGTGAGATCGTCGTGAATTGACAAAAAAAATAAAATAAAAACTATTCGATCACTACAAACGCTCTACAGTTCTTGTTGAGCTTCCATAGTATTCACATAAATAAAAGAGAACAAAAGTTATAAAGAAAATTATGTTAAATTTACCAATTTTAGGTGTTGTTTACAAACCACAACAACCGAAAGTTAAAAAATTTGAATATCTGCAAGTGCAAAATGTAGCGATGATCAATAATTTAATGTTTTAATGTTTAACGCGACCTTGAAAATGATTCAGACTATAAAATCTTTTTTTTTCTTTTGTTTCCAGAATCGTACACATTCTCGCGTACCAAGCGACGCTAAAGAATTTCATGAAGTGACAAAACGCGATGCATTACGACAACTCGAACGTGAATTGGAAAATTTAGTTAAAACAGCGCCTGATGACAAAAAAGATAATTTCAAAGATGAAATGAAGAGTTTCGCATCACTTTTCGGTCGATTTCTTCAAGAAGATGGACCTTCAGTTGAATGGAATCGTATTGAAAAATTACCGGATGGTGCTGTTAAAGAGTATGCAAGTTTAAATTCACCATCAAATAACGAAGAAATTCGTGCTATGTTAAATAAACTCGTCGTTGTTAAGCTTAATGGTGGCTTGGGAACATCAATGGGATGTCATGGACCAAAAAGTGTCATTCCAGTGAGAAATGATTTGACTTTCTTGGATCTTACCGTTCAACAAATTGAAGTAAGTTCACATTCAGACTTTAAATATTTAATTGTAAATAATCCTGATCAATCCTTTGTTCAATTAGAACCTTAATAAAACCTACGGTGCTAATGTTCCGCTTGTCCTTATGAACTCTTTCAACACTGATGAAGATACTGAGAAGATTGTCCGTAAATACACTGGTTTCCAAGTCAACATTTATAGCTTCAATCAAAGTTGCTTTCCAAGAATTTCACGTGACTCTCTCCTACCGGTCGCTCGTCGTTATGAAGTGGCTGATAACATGGAAGCTTGGTATCCCCCAGGTTACTAAAATGAAACAAAACAAAATTAAGTTTTACATTAAAAGTTTATTATTAAAATTTTAGGTCACGGTGATTTCTACGAATCTTTCCAAAATTCTGGCTTACTCAAACAATTCATCAAAGAAGGACGTGAATATCTTTTCTTATCCAACATTGACAATCTCGGAGCTACAATCGATTTTAAGATTTTAGATCGTTTGCTTGGTAAGTCGCAAGATGGTGTTTGTCATGAGTTTGTCATGGAAGTGACAGATAAGACGAGAGCTGATGTAAAAGGTGGAACTTTAATTCAATATGAGAATAAACTGAGACTGTTGGAAATTGCTCAAGTACCGAATGAACATGTCGATGACTTTAAATCAGTGAAGACATTTAAGTTTTTCAATACAAACAACATTTGGGCGAAACTTGATGCTATTGAGCGTGTATTGAACGAGAATCGTATGAACATGGAAATTATTGTGAATAATAAGACTTTAGAGAATGGACTGCGTGTGATTCAGTTGGAGACGGCTGTTGGTGCTGCAATGAAAGTCTTTGAGAATGCCATTGGAATAAACGTTCCACGTTCACGTTTCTTGCCGGTTAAGAAAACATCAGATCTGTTGCTTGTGATGTCAAACTTATACAGCCTTAAGAATGGCTCGTTGATTATGTCGCCACAAAGAATGTTCCCAACAACTCCTTTGGTCAAACTTGGCGACAATCACTTCAGTAAAGTTAAAGAATTTTTGGGACGATTTGCTAATATTCCGGACATCATTGAACTTGATCATTTGACAGTATCAGGAGATGTGACATTTGGACGTGGCGTTTCGCTTCGTGGGACTGTTATTATCATTGCAAATCATGGTGATCGTATTGACATCCCGCCAGGTGCAATTCTTGAAAATAAAATTGTATCAGGAAACATGAGAATTTTAGATCACTGAAAAGAGTGAAGAAAAATACTTTTCGATGACAGCTTAAAAGCACAAACCGTTGAACTTCAAATTATTAATTTTTTATTACTTTTTATTTTCTTGATTATTGAAAAGAAATTTATTTGAGTTATTTGAGCTGATTGCATCATTTTAAGCTTATTTGTTTTTTCATTTTCAAAGCTAAAACCTAAAACAAAAAAGTGTTAAGATGAAAAATCTTAAAAAAAATGTTTGCAATATTTTGTAGAATAAATATTTTTTTCTCGTTTGAAAATTGAACAAAAGTGTTTTCTAATTTTATGTGTGAAAGATTGTTGGGTTGATTGGCTGTGGAAATGTATGACGAGAATATGTATCAAGTGGTCATTTAAAACGAGTTAGAAATTCCAACGTACACTTAAAAAATAAAAATGGAATTTATACATCCTGAAATGTCTGTAACCGGAGATCTGAAAGCTTTTATTAATCGAAAAAACTTTTGAAATTTTCTTGTTTTTTTTACTTTATAAAAGTTTCAACTTAAAACTTTTGAGAAATGAAATTAAATTTAGAAAATTGTTGGAGATTGATTCAATTGAAACTTGAGTCCTTAAACTAGACAAATTGAAACTTTTAACATTAGAAGAATTTCAAAATTTTCTTTCTATGATTATTTACGGCTTAAATGGCAATCAAATATTGTCACAAAATGATAAAGTTTGTGTGGCATAAAAAATTTATTTTAATTAAAAAGAATGTTCATCATTTTAAGTTTTATATTAAAAGATGAATGTCTTAAAGCAAGCTTTTCAAAATCATCAAAGTTTTTATGATTATTTAGATGGGAAACTATGATTTTCTTTTAATTTCTTTAAAAATATTTGCATAGTAAAATTGCTTGTGGAAAACTAGCGCATATTTATCTGTACAAAGTTGAAGATTGTGTTTATGATCTGTTTGAAACTTGGTGCCAACTAAGGAAAATTGTGAAACTTGCACATATTTTAAGTAAATATTTATAAGGTTTAAAGTGCATTAGATAATTAAGATTCAACACTTACCTAGAGCTGTTTTCCTTGAGTCTTTGAAATTATGCTCAATTATAGATAAAGGTCAACATCTACGGTTGTCAGGAAACGAAAGCAATAACTTTCATCTCCTTAGAAGTCAGAACTCCAAAGACAAGAGTACAAGACATTCATATTGTGAATTGAAATCACCGTTGACGACATTAAAAATGTTGAACTAAATCAATGACATCGATGCATTATTTACTCATTTAAAATTCTTAGAATTGCAAACAAATATTTCTTGGTAACATTTCTTGAAAATTTTCAAAGACTTTACATCTTAATAAGTTCCTTTTTCAGCTAAGTCTGCTTGAAGGGAACTACATACATTAATTATACTCTTTGTAACTCCATTAAAAACATGTTGAATAAGAAGTCTTGCAGGAAAGTTTAGAAAATGAAAATTTGATGTAGTGCAACGTCGTTTCTCGTCATTTTTCATCGCAACATCTATGTTGATTTTTTTTCCTTTCCTCTATAGAAATAAGTACCTAGTTTATCCTGCGATGTCAAACTGACAAAATCTAGCTTAAAAATTCTAAAGATTTTTTTAATTTCCGTAAATTCATGTTTCAGTGGGAATACTTCCACATGTTAAGCATGAACAAGTTAAAAATCATATAGATATCTACGTACACAAGCATATCTTTCAGAAAATTAACAAAATATTCATCTATGTACATGATAAAAAAAACCTCGAAACTGGTTCGTTTCTATAGAAAGTTTTACTTCTTCTCATGCACTTTCAAGTTTATGATTAAAGTAAATGTAGAAGGAAATGTTTAAACTTGTTTTAAGTGTACTCGGTACCCTCAAACGGCACATGTTTCAAAACATTTTAAATATCCTGAGGTGGTTAGAAAAATTAAAATGTTTCCCTCATCTTTTCTGTTTTCATTACACTGATGTTTGAAGAGAAATAAAAGCATTGTTAGGCGAGAAAATCTAACGAAATATGTTGATATCTTCATGTCGACATGTATCGCATACCACTTGCATTATTATTAACAAGAGCAGGTGTAAAAAATTTAATTTTACTGCTGTTTTTGATATTTTCAAACATTTTAAATTGTTTTAAGTGAAAATAGAAATATTTAAGGAGAAAACATGTAAATGTAATTACAGTCAATTATATTTTGTTTTGTCTGGCATCATCAGACTTTATTAAAAAGATAAAAATTATTTTGAGAAATGTTTGGTATGCTTGAAAGCATCGAAACCATTTATTTCTGGTTCACGCTTTCCCCATAACTATCAATTGTAGATAACAAATGGTTTACCTACCGGCAAAACCCTTTTTGAGGCTTTCAATAATGTATGCACGTGTAAACAATTCGTGAGCATATTAAAAGAGAATTTTCTTAGCATCGGAAATCATTTAGATATGAAAATATTACCCAAATTTTCTGTCCCTCAAAAAAGCTTACAAAAAGTTTTTCCGGCTAAACAATGGAAAAATCACTATCCATGGATCTTATGTTTAGGGGTTAAATGCCAGAAAAGAAATAATCCTTTCTCAAATGACAAAAAAGCAAATGAACGGAAAACATTCACTTTAAGTAATGGGTCAATGTCTAACGGCTATAATGACAACATATAATAGCTTTCTTTCCGGCAATTTCTGTTGACATTATTGTATTATTTGAAGGTCAAACGACATACTCAAGTGAAAGGTAAACATTTGACATTCAAAGACTCCCACGAAGTTATGTTCAGCCTTTAGCTTTGATTTTTTTTGCTTACTGTAAATATCTTTTTTTCTTGGCTTTAATATTACTTAAAGCACACCGGAAACGAAGACACATTCTTTTTTATGCTGACGAAAGAGTTCTTTTCTTCATTTTTTGCGATATTCTTTTTTACCGCTTTGTGTTGGCATCATGCGAGCTTTTTTTCGGTTTTTCTACCCTTGAACAACTTCTTTTATTGCAATTGCGACATAAAAAAGAATTGTCGGTTTAAGACCGTAATGATACGTCGCTTCTGTTTGTGGTGAGATTTTTTACAAAGTCGTTGTGAAAAAAAAGTAAAAGCTGCGAGTTGTTCTATGTATAAAGTAATGCTGAGAAAGAAAAAGAAATAAAAGTTGAAAAACTCCTACCTTGAAAAACTGCAAAGCGTGAGAAGCGCTTATTCTTTTGAAATCTCGGCTTTTAACTTTAATAACATCAAAAACATCTTCAGATAAAGGTGGAAAAACCCCTAAAAACATAAAGTGAAAGGAATACATTAAACACAGCATGGCTTGACGTTGTGATTTTAAAAGAAATTGTATATGACAAGTTGAAGAATATGTAGGCCTTGATAACACATTTTCCGTATGATATCAAATAGAAAACTTGATTCTCATTCGAAATTTTCATCATATCTAACCAAGTGAAAAATGCTTTGACTATTGTTTGTAAATATCGTTAAACAGCAGCGAGCTCAGTTATTTGGAAATCTATTATAAACACAAAGAGAAATCCTTCCTTGTGGTTGCGCCATTATTATAACATGCCTTGAAAAGTGTTTCATTATGTCGTACACCCAAATGTTTCATCAAGGGTTTTCCATGAACATTTTAATTAAGTCTCAAAATAAAGTTAATTGAAAACTCTCAAGTTCAAAAAAAGAAGCAAAGCTGAGCTCTACATTTCCATTTCTAATTTCATTATGTTGATTTAATGTTAACAGACTAACAAGATTTTTTCTTGGAAATTTTAAGAACAGGCTTGAAATGTTAAAAGGCAAATCTTATTGTTTTCAATAACGTCTTCTTTATGATAATTGCTGCATACATCTGATAACATCATAAATATTTTATTGATACTGAAATTGAAAAGAAGTTTATTTTGTAAGAATTCAATATAAAAAATTTAAAATGTTGAAGTTAATGAAGCTTAGTGGGAATAAAAAGCTTAGTTTAAATTTCATTTCAGGTTTTGCTTTCTAAAAATTCAGCTTCAGGTATTGATTTCATTTGTTATTATTAAATATTCTACTAGATACATAATTAAATAATTCCTAATGAATCTTTTTTTTCCAAGTTCTTTTAATTCCTTTTTTCAATAACCAATGAAATTGCTTAGTAAAAAACTTTTAAAAGAATATCAAATCTACATGGTTGAGTGAGATAATGAAAGAGATCATCAAGCTAAACCGAGGCGGTTGGTCTAGTGGTCAGGTGTCGGAATTAAATGCAAGTGTACTCTTGCAGGTCCCAGGTTCGAGTCCTGGCATGGACAAAAAATTATAATGAGGTTTTAAGAAATTTAGATACTTCGGCTTGATAATTAAAAAGTTTTTCGCCAACAGGAAAGCGAGATATAGAGATAAAACAGATTTGAGATCCCTTTGTATCGATTTAATATGCATGCCTTGATGCATGCATATTAAGGAAAACAATGAGAGAATTCATACTGAAAAAAGGCTCTATGGAACTGTACTGAAAGCGAAACACTCTCTCTCCCACTGATCTCGAGTATGGGACGAGTAAATCCCTCTCCGTGAACTTCTGTAAAAAGGCTTGTCTGTTGAAGTACTCGCGTTGAATTTTACTAACAGTCTTACAAATTGTTAAAATATAAAAAGAAAAGAAATTCAATAAAATTCACAATTTTTTTTTTTTTTTAAAGAGAAAGTACTGAAATTTTTGTGAAAGAAAAAAGAAAAGAAAATTAAACATAAAAATAAAATTTATTATTTATCTACATAAAATTAAGGATTGTAATTTAAATGCTGATAAATTGGCTTTTGAGTTCAGAAATGAGTTGCTTCTACTTAATCGGAGTTTGAAGTAGTTTTTCTATTTTAAAGTTACTGAAATAGGAAAATATTTAAATTGACTATAAAATACTTTAAGACAAATTACAGTACAGCAAAATTACGAAATTATGGCAGCTTGACAGAAATTCCAGTCACTCTAAAAGTGTCACAAGATGGAAATTCATGAATAAAAAACTATTTTTAACTGAATAATAAGAATCCATTTTACTTTTAGTAAAAAAACCTAAGAAACAAAGGTGGGCAAAGCTTTCATTTGCATGCAAAAGTTTTCAAACAGCAAAGAGAATAAAAACTATCACGTAAATGTAGATATTTCCTACATAATAGCTTCCGAGAAATTATTCATCACTCATTATGCACAACTTTTGTCTTTAAATATTTTAAGATTTTTGCTCTTACATAAAACAAAAGACGTGGAATATTTTATGTTTTCATCTCAATCATTTCAGTTTATCATTTTTCTTCATGGAAATCTCGAACGAAGAAAATAAATTAATATTATTTAAATGAGGTCGAAAATTGTTGTATCTAATCTAATAAACAGAAATCGATTGTGTGATACGAGAAATAAAAATCACTTCGAAGAATACCAAATGCAAATCAAAACATATAATCATCATCATCATCATCGTTGGGCATTCAGTTAAGTGAGGAAATGAAGTGATTTAAAAAGAAAAATCACAATTTTCATTCAACGATGACTCTTGAGATTTTTATCTCAAACGATTGAAAAATTTTATTGTTCTTCTTCTTATGCAAGAAGTTGAATTCGTTTTGAAATTTCTGTGTCTTTTAAATAATTGAATCAGAAATTGGTTTGGAGAATATTGAATATTGTTGAACGACTTTGTTGATTGCCATATAAAGATATTCATTTCACGTTTACGTTATTCACATATTTCATGAATAGAAAAAAAAAATGCTATAGTAGAGCATTTTTATTAATAAACATCTAGAATTTACATATTAAATAATGGAGATTATTTTTGTAAGGTTAAGAGAAATGTAAATTCAAACACAGTCTTCCTTATAACGTCAATCAACGTATTCATGCATAAGAAAATATCCTCGGATATCATCGAACATCAACGTTTTATTGATCTGTTGCTCATATATCTTATATAAGCTTTTGCTCCAAGTCAAGTAGAGGAATAAATTCAACATTTTATCTTACGATGTACATATTGATATGTAAGAATGCAAGTTACAGTTTCTGACGATGTGGGACAACTTATCGGTGTAATGAATATTTCATTATATTACGTGCACTGATGCTTCCGACAACTCAAAATATGAATGTTTATTATCATTATCCTTGATTTGTCTTCTTAGCGGTGTAAATATAACTCAATTGCATCATATTACATTATATTCATTGACTTTACGTTCTTTCTACCATTCCTAAAGTGGATAATTTTATCAATGGTCGCTAACACTTAGCTCAGATGGAAAATAACTTTATCAAAATTTATAAGGCATTAATAGTAGGAAGAAGCACAAGCGTTTCTTGTGTTTGAGAAACATCTAAATTCTTATTAGTTATTCAAAGCACGAGGCTTATGTTGAACGTCTTACTGTTGTTAATAAAGATTTTAATAAATTCTCAAAATTTCTTACAGATCCTTTGAATGTGAAGTTAAAACGGATACTTTTTGTATCTAAATACATGAATAGTCTCATTTTGTTTTTTATTCATCTTCAGCATCCTCCGTCTCTGTAGTTTTGTTTTATAGTTTTTCTCGTTATTCTATCGAAAATGAATACTCTGGGGATGTTATCAGACAGGAAATTTAGTGGTAGGTTGCTTACTCTAAAAATCAAATGAATAACTTTTCATATTAAAGCTATCCAGGACTTTCATACTTGTCAATTAATTTCTCAAGAGAACATTTGATTTGATAAGTTTCCCGGAAGGAAGAAGGAAAAACTACGTCATTTTTACAAATATTTCATGAAAATGAGAGAATTTGATGATTTGTAGTAGCGTTGAGAGTTGATTTGGTGAAAAGAAAAGCACATTTCAACCGCGCACGTAGTGATGAATTTGCATCAATTCATTTCTTTCTATCTTCATTTACATTTTTTATGTAGCGAAAAGTCAGATCTCCTAGACAGATTGAACTGGAGTTCAACTTATCGTTTCAACAGTTTTCATCCTGTCTCGTAACAAAGTGATGAAAATTTATTAAATTCATGGGCAAGAGGAGAAAAAAAGGCTATCTTAAGAAAATTCATGAAGGCTTGAAGGAAAAATAAATAAAAGGAAGAAAAAGATTCTCTGAATATGAGTTTTGCAGTCATTTATAACATAGCAAATTTTTGTCACGTTCAATGCACGTTGCTTCAACACCTTTGTTTGTGTATTTTTCTACGTGTATGTCTGCTTCACCATTAAAATTCCTACACCTGTGATGCTGTGAATTATAGAAATCTTCTTTTTAAGCAAGATTAATTCTTGGTTTTCAAACTTTTCCGCGTGTTTTGTCTGAGATTTTTTCTTTATCGTTTCAATCAGAGGTTGGAATTTTCTCTAGACAAAGTTTCTCGGTGTTGCAATATTTTTTTCTTTTTAATCATATCGAATGTGTAAGTTTTCTCGTAATATTAAATTACGAAACATGACGTCACTTTAATGGAAAATGTCAACATGTGAGTTCTTAGGAAACTGGATTATCTTTCATTGTTGTTGAAAAGAATCTGTGTTAATTTTCTCTCTTTAATATTTTCACGTGAAATGGAGCGATGTAGTCTTTATTCTTAAACATTTTGTAATTATTTCAGTTGTCATTTTTAGTTGTATCGCTTGTAATAACATGTTGAGGACAATGAGAGAGCGTTCATTTGAGAATTGCCATTTGTAACAGCAACAAATGAATGGCAATACAAAAGAAGACTGCCAGCCAGAAGGGACGGATAATGTTTCTTCTTTTTCTTCTCACAATAAAACAATGGTGAATGGAGGTCAGAGAGCTAAGATATGACACATCCAAAATTCACAGAAAAAAACACCTTGGCACAATTTCAACACTACGAAAAAGGTTTCATTTTGTCATTGATTTTATTATTCATTACGATCCTTGAGCTGTCGCACCACCTACAGGGATTTAACGATTTAACACTGCACCAATGAGTTAAAGAAAACCTTTTTTATGTCTTTTACGAGTAAATGTTCGTACGATAGAAAAGAAAGGCGATTCACCTGGAGGGTGCATTTAAAAGCCGAGAAGATTTAAAGGTGGGACGCTTTCAGATCATTAAATTTGTTATTTAAACTTTGGCGTGAAAGTAAAGGGGTAAATTATGTTAACAGATCTCGTTTTGCCTAAAAGAACCGTCATTTCTCTTACTTTTCAATTTAAACATTAAACAGAGAACAGAAAACGTCCAATCACGAAATAATAAAACATCTGTCTGAGCTTCATTGAAATCCTCAATTATTTTTTACATCATGGAGCGATTCATGGAGTTTGATTAGCAGTTTTTTTCTTATCTCAGGGGATCTCTTGTTGTTTGTTGAGTATATTTTTATTGATTATCATTATGATAAACATTCTTCGCATTTGTTAAGAAAATATTTGAAATGTTCTTTGAATTCTAAATAAATAAGCAAATATTTACTTATCGGTTGTGATATCTAGGCATACATTCGTTTATATTTATTCAAAAATTAATCATATGTTTGAATTGACTATATTTTTATTTTATTTTAAAAGCTCCAAAATCCTAATGGAATGATTAATTAACAAAAAGCATATACACTTGAAATAAAAAGATGCTTTTGCTTTCATCATTCGAGTAAAAGGTCTCGGTCGTATCGCCTGTCAATTACCGATAAATTTTCCAGTGGCAAATTTCAATTAAAAATTTCTCTTCCCTTCTTCATGCCAATGTCATTTGACATTGGGTTTTAATTACCCTTTTCTTCCTTCTTCACGAAGCTTTGTTTAAGCTAGTTGTTTCTCCCTGACTAATACTAAATGATATAAAAAATAATTAAATTTATATGGTGAATTTCTCCCCGATTGCCTTACTTGACTCTGTTCTCTTGTTTGCTCCTCACTTCCATAATTTATCGTCTTAGTCTAGGTGAATCCTTTACTTTCTCTCTTTGATGCTATAGAAAGAACACTGATTTTTTTATTCTTTCGTTGTTCTTTTTGCAGCTTTCACTTGAGCACAAACGATGCAATCTGCTGGAAAACTCAATTTGCTAGAAACTTAATTAGTGAGAAATTTGTGGGAATTTCTTGATGGGGAAAAACAGAAAAACTCAGGTTGTAGAAAAATTATTTTCGATAAAGCTCCTCTCATATTCATTTTTTGAACAGGAGCATAAACTAATTTGTAAACTTTTCTAACAGTAGATTAAAATTCCCCGAACGCTACATTGATGTCAACTTGCGACATTAAATTAATCTTTCGATTGAGAAGGGATCGGAAGAAGAAACCGATTGTCGATCTCTCAAAACCTTTTTCTCGTTCATCTCTTGACATTCAACCATCAGACAATAAATAAAACTCGTTAAAGTATTTAACCGCTCCATTGATTTATCTCTTCGTTCAGTTTATTTATTGTTCTATCTTCCAAACCATTGGAACCATAACGCCGCATTCTGATGTTTCGTTGGTTAGATTGTAAGGCTTAGAAATCGAGGTAATGTTGGATGAAGAGCAGATTCGAAAAATCATACATAATCGATTTTATAGCGATGAAAATTCTGTTGCGGTTTCAAATCTGATTTATGGATTTGATTCTGTGAGGTTAAAAATAATTAAGTTCATTTTAATTGGTGTTCGGAAAGGCGAAAACACAAGATTTAATTAATTTATATAAGCTTCAGCTGGTATCGCATTGCTGTGCTTTCATTTCAAATTTAAAAATAGTTCATGGCTGTAATTGTTATAGTAAATGTTAATACTGCACCTTGAATTCAATAAATTAATTACATTTAAATTGTAAAATATCAATCACATGTGTTAAATAATTAAAGGAAAAACATGTCATTATTTTAAAACTGTTGATTGATAGAGAGAATGTGATTCGATGATTTTTTGTTCGTGCTCAAAGAGACAAGCTCCAAAAGCGAAGGAATATAAAAAAATGAGCTGTCTGAAAAAGTGACATAAAAAATGTGTTGAATTTTCAAACCGCAGGCGATGTTTTTGCGCCATTTATTTCTGGTTTCTTACAGTTTTTTTCTTTTTTTTAATATAATGGACAGATATTACGAGAAGAATTATTCAAATCTGGCCATTCACAATGAGATTTTTATTTGTCATTTGTTGTGAAGAAATATCTACAGTGAAGCATAAAACGTTAGATGTCCTAGTTTTCATCTTACACATTGTAAATTCTCTGCATGATTTCCAAATTGTAAAATGCACTCAAAGGTGAATTAATATCCCGTGTACCACTTTTAGTCTTGTTCATACATAAATTTTATATTTATTAAATAAAAATCATTACTTTTATAATAAGATGAAGGAAATTTAATTCAATATGCAAGTAAATTAAAGCTTTAAAAACCTTAGAAAGGAAGAAAACAATTGCATCCAGTTCCTTTCACAAGAAATAATCGGTTTCTTATTACTCAACAACAGAAATTCGAATAATTCTTCTATCTTTGCATTCCGAGAACTTCCATCCTACGTCAAAATATCTGTGCATATGCATTCCAAAAGTGAAGGTTACTTTCTATAAAATTAAACGATTTAAGGCCCTCAAAGCAATATATTTAATTTGAAAAGATTTTTGCACACTTGTCTTCCGTTGTAGAAACATATTCAAATAGCTTCAAAGGGAAATATTAAAAAAGAAGGAAAATCAATGTTTAAGCTTGAGAAACTTCATAAAATTCAATTGAAACTTTTGAGGCCTTTTTCTATTTTTCCTTTTCCCCTATAAAATTATATCTGCAACTGTTGCCTGTCCTCTACAGCTTGACACAAAGGGATAACTTTTTATTTTTTGTGATAGCTAACGAGAAGAGAATTCCCACGAATACAAAAATGAAATACAAACAAAAAGTCCAATAAAAAGCAAGTTGACAGAGTTTGTAAAAATGTTTTTTAAATTGCGAGATAAAATTTTCCCGGGAGTTTTTTTCTTCTATATCAAAAAAATTTATCGCTGGAAAATTGGCAATTTCACTTTTGTAGCATACATACTCATGATTAGAAAAGGAGGAAGACTTCCTAAAAGCGATAATGTTCTTCCCTTTTTTTAAAGATAATTGTTATTTGCTTTTGTCACATATAAAAATGGGAAATAAGAAGAGACTTCTATCATACAAATAAGAATTGTTGTAATTTCAGGTTGACTTCAGATGTTGATGCTTCTTAACTGCGTGACAAGCAACGCTTGTAAATTGGAAAACTTTAAATGAGCATGCCAAAATCATTTGACATGAAAGCTTTTTTGATAATAAAGACAGAGACTTGCAGACGACTTTTTCAAAGTCAGCAAGGAAAGAAAAAAACTGAAGAAGAATAAGGGATGAGATGAAAAGATAAGTTTCAAAGAGGCAACACTTGAGTACACAGAAGTAGAAATCTCAAGATTCCCTTTTTCTAAGAACACCCTCTTGACAATTTATGTTACGTTAAAGGAGTTAACAAGTTGTGAAATTGTCGCATCGAAACAAGCATATTGGAAGGAAATGTTTACATTTTGTACCTCGCGAGAGAATGGGCGTCAAAACAACCTTCTTTATTGTTATTGATTCGTTTATTTACAGCTATATTCACAGAATCTATCGCCAGTTGTTGATGTCACAGAGTAACATGAAGGGTGAAAATAAAAAAAAGAAAAAAGTCTCAACAATAACGCTAAAAGTTTAAACAACAAATGAATATCTAATCGAACACTCCAGGGCATTGAAGCGTAGAGATTACAGGTGTTATTTGACACTGAACGCCTTATTTAGAGCTGATGTAAACACTTGTTCAGAAATCGAGAACAATACCGAGAAAAGAACAAAAAAACAAACGACAAAACGAAGATTGATGTTGAACGGCGTTAAATAAATAAAAAGGTAAATTGGTATGAAAGTAAAGTTAATTTGTGAAAGGATAAATTTACAGAGTTTTCGATTATCTAATTTATTCTTGATTCTAAGAAGGTTTCAAATTATTTGAACAACGATCGAGAGGAAAGCTAATTTTCTTGTCTTTATCAAAAGTGTTTGTCGAGTGAAAATGTTTCTCGTTCAACAGAGCACAAGTGTTTGAAGAAAAGGTTATCGCAGTTTATTTTTTTCATCACACAATTCAGTCAATTGAAGAGGACAAATTGTGGTTGAAAAGGGCTTCTGGTTTTAGGGTAATTTCATGCTTTTATGCGTTTGTTTCTCTCAGGGTGTTTGCTGGATAAAAAACGACTACGCGGTATTGAAAAATGTGTCAAATTCATTGTGTTATTTTTCATTTTTCATCATCCTCTTCTTCCACATCTCCAGAGCTAAATTTTCATTCCAAACGAGATGTTAATATTTCCCAGGATATTTGCTACAATAAAATGACAAATAAAAAGAAAAAGCTCGAGTAAGAAAAAGATTTAAATCGTTTACAAGTGCGTGATAAACCGAGCGACAACAGAAGTAAATGCCCGTATAATTTTAACTTAGAAAATGATTATTTAAATTCCCAAGCAGTTGCTCATTTTATTCGCAATCTAAATGAGGCTCAAGGAAGGGTGGGATGAAAATTTTTCGACTCGTTCAGGGAAAAAGCGGAGCACTCCATTTATTTATTTTCGTCCAATGAACTTCCCACTGAACAGGAAAAATGAGAAATAAAAGGGCTGAAATGTAAATGATTGCCATAGCTAACCGCAGGCTGGAAAAACAACAAAAGCTCTGTTTATTTTCGGGCGCAAAAAGAAACTTGAAATTGATATAATTTTTCTCCTTCTCGACTATGGAAATAAACATAATTGAGAGGATCTCGCTTCATTCACTTACTTTTTTTCTGTTAAATTTTCTGTCTGAAAATGATTTTATTCATCACGACCACAAAGAGTGGAGGAAAGTTTTCGTTTTAATACCAACAATGACAAAATCATAAACATTTTCCTTATAGAGAAAAGAGAAATTAAAAGAAGTGCTCTACGAAGTAAAAACAGGAATTCCATTCAAAGAAACTTTGTCATTTTCCTGCCAGCTATGCTTGTTCAGAATTATATTTAACAAAGATTTTAAAGTCTTTTTTATTCTCAAATAAATCATTACATAGTAAGTTGCAGACTTGCAGCAACTTCAAAATTAAGTACTTTCTATAAAAATCAATCAAGTTTGAATAAAACTTCTGATGATAACTATCAAAGTAACTATTATCAATTTGGTAATAAGAAAAAGAATGGAGCAATAACAAGTTTGATTTTAAAATCGTTTCAAGTCATAAATTGAGATTGAATTCAGAAGTTGAAAAGTATTTGGAAACAACTCATTGGATGGGATCAACTTAACTCACACATTGTTAAGTACTTTATGTTGATCTCACATCTTAAGACGTCATAAAACTTTTTATCATGTATTTTGATACCATATTGTGAAAAACGTCATAATTTATTAACACAGTTTAAGTTTAATTCCGTTAAAACAGTTGCTTAAGTGTTTATTTATCGATAACGAAATAAGTAACATGATGTGTGGAGAAATTAAAATAAGCTTCAGTCGACTTTTGGATTTCGCAAACGAAAGAACAAAAATTTCAAAATGAGACTTATTATTTTTGGAGTGTTTTTGTGTTTAACCCAATCTTCTTATGGTTTCTTTGGCTATACAAGAAAATATAATAATCACGAAGAGCCTTTTTTGCCTCATACAAATCGTATTTTACTTATCAATCCTAAGACGATAGGTGAGAAATGGATCGAACAAAGATTAGATCACTTTAATCCACAAGATGAACGAAAATGGATGATGAGATATTTTGAAAACGACGAACATTATATTCCAAATGGCCCGATATTCATTTATGTCGGTGGAGAATGGTCGATTAGTGCTGGTTCAATCTCAGCGGGAAGTCACATTTACGATCTTGCAAAGGAACATAACGGAATTCTTTTTTATACCGAACACAGATATTACGGTAAAAGTCATCCCACGACCAATACTTCGACAGAGAATTTACGGTTCTTGAATATCGATCAAGCATTGGCCGACTTAGCATTTTTCATAAATCATATAAAATCGCGGTCATCTGATTTAACGAATTCTCGAGTTATTATGGTTGGCGGTAGTTACAGTGGTAAGTTTTTTATTAATTGATTAATAAATACTTGTAACAATTTGCAATCTTATCTGAGAATAACAATGATAAAGCGATATTGATGAAATGTTATTTTCAGCTACAATGGTCGCTTGGATGCGTAAAAAATTTCCACATCTTGTTACTGGTTCATGGGCATCAAGTGCACCACTTGAAGCACTGCTAGACTTTTATGAATACAAAGAAGTGATGACAAATGCTATAAAACTTGTTGGTGGCGATGAATGTGCTGAAACATTTAAAAATGCTTTTAAAGAAATGGAACATTTGGTTGAGATAGGGGAAACCAGAAGGCTTCATTTAGCTTTTAATCTTTGTTCATCACTTGATTTGACACAAGACATTCCACATTTCTTTTACGAATTATCTGATATTGTCGCTGGATTAGTTCAGGGACATCGACCGGGTAATATTGAGAGAGCCTGTGATTATATGAAAGATCAAAAGGAGACTCTCGATAAAGATGAACTCGATGCATTCGCCGCTTGGATTAGAAAAGGATCTTGGACATGTTTGGATATGAGCTACCAGAACAATGTGATAAAATTCACAAATATTGAATGGGGATCGGAAGCTAATCGGCAAATGAGACAATGGATTTATCAGACCTGCAGTGAGTTTGCATGGTTTCAAACATCAACATCAAAGAATCAAATCTTCGGAACGACTTATCCAGTTGATTATTTTTTGAAGCTTTGCCAGGATCTCTATGACAACTCGTTAGTATTTTCATGATGAAATTTAAACATAAATTGTTTAAAATTTGTATATAATTTAAATGAATTACGACGGCCCCATACCATATTAACATGGGCCATCGTATTGAAA